AGTGGTCGTTCTGCCATTATGGTTGCTGGGCTTTTATTATATAGGACTAGAGGCCCGATGCATGAAATTCGTGCAAGAGCAGGCCTTCCTTCCCTAGGCTGCTGGCACTGGCTTCCTCTGCCACCTGGGACCCAGGCTTCCCTCTGGCCACTAGTATGTACCTGGGACCTGGGCTTCCATAGCAGCCCTGGCTTTTGTCTGGAAGGTCTTGTGGAAGGACGTCCAGTCTAATTAGCATATTACCCTTTTATTATTATAGCTAATACTAGAGGCCCAGTGCACAAAAATTTGTGCACTCGGGGGGGAGGGGGGTCCCTCAGCCTGGCCTGTGCCCTCTCGCAGTCTGGGACCCCTCGGGAGATAACGACCTGCTGGCTTAGGCCTGCTCCCAGGTGGCAGAGGGCAGGCCCAATCCCTAGGTGCAGCCCCTGGTCGGGCTCAGAGCAGGGCCGATTGGGGAGTTGGGGCACCGCCCCGTCATGCACAGAGCAGGGCAGATTGGGAGGTTGTGATGCCACCCTCAGTCACGCTCAGGGTAGGGCCAATTGGGGGCTTGGGGCACCGTCCCCTGTCACACTAAAGGCAGGGTCGATGGGGAGGTTGCGGCACCACCCCCTGTCACGCACAGAGCAGGGTCCATCAGGGGGTTGGGGCACTGCCCCCGTCACACACAGAGCAGGGCCCATCAGGGGGTTGGGGCACCACCCTCTATCACCCACAGAGCAGGGCCGATCAGGGGGTTGGGGCGCCGCCACTCTCACACTCAGGGCAGGGCCTATGGGGAGGTTATGGCTCTACCCCATCACACACAGAGCAGGGCCCGTGGGGGGGGGGGGTGGTTGGGGAGCTCCCCCCTATCAGGCACAGAGCAGGGCTGCTCAGGGGGTTGGGGCCCCACCCCCTGTCACACACAGAGCCACAGGGTGATCAGGGGGTTTGGGCGCTGCCCCCTGTCACGCTGATCCCGGTGCCGGGAGGCATATTACCCTTTTACTATATAGGGTAGAGGCCTGGTGCATGGGTGGGGCCGGCTGGTTTGCCCTGAAGGGTGTCCTGGATCAGGGTGGGGGTCCCCACTGGGGTGCCTGGCCAGGCTGAGTGAGGGACTGAGGGCTGTTTTCAGGCTGGGGGTGACTGAAGTTCCCAACCGCTCCTTTTTTTCTTTTTTTTCTTTTTATTCTGGGCCAGCTTTACCTTGAGGCTTGGCTCCAGCTCTTAGGCCTCCACGCGCGGCTGAAAGTAGGTTTCTGGGCTTTGCTTACAATGTTGAGAATCTGCTGGCTGAAGTCCGGCGGTATTTGTTACAATGTTTCTTAAACTGCCCGCTCAGAGGCCTGCAGCCGCAGGCGGGGAATGCTGGTTTCCTCCAACGATCCTCCGTCACTGAGGCAACCAAGCCTCATGTTAGTTTCAAGCTGCCTGGCTGCCAGCCGCCATCTTGGCTGACAGTTAATTTGCATACCTCGCTGATTAGCCAATGAAAAGGGTAGCGGTCGTATGCCAATTACCATGTTTCTCTTTTATTAGTGTAGATGATGTCCTGTGCTTAAAATACTATATTCTCTTGGCAAGCTCCTAGCTAGTTACGAGCTCTCTGATGGTTTGATTATGGGAGAATGCCATGCATTTGCTTCTTCTGGCTGTGCATTAGAAATAGAGAAAAATTTTATATCTTATCACCAAAGTTTTTACTTCCTCATTTTTACACCTCTAAAGCCATGCTTCCTAGTAAACTGCCACAATAATATTAGATCATATCTAAGAATTCTCTAAAAAAAATTTAGACAAAGGGTCAGTTTAGATTTCAAGTGTTATTATGGGAAATGCCTAAAACAGACATGGATAACTCTGGGATAGAGACATGAGGTTCTAAAAAGAACTCCAAGAAGCCAACATTGGCCATATTCATTCTCATTTGATGCAGGTATCCTTGCTTCTGGGCAGAAAGAAGAGGAAGAGGTGGAAGTAAGAGAGAGAGATTGGTAGGTGGTGGATCATAATTCCAGCTCCTACCTCACCATAGGTCAGTGATGGCGAAACTTTTGAGCTCGGTGTGTCAGCATTTTGAAAAACCCTAACTTAACTCTGGTGCCATGTCACATATAGAAATTTTTTGATATTTGCAACCATAGTAAAACAAAGACTTATATTTTTGATATTTATTTTATATATTTAAATGCCATTTAACAAAGAAAAATCAACCAAAAAAATGAGTTCGCATGTCACCTCTGACACGCGTGTCATAAGTTCACCATCACTGTCATAGGTTCTTGGTAAACCATATAGTGTCTTGTTTCTGTCCCATGTATTAGATTCATTCATTGTTAACTTTTTCTGTAAAGGGTCAGATAGTAAATATTTTAGATTTTGTTGGCCATGTTGTCTCTGTCACATCTACCCAACTCTGCCATTAGAGTGCAGGAACAACCATGACAAATGCAAATGAACGAGTGTGGCCATGTTCCAATAAAGTTTTATTTACATGAATAAATTATTTGACTCATGGGCTGTAATTTGCCAATCGCTGGCATGATATCTACTTAATACAAAGAATTTAAAGAGAAGTACCATAAAAAGAAAAGACAGAGAAAATTATGAATAAAGAAGGAAGGCTTAAATGAAGATGACAAGCGAGAAAACTGGTTTGTCAGAGAAAAACTGGAGTTATAGACATTTTTTACAAAAACAATAACACCCAAAGACTAATATCTGAAATCTATTTTTGATGAAAATTATTTATCACAGAATTTAAACACCAACTGGGAAACTTAGCTTTATAGTCAATCTCTGGGGAAGTCATGTGATTGTTCTTCAAGTTAAAAGGAATACTACAGAACTAAATCCTTTTTGTAAAGTGTCCACTGTTATTTCAGTGAATACTATCAACCTAGAGGATCATGGTGGCTTTTCCATTGCTACTCTAATTACTTTAGAGGTCAATTCTAAAAACCTTTATCAGATATTTACTTAATTAGTATACAAGAGGGATAGAAATCATGACTATATTCTTCTGTTTTTCATTTTTTTCTCGTTTCCATAAATCTTTATGATGCACTATCGTATGGCATTTGTTTCCTATATGTCAGCATCAATTACTTTGAACACTTTATCAAAATAATTTACCAGCATACTGTAATATGGAACATTAGCAGAATCCCTCAGGATTTCTCCTATGTTTATAATTCTTCTAAAACTTGGGAAGCAACTTGAATGAATTGATCATTTTGAGTGGATACAGACCTATAATCTCTTACCTGAAACTCTTGGGCCCAGATGTGTTTCAGAGTATAATCCTTTCAATTTTTAGGACAGCAATATGCTTCCTATGCCACATAGCTTGTACACTTCCAGTGAAGCCTGTGGCAGCACCCCATAATCACGTACATTAACTCTGCTATAGCCAAACTCATTTACACCAAATAGAATAAAGACCACAATTAGCCTCTTGTCAGCTCCGTTTAAAATTTTGCTGTCATGCCCTAGCTGGTTTGGCTCAGTGGATAGATCCTCAGCCTGGGGACTGAAGGGTCCCGGGTTCGATTCCAAGTCAAGGGCACATGCCCGGGTTGTGGGCTCGATCCCCAGTAGAGGACATGCAGCAGGTAGCCAATCAATAAGTCTCATCATTGATGTTTCTATCTCTCTCCTTCTCCCTTTCTCTCTGAAATAAAAATTTTAAAAAAAATAAATTTTGCTGTCAGATGTCTTTAGTTTCAAACTTAGGAAAAGCCTTTTGGTTTTCAGAGCTATTTGAATTTTGGTAAGGGGTTTTGGGTCTGTACATGTACAAATACAAACAAAAAGCCTTTCTGACGGCTTTTCCAGTTCAAAGAGACCCACAATGTTGAGTACTTGAATGGTACAACCTGTAGCTGAAGAAACTTTCAAGCATGAATTCAAGAATAAGCCGAAATTCTTACACTGCAGGCACCATTACCGAGAGGAACGTGCTCCCTCTACTGAAGGGGCTTTCCGCTTCCTTTCAGAGCCAACGCAGCACAGAGCCCACTCTCATCAGCATCAGTGGACAGTTTGGCAGGGATTCTCAGCCAAAAGGGCTTTGAGGACAGATGATTCTGACATGCTTGTAAATTAAGACTCTTTGGTTTCCTCGCCAATAAAAAGACAGTTCTTCTAGCTTGGACAGTGACTGCAATCCTGTACTTTAACTGGCATTTATATTTGTAGCTCTTCAAGAGATTATTTTAAGTCCAGAAAATTGATTTTTAGTCCTGGCTGTACCTTAGAAACACATGTGGAGCGTTGTTAAAAATACAGATACAGGCCTGGCTGGTGTGGCTGGGTGGCTGAGTGTCAACCTATGAACCTATGAACAGTTGGATTCCTGGTCAGGTCACATGCTTGATCTCTAGTAGGGAGTGTGCAGGAGGCAGCTGATTGGCATTTCTCTCTCATTGATGTTTCTATCACTGTATCTTTCTCTCTTTCTCTCTCTCTGAAAATCAATGAAAACATTAAAAAAAATAGATACAGGCAGCACTAGATCAACACTTAAGAGACCCAAAGCATCAAAAAGATGACAGTGTTTTCCTCATACATTATTCAGAATGAAAGCAATACTATATCATGAAACATATGTAAGGAAATAAAATTGGCTAATAAAATTTTTTACAGGTTTAAGTGTATACTTCTATAATACATCATCTGTTTATTGTATTGCGTGTTCACCGTCCAAAGTCAAGTCTCTTTCTTACCATTTATCCCCTCTTTACCCTTTTCTACCTCCCCCCACCGGCTCCCCGATCTCCCTCCCCTCCTCAGTCAGAGAAAGACAAATACCATATGATTTCGCTTATGGGGAATCTAATGAACAAAATAAACAAACAAAATAGAAACAGACTCATAGATACAAAAAAACAGACTGACAGCTGTCGGAGCCCTCCATCATTATTAACCGAACTTCTCACTATCATAGGATTGGAAGAGGAAAGGGGAAACTAAAATGTTATTTGAATATTTAACACTAACTCACACTTGTAAACAATGTGCCAAATGTTTTATTTCTCTCAGTAGTTCATATGCAAATAATAAACTCTCAAAGCATTTTAAAAACACAAAAGACATTATTATACCTTACTAATAAATTATTTCTGTCCCATGGGATTAACCAAATTAAAATGTTACCAATATTTGAAAATTTATTTTTAAGCCAACTTGAGATGAGGAATTCATAATATTTCCTTAGTTCAATGTTTTGTACATGCCATTAGTACAATAAGATTTCTTAAATATTTAGGGCATTGTCAATAACTATGATTCATATGAAAAATAGATATATCAGATTCCTGATTAAGTCCGTTGTAAAACACAAAATACAGCACACCTGCTATGAAATTCTGTTTGTAACGCTCCTTTTCTTAAACTGCAATTAACTACTGATGAATTCTGTTTAATCCTAGAAGTTTTATAAATGATACTTTTCTTCACAGAAAAAAAGAAAGATGTTGAAAAGACAGCAGAGATCACCATACTGTATCAAAGGTCAAATATTTAGGGAATCAGTTATTACCTCCTCTTTTTTGGAATCTGCAGTAAATAATAACTAGAAAAAATTTTTCAGCGTTTTAAGGCCAGTTTTTAAAAAAGCATGAATAAAGATAGTAAAAACATTACCATATGCCAACAAAAACAGAACAAACTAAGTGTGTTCATATCTTCATTTCATCATCAATTCAGTGATTTGAAATAAATGCCATGTTAAAAACCATGAGCAAATTTAAAGATTCATCCAAGGACATTAAGTACTTTTGAGAATTTAAAAAGCTTTAGTAGGCAGTATGTCTTTAATCAGCATAAGCAAGATGCAGAAAGAACAAAAAATACTGTATACTGAATCGATCCTCATAGGCCTGCTCCCTCAAAACACACATCTACCACTTATTTTCCAGGGTTGTTATATGCGCCTTATTTTGCTTATACATAAAGCAACTAGGGGTTTCTCATTCTTCCTTTTAAGTATTTAAAATAAATTTCTAGGCATGCATTATAACTATTCATTTATAATGCCCTTAAAAATCTTTCAACTTATGAAAAACAATTTCTGGAGATATAAAACTATGAAACTTTTCATACTTCTAAATCTTTAAAACTTAAAGTGCAATAGTTTCATGTATCAGCAAATTATAGTTGTGCCATATAAATTCATCTTGAAAGGACATGTAAATAATTTCCAAAATTTTGTAAATGGTACATTATAGAGAGCAGAGCATTGATATTTTAAGTTTTGATTTTTCATGTCTTTATATTATAATGCAAGGAGGGAAAATAAGCACCAAACCAAGACATTTTTATTAGGAGAACAATGTTTTTCATGAGGAAAAAAAAAAAGGAAACATCATGTCTCCCTTTAGTGGCTTCTCTTCAGTCAACTGCCGCATTTACCAAAAATGTTAGTTCAGTTACTGAACAAAGTATCCAATATTTGTCCAAAGGTTTGTCCAAAACCTCTCAAATAACAATTTGAATCTGAGCTCCTTTCTTATTCTCAAGTAAAGGCTTTATTTACAAACAAGTCTATTATCATTTGATTCACAATATTAACATTAATGGAAATTTCACTCAGAAGTGATATTTCTTTAAGGGTCTGACCCATTTCGTGGCACTGTAGAGTGGATTATTAACATACACATGGCTACAAAATTAGAGTCAAAATCAAAGGAAAAAAACATGGAAAACCAAGTATCCGGCTATTCTAGAAAAAAAAAATCTACAACTAAAGGATTGCTTAAAATGTTCTCTTTGGTAAGATAAAGAAGGGTGCTTCACAGACATGACTGATTTTCTCCCAGGAGCAGCCCTAGGATCTGTGATTACAAGGTACTTAGGGCCTGAGAAGTTTCAGTGATGACTGTTTCCTCAAGTTTTGCTGGTGTCTCATGGACTGTGCATCCTCAATGGCATGACATGCTCTCTGCAAAATAAAGTATTTATTATAAATGGTAAAGAGAAGTGCAAGCTAATTTGGTGGAAGAGAAAGGTACAAACGCAAGAGCTGGAGCTTTCCACACAGGTCCAAGAGCCAAGGACAAGAATACACCACACGTGTAACGCAAAATAAGGCTCTTCCGGCATACTGAGCCCAGTATATTATTTTAAGCTCATATATCCATCCGAACATAACTGGAAGATCTTTTGGCAGAAATAATGGGTATTGGTAACTATAACCTATTTTTTAAAATACCTTTCAGCTAAAACACTGAGGGGATGTTCTTTGAAATAAGTTGTTTACCTCTGCTGTGGTGGTATCCAGCAGGTAAATTTTCCGGAGGCAGGATTGATTGGCACTATCTTTTTTGTGGAACATACTCTGATCCTATTTCAAAAGAAAGAATGACAGAAAAGATTATTTTGGAGAAGAAGAAAACATTCATAACCTTTAATTGGATGCTTAAATGTCAATTGTATTTTATAACCATATAAAATACACATAGTCAGGTAGAATAAAAAATAAGTCATTTTGGTACAAGAACAGTGGTTCCATCTGTGAGTTAGAATTTATGAAATTGGAGGAGTACGCATCTATCTGTATAAAACAATGACTTTTTGCAAGCTATGATATTTACCATCACATCTGACAAATCAAAAAACCCTTCCTTCATTTCCGTGGCTGATAGATAAAATTCTTATATAATGCAAAATACATTGGGCTGATTCTCACCACTGATGTGAAAGGGAAGTGATAAACAAGGAAACTGTAATATATCTGCACAGTGACACATTCTTTCCTAGCTTGAAAACTACATCTCATTTACTAAGGCACTCTACATTTTGACACTCTACAAGGAGGGAAGGCTGGAATACCAAATACTACAGTTTCATAGTAGTTTCTTTCATTTGTAAACTTCTATGAAAGAAAACATAAATTAAAAAATAATAGTACTTGCATCTCTAACTGTTAAATTTTATGATAAATGTTTTTCACATAGATTCAGTAATAGAGATAACATCGTTACTGTTCAGGAAAAACACCATCTTTGGAGTGACAATTTTTAGTTTCTTGTAAAGAGGTTAAAATAAATTTATAATACATCATATATAACAAAATATATATATTTCAAAGTAAAGTGAGTCTGAGAACTAAGCAAAAGATGGGCTATCACTTTTGCTAATTACCTGCTATATAATTAAAGTTATCCCTTAGAAAATGATGGGGAGGAAATACTTGAAAGTATTATTCTATACTTTAATTGTTTAGCATTCTAAAAATGCCAAATATCATAAAACATGGGTGTTTTAGACATTATATTTATAATAACCTCCTAAATGCCTAAAAAATGGAATCTTTCCAGAAGTACCTGAGATTAGAGCAAAACAGATATTCATATGAAATTAAAAAGACCTTTTATTTACTAATGCTTCATTCTCTCCAAAGAGGAAGTATCAGCACCCTAGAATTATCAGTAGATAGAATTGATATTTCACTCCACACAATCAAGGATTGCCAGAAAATAGTGTACAGTATATCAATAAATCAATTATACCTTTTCTTACATTTCAACCAACAACAATCCTTCAAATATTTTGTGTAGTTAACTTTAAAAAAAAAAGAGTCAAAAACATTGGTTTCCACTCATTTAACAAATTCTTGGCTCTAAAAATGTGACTCAAGTTTTCTTACCTTAACTGAAATGGTTAGCAGGTTTCCGTTGACACTAGGAGGAAATACAAAATCTTCAAATAGACACTGCCAGTCTATGCACATAAGGCCAAGAATTTCAACCTCCTTTATACACACCACTCGCCTATTTTGCAAAAGGAAACAAAAATATAAGATAAAGATTGTTAATGATTATTGCTAATATTTTACTCTGCTGGATGGAACAGGTAGTAGTACTCAGTAAACAATATAACTTGGCATTAAAAATAGTATGCTTCACATAAAAAGTCTAGATAAAGAGCAAATATGGCACCTACCAATTAACAAAGCAGACTTTCAAAAATTTTGCTTCTGCTAATCTTGCAAAATTTACAAAAGTGTCATTTTTTTTAAAACTGAGCAAAAAACTGAAATCATCTTTTAAACACACAGAAACAGGTTGTACTCTCATCTGGCAAGCAATAAAGGCAGAAGCTCCTGAAAATGTCTTACTTGGAAAATTATTAATTGCTCTTTACTGTCAATCATTTATGCCTTCCAGTCAAGAAAGAATGTGCAGGAAATGTCACAAACCTCAAATGTCAGCAAAGATTCATGTTAGACCTACTAATAAATATCAGGCTTGAATACTTTAACACTAATGTACTATATCACAGAGTAAGTATCCCATTTTACTCAATTGCAATAAAAAAACAACAATTGTTAAAGTGTATACACATTGATTTCCCAGTGTGTGATTCAGATTAATTACCAATATAACTACACTTGGCTCTAAAGGGTCTCTAACAGAAAGCAAAACTAGGAAAGTAGAACTGTTAATTCTACAGTAGCTAGGGTGCCAGAGAAACAAAAAGGATAGGGTTTCTGCTTGAGAGGTACTCGGAGGCTAGAGGGGAAATAAACATGTAAATAAATAAAACAGGTGAGTGAGACAGCAGAGTGTGCAGAAAAATTCTGACGCACAGAGAGGAGGCCTGATTGTGCTGGTAAAGTAGGTGGCGCTAAGAGCTGATTCTCAAAGCAAAGAGGTTTCTAGGTGGGAAAGGGAAATTCAAGCCCAGACAAAGGGACCTGGGCACTGACATACACAGCGCTACAAAAAAGGGAGGTTTATCCGAGGAATGTGGGGGACTAGCTAGAGCACCAGGGATATACAGAGGTGAGAGAATTTGCTTAGTGACAGATCTGGAGGGGATTGTTTTTCCATTTTAAGAAATTTTGACTTTAACCTACAGGCAATGGGAAGTGACATGATATAATTCCTTACTTCAGAGTCAGCTCTAGTGGTCATGGAGGAGAGGTGGGGTAGATAATCAAGGTAGGAAGTTATGTTAATAATCCAATCAGGAAACAGTGAGAGCCTCAATTAAAGCAGTGGCTGTGAGAAGGGGTGGGGGGGGGCTCAATTCTAGATATTTAAAAGGTAGACTGTCCTATGAACTTGGTGACCAATGGAGTATGGGAACCAAAATAGACCCGTGGCACCACAATTCGCAGCAGAGATGCTAGTAAAATTTTGGGCTTGTTTGGGATTGTCTTGTGCACTGTAGGGAGTTCGGCACCCCTAGCCCCAGTCTACTAAACGCCCTCCCATCACTAGGACAACCTCCAATACATTCCAAACAGTCTCTAGGAACTGGGTTCCACTCCCCCTTCCTCCTGCCCTAGTAGAGATCAGATGATGGAGTTCAAACTCAAAGATACCCATTACAAATCAGTGTCAAATGCAATTCACCATTCCAACCCTCTCAAAACTCTCCCTTCTCTTGATCACACCAATAATATTATTGTTCTTCTTCCACCTTAAATCTCCTTTATTTTCCTTCTCTGTGTTTACCACAACACCTCAGGGTCCAAGATCTCAACTTCAAATCTTTATCCAAACATCAAGGGTCTATATCTGTGTCTCTGCTACTGAGGCATCTATACTTTGACATCTCAAAGCCACATCGAAGTCAGTCAATTCAAACAAAATTTTAAAAATCGTCGTTTCACTCAAATTACTGTAAATGGTAATACCCACACTCTTGCTATTCAAGCCCCAAACCACAAAGTTATCTTGCGTTCCCTTCTCCTTCACGTTCACTCAGTCACCAAGCCCTGGTCCAGTCAGGGTGCCCCTCTGCATCCATCCTCATTCTTTTAGGTTTGTCCCTCATCAGTTCCTATCAGGACAACCACAATCTCTGATGTAGAGAGAATTCCAAGATGATCAGGTCATGAGGGTAAAGCCCTCATGAATGGAATTAGTGCCCTTATAAAAAAGGCCTGAGAAAACGCCCTTGCACCTTCTACCACATGAGGACACGGTGGGAAGAACCATTTAGGAACCAGGAAGTGGGCCCTCACCAGACACAGACAGCACCGTGATCTTGGACCTCCCAGCCTCCAGAACTGTGAGAAATAACAATCTGTTGTTAAGCCACCTGTCTCTGGTATTTTGGGAATAGCAGTCCAAACAGACTAAGACAGATGGTTTTTTTAAAAAAAGTCTGCTCAGAGAACAATTTCCTAATGAAGATTACTAAAATAAAATATTATGTAGGAGTTAGGACCAACTAGTAGAACTGCAGGCTAATAAATTTAGGTCAGGAGAACTCATATTTTATTTCTATTAACTGATTAAAAAATATCAAGACAAAATTTTGGATGAATTTCAATATAGAAAAATTAAAAGTCCTATGTATTGAAAAACTCATTAAAATGTTAATGATATATTGGGTAAAAGGGGCTAATATCATTAATTTATATAATTCTTTTTAAATTCAGTAAGAAAAAGACTAACATAATGAAAAACGAGTAAAGGATATGAATAAGCAATTCACAGAATATAAAATACAAATGGAAGGATGAATGTTTTAAAATATTCATACTCATTATTTTCTACCCATTAAATTAGCAAAAACAAAAAAGTTTAAATAACATCTCATCTTGCAAAACATAAGAGAAAGGATACCCCCAGGTACTATTAGTTGTATGTAAAAAAACTGACACAGCCTTTCTGATAAAATAACTTGGCAAAAATAGAAATAGCATCAAAAGTCTTCACAACTTTTAAATCAACAATCCCACTGATAACAATTTATCTGAAAGAAATAATTATAGAAAAAATACTTAGCTGCAAAGATGTGTTCATAATAATACAATATTGGGAAAGAGAAAATCAAATGTCAAATAGGCAGCATTTGAATAAGTTATAGTATATCCATAAATACCATATTATATACTCATTAAATATCATGTTGTCACAGAATATTTAATGGTTTGGCAAGATGATCACAAATATACTTTTAGGTGAAAAACCTAGGTTAATTAAATGTATATGGTGCAGTTTTTTTATACATAGTTTTTATAAAATACATATACTACAAAAATCTGATATACCAGCTAGTATTTCTGGATGAAGGGACCGCTGCTAAAGGTTATTTTTACTGGTTATCATTGAAATCAGGACATTTTTCAGAATGAAAGGGATAGCCACTAATAATTACATTGGGACAAAAAGTAAAACCAGCTCTGTCCAAGGCTAACCGCAGCTTTAGTTATTTTCATTTTCTTAATTATTTTCTATATCAGGAGTGGGCAAACTATGGCCTCTAAGCCAAATCCAGTCCATGGCCTGTTTTAGTAAATAAATTTTACTGGAACACAGCCACAGCCACCCTGTTCATTACCTATTGTTCCTGGCTGTTTTCCCACTACAAGGGCAGAGTTTAATATAGACCGGAAACATGAGATGGCTTTTGAAGCCTAAATTCTTAGTACTGGCCCTTTAAGGAAATTGGGTTGACTCCTGATCTATATTATCTACAATGAATAAGCATAACTTTAGCTTAATAAAAATTCAGCTTAATAAAACTTGCGTTATTTTTAAATGCTGATTTTGGTAGCAATGCTATTTTATGTACAACATTAAAAATCAAACAGATCAAAATATTGACAACCACCTGAATCAAAGAAATTTCTGTTAGAGTCTACTACAAGGAGACTATGTCATTGTCCTGGTCAGGAATGTTATTTTTCTGATTGTCTTCTGAAAAACTCTAAGAGAGACTGCATTTAAAATTATCATGATTTTTCAATTTACTTGAAGAAAAACCAAAAGTTTAATCTATAATAATAAAAGCATAATATGCTAATTAGCCCAGAGGGAAGCTGGTGCCGGCAGCCAGGGGAAGGAAGGCCTACTCTTGCACGAATTCCATGCATCGGACCTCTAGTGTATTAATAATGTATACAGCACTATTCCCATAAAATGCCTAATCAAACAAATATTAAGTATTACCAAACAAAAAACAAAAATTTAACATTTCCATTGCCCAGTGTTGATACACAATTTTAAAATGAATTAACACACTGCTACTGCAGCTAAGTACAATACACAATACAAATAAACATTGTTTTTGGTCTAGTCTAATGGATGTAATATAAAATTTTAAGCATAAAAAATAAATGATTACTTGTCAAACCTGCCAAAACTGCTTCTTAGATTGTGAGTATTTTGAAAATATTGTGAGTATTTTAATTTCTTAATTAATGGGCAAATCAGATGACCGATTCTCTTTCTAAAAAGGCTTGTAGAGCCCTGGCTGGTGTGGCACGGTGGGTTGGGTATCATCTCCTACACTAGGAGGCTGAGGTTCAATTCCCAGTCAAGGGCACATGCTGGCTTGATCCCCAGTGGGGGGCGTGCAAGAGGCAGATCAATGTTGTGTTTTCACATGGAAGTCTCTCTTTCTCTCTCTCTCTAAAAACCCATGAACTATTTTTTTAAAAAACTTGTAGGTTTAAGTGTAAATCCTATCATTTTAGCTTTACTTTCTCTCCTTCCCAATCAAATATATTTAAATGCATTAGTAAGAAACCTAATGCAGATTTTGCTTACGGTAAGTACTTTGCCTTAGTCCTACAAAATTACATAACTTAGAAAGTTTTGAAAATTATTAATCTATAATTATCATATTATCATTTTGGAATAAGTGACATAGAGAAAATAAACAGTAGTTCAAAGTTCTTTTACTTGGAAAAATTGTCTACAACTCCCAAAACACTTAGAAAAAAATGGAATAAAACTACAAAAATAATTATCATCCTTTAAAAAAGCTATGCTTATCATCCAAAATAAAACTTAGTGAGAAAAAGTGATTCATGGATTCACCCTCCATAAGTAAATTTATAATCTATAATAATAAAAGGGTAATATGCTAATTAGACTGGACATCATTCCGGATGTCCTTCCTGACAAAGCCGGAGCAGGGGGAAAGATGGCCAGGATCCCAGGAGCCTGCGAGCAGCCTGAGGAAAGCCAGCTGGGGTCCCTGGTGCCTGTGGGCGGCCAGAGGAGAGAAGCAGCCCGGGTGCCGGGTGCTGGAGGGAAGCCGGTGCTGGCAGCCAGGGGAAGGAAGGCCTACTCTTGCATGAATTTTTGTGCATCAGGCCTCTAGTTCACATATAATCATATGGCTATTGAATTTATGAAATCTATTCTAGACACTATTTTTTAGTAGTTTTGTGACTTAGATAAGCCCCTAAGCCAGCCATGGGCAAACTACGGCCCGCAGGCTGGATCCGGCCCGTTTGAAATGAATAAAACTAAAAAAAAAAAAGACCGTACCCTTTTATGTAATGATGTTTACTTTGAATTTATATTAGTTCACACAAACACTCCATCCATGCTTTTGTTCCGGCCCTCCGGTCCAGTTTAAGAACCCATTGTGGCCCTCGAGTCAAAAAGTTTGCCCACCCCTGCCCTAAGCCATGCTGATTCATAGTTTCAGCACTCCAAAATGAGAGGGTCTGAACTGATGATCTCAAAGGACTCATCAGCTCAGTGTTTTTGCGAGTCTATGACAATGAACATTTTGCAGTTGGAATATAGTTCTCCACATCCTCTAACATTTTAGTCTTCAAAATTCTTAAGATCTATATCATTGGCAATTGGAAAGATGTCACTTGAAGTTAATACCTATTTGTAATCATAAGGACAGTCCTCTTGCTTCCAGAAATAGCGCAATGATATCGATACGTCTCTCCTTCTAACTTTTTGACATGATTCTGAAAACAAAACAAAACAAAACAAAAAAACCTCAAGATGTAGATAATACATGCATTCAAACAGTATTTTTAATATTGTATATTAGCTAATTTTAATAACAATGATAGGAAAAATATTAGGAACAAAGCACAATTCCACATATTCTCATGTGAGGCTAAAAAAATATTCATCACATGTTTATAAATTAACTTCCACTGTTCCTTAAAAGACAAATATGTATTAAATGCTTACTAAGTGATCTTCTGGTAAATTAACATTTCATTCTGTGATAACTTAGAAATTTTAGAATATCTACCAGAAATAATCACACATTTTCATTCATGAGAATATGAACATATGCTAAAACTTGGACATTAATATTACAGGGGTTCTTAACCTGGGGTCCATGGAAACATGTTGGCAGGGCTATGAACTACCTAAAATAGAACATAAAATTTTGAAAATGTGGTTCTGCAACTTCTTTCAGATGATGGTTCATATTTTTCATCTGATATTTTTAAATGTCTGTGATCCTTCTCAAAGGCTAAGAACCACTGCTTTTACATAGAGGTAGATATACACATAATAAAATTCCAAGATAACTGATCAATTTAGTGTTTTGAGTATTTAGTTTTATAGGTTAAATATGCATGAGAAGTATATGTATGTATCAAATTATGTTCCTGAGAGAGAAGAAAATTTAATATAAAAACACATAAAAAATTTCTAAGACTTCAAATAGCTGTTACAATTTATTGCTAACAATTACAAACATAAAATAATTCAAGTATAAATAGTAGCACATTAAAATACATTTGTTTACATTTCAACTATCTCAAAACTACTTAAATTAGTCAACACATTAAAAACAAACAGTTATGTTTTATAACTAATGTTAATGAAATATTATTGACATTATCTGTAACGTATAAAGATTAGATAATTAAGATATATGTAAACACAAAACATAAATATACCCAATAAATAAGACCTTAATATTCTACCTCCCCCCAAGACCTTAACATTTTATAACTAAGAATAACCAAGAATATAACACCAATATTAAAAGATAATGTAATCAGTAACAATCACAAGCAGATCTGTAATTATTTCCATTTTATTTTATTTTATTTTATTTTTAAATATATTTTATTGATTTTTTTACAGAGAGGAAGGGAGAGAGACAGAGAGTCAGAAACATCGATGAGAGAGAAACATCGATCAGCTGCCTCCTGCACATCTCCTATTGGGGATGTGCCCACAACCAACGTACATGCCCCCGACCGGAATCGAACCCGGGACCTCTCAGTCCGCAGGCCGACGCTCTATCCACTGAGCCAAACCGGTTTCGGCTCCATTTTAAATACACGTTTTTTAAAGGCCCTTGGTTCCCAGTCATTCTTTGACGATTATAAAAAGCTATGGACAGAGATGGATCCTCAAAGAACTGAGGTCTCATCTTCAGAATGAATCTCAGAGAAGCGGAGTTTAACAGTCACTTGTTTTACATCAAGCCTGTGTGAAGTAGCTAAAATCTGTTAACATCTAAATTTAATTTATTTAATAAAGAGAGAATGGAAAATAAATATAATAATTTAGTAAATTTATTTTCAATGTTGGAATGTAAATATGTTAAAATTTTTGGATTTTAGATGCATTATACAAAAAAATACTACCAACTTTCCATCGTTCATGCACTTTCATTAGTTATCAATCTATTGCTATCTTTAAACTATTGAAAGCTTTTAAAGTATAATTTATCACCATAATATACTATAGAAACCTTGTTTTTTAAGCAGTACTAAAATCCACTACACTCTGAGATTCAGATTAAGATAGTCACTGATGGCAGCAAGATACCAGATTAGTTAATAAAATATTCATTCTCTCTTCCCAAAATGCATCTTGAGGAATTTACAATCTTTAGCAAAATCATTCAATTTATATTTCAAGTAAAGTCTAAGGAAATAATACAAGATATGAAAAAGCAGTGTATATAATAATGTTTCATTATTACTGTTATTAAAACAACAGAAACAACTTTAATGTCAAGAATTAGGAATGGTCAAACACACAGTACATGGTTACCTTAATAGATGGTAATGCAAGAACTAAGAATGAAATATTTCTATGAACATGAAAAAATATAATTAAAATGAAAAAGCAAGAAACACCATTTTAAATATTATATGATCATATGTATGTGAACCAAGATGAGTATGAAATAAGATCTGGCCATATAGATATGTATGTGTGTGTGTGTGTGTGTATATATATATATATATATATATATGTGTGTATATATATATATATATATATATATATATATATATATATATATAGTAATTATTCTAGCAGAATAGAGAATAAGCAAAATATATCCTATAAAAACACAGTATATGATTTAGTAACTTTCAAAGCTGGGCATTAAATAATACAGAGCAATAATCAGAAGAAGAAGAAGACAATGGAGAAAATAAAAAAATTCCCAAATAAATATTTAGAATGTACCCATATAACAAATCAAGCCTATGAGGAAATAATTTTATACTCTAGATTTAATATTTAGACATTATGTTATACTTAGTCTCTTAAGGACAGAAGTCTTATTTCTATTGTATATCCAGCACAGTCTAGAGATAATCAATAAATACATCATAAATAACTGATTATAGCAAGATGGGCAAGGGATGAAACAGCCTACACTTGTCACTCATTGAGAAAAATTACCAACTCATCTTATTAATGTACAATCACTCTATTTCTTCCAGTAACTAAAATAGCATATAAAACTTTAAAAGATGTCTGATATTAACAAAAACTAATAAATCAGACAAGGTAACTACATTTAGCTTTAATAATAAAAAGCTTCTTGAAGTTTTGTGCTTATTCATAAGCAGTTGTAAAACGGATCATTACAAGGAAAAGTTTAACAATATAAAAAGCTAAACAAACAGAAAGTAAACAGTAAGTTAAAAAATGTTTAACAAGTTAATACAATTTCCCAAAAATCAAGTCTCATTAAAATTGCAATATATCCAGGTAAATTAAAAATAGTTACTTTTACCTAAGAAGGAAGTGTAATTATTAGTGATGATTAAAGACAGCATCTTGAATTAGTTATTGTACCGGATTCTTACAGAAACTGTATATGCAGGGACTTTTTTTGCCAATTCTCAATTATGTAGGCACAAGAAAAATTTGTCAGCTAGAGTTTTAGGCTGGTCTTTGGATATCATTCTTTTTTCTTTAAAGTGCTTGTTTTAAATGTGAAGCATTTAATTTACTCTTTTGCTAATTATGGTTTAAAATATAATTAAAATGAAAAAATCAAGAAACACCATTTTAAATATTATATGATCATAAGTATATGAATCAAAAATAGATATAATCCAAGTGACCAGCTATATGCTAACAGTTTCATTCTCTTCAAATGTATAACACATTAAATCTAAATTTATACTTTGGTTTCAATTTTGGGGAAAAGAATGATAACTTATTCTGAAAATTAACTATGAAGGCGCTAATTTCAAAATGATCGTTTATGATATTTTGTTCTCATTAAGATAAAGAGGACTTAAAAACAAAAAGCGTTGGCTTTTAAAAATAAATAAATCTATGAATTCAAGTGCCACATAAGCAATTTGCCTAATTACATGTTCAACTTCTATTTACATTAATTAAAAGTAATATAACTGTGAAATTAGCATAACCAACAAGGAGATTCAATTTTTAAAAAGTATAAATGCTAAAGGCTGAGAATGTATGTACATAATTATAAAATGATTGCCATTTATCTAGCAAGAATACCAAGAGTTTTAAAAAGGAAAAAGAGCAAGGAAACACATTCTCAAAATTCACTGACAGACATAGAACAACTAACTGACACTTCAGTTATTAAAACATATGCCCCAGTTAATACTTCCATAACCTGGGTAAATTTAGGGTTATTTATCAAACAAAGTTATGTAATTCCATCATCAGGACTCATAAACCAAAGAATACATAATATATTGTACATAATTTTCCTTTATCCGACTTTAACTGAAATGTACATGAATACCACAAGAAAAGATAAAATTTTCAAAATAATAGTTAAAATGTGTGCTCAATTAAAGTCTTTCACCAACTAAATGGAGAAGAGAGTTGATTTTTCTGCATTATTTAATCTTTTTAATTGATCTCTTACTCCTGTATAGGATTACCATGAATACCACCATTTTTATTTGTAGTCAAGACACTACAATAAAAAGTTCAGATTTTTATTTTAAAAAAAGCTCATGAAAATGGATTCTCAACCTAAATAAATCAAAGACAGTCAATTAATACCACAGTTTGTTTTGATTTTTTAAGGATGAAATCAAGTAGTGGTATAGGAGACATTTACTCCTGTATTTCCAGTTCTTGCTGTGTAGGCAGAAAAAGAAAGAAAATAAAGTTAGAAGCATGCAGATAAATAAAATGTAATCACATATAATAAAAGCCATAGACTAATAACAATGAAGAGTCATTTTATTTTAAAATGAAAGTAGAAAAATATTAATAAATTTATTTTGGGGGAAAGCTAATCATTGGAGTATATTTATACAGGTCTATATTATTTAAATACAGTAAAAACTAAAAGCCAAAAAAATCCTTTAAATTTTTTAAGGCTTGAAACTTTTATAATTGTACATAATCTTTTTTTCTCTCCTCCAGCTTCTGTTTATCTAAGTAAATCTGGATTTACAGAGTATTCCAAATAAATAGATTTGGTTGGGATAAAAGAAAGCAGTGAAATTCCAGTAATTAGCTACAAAGCAGAAAACCAAAGTTAACAATGTTAACTAAATGAGCTATCATACAAATAGTAATAAAGCCTACAACTTCTTTTAATATTATCCTTTCTGTACAAAAAAAGCTTTGCGCCTGTGCAGAAAAAAAATTACCAGTTATTCCCATTTAACACATTACACTAAAATAAAGCAATCAAATTCTACTCTACAAACCATGTTCCTTGTGTAATCTCTAAAAAAGTTCATGAATGAGGAACTTCACGAACCACCCATGAAATTGTGATCCTAGAAATCTTTAAAATTAAATTTCACTCATGACCATAAGAACAGAACTTATACCTCATATAAATCATAGCCCTCGGATTCCTGTCTGTCGTAGGGGCGAATGATGCCGTCTTCATGGATCAGGCGAGGGGGACGGAGTCTGGACACTTCCTCAGTTGATTCTGCTGCCCTGTATAAGGCATCAGAATAAGTATAAGAAACTGTGAGAATCCTTCAAAATAATACAAGTATATATGTTGATAAAACACTGTACTATGCTCCATATTATATCAGTATTTGATAAAAACAGAGTACTTTTAAATAACTTGTCCCAAATAATGCAACAAATATTAAAACCAAGTCTGTCTAACTCTAACATCTCCCAACTATTTAAAAAAAGAAAGAAAGAAAAGAAACGTCAAAAAATAAAGGCAAAGACTAGGTTGTCCATTCTTCGTATCCTTGGTGTGTAGCATATAGTAGGTATCAGTAAACATTCATTGAGAAAAAAGAGAAATTTAGGCATAAACAATGTCTCCTCTTACTCCTTTCTGGTGGCACTCTACCTAGTGAACCTGTCATACAGGAAGCAAAATATTTACCTAGTTATGTATCCCTAGCAACAATTACACACAGACACATATCTTGCACATAGTATATACTTAATTACCTCTGAATTCCTTGGAAGGTACTGCTGGCCATATCTATGATTCCTCCAGTGGGACCAGCCACAGCACCCACAAGCCCTTTTCCAATTCCTTTAAAGAATCCAGCAGCTCCTTCCTTTTTGGCACCTTCATAAAACCAAAGACAATGAATGTATAAAGATATTTTAAAATAATCAAGTTTGAGCACAACAGAAGCCTGAGTGAAATGCCAAAATGCTTACTCAAAAAGCTTCCAAAATTTGGCTTTCTGAAGAAGTTAAATTTAATAACATGATAATCAGTGGTTCTCAAAGTGTGTTAAAAATGCGCACTTGGGCCCCATCCTAGACCTACTGAATTAGGAACTCTGGGAGTGATCCCAGAAATCTGTTTTTATTAAACCTTACCCAAGGATATTCCCCCACACACACCCCCATCGAGTTTTAAAGAGAGTGGAAGGGAGGGAGGAGAGAGAGAGAGAGAGAGAGAGAGAGAGAGAGAGAGAGAGAGAGAGAGAGAGAGAGAGAGAGAGAAACATTGATGTGAGAGACACATCAATCAGTTGCCTCTTGTACACGCCCTGACCAAGGCTGGAATAGGGCCTGCAACCCAGGTACAAGCCCTTGACTGGGAATCAAACCCAGACCCTTCAGTCTGCAGGCAATACTCTAATCATTTAGCAACCCAGCCAGTGCAGCAATCTGTTTTAATAAACCTTCCAGGTAATCCTGAGGCATGTTCAAATTTATAACTTGTGACTCAAGAGTTTAGTCAGTATTTGTGACTAGAAGGTCTAAGAACTGACCAGAAAATATCTTCTTTTTTTATGCCAGCCGTCAGGAAATTTTTCAAGCAGTGTACATTAATATATATATATATATATATATATATATATATATATATATATATATATACACACACACACACATACATACACACACACACACACACACACACACACACACACACACACACACACTAGAGGCCTGATGCACAAAATTCATGCAAGGGGCTTGGCCCTCACAGCCCCAGCTTTGTCCTGAAGGTCATCCAGAAGGACGTCCAGTCTAATTAGCATATTATGCTTTTATTATTATATATATATATGGTATGTGTGAACTTTACTGAAATATAATTAATATGCCATATAATGTACCCATTAAAGTATAAATTAAATTTTTTTTAGTATATTCAGAGTTGTGTAACCATCACCAGATTCAATTTTAGAAAATTTTTATCATCTCAAAAAGAAACCCTATGCCTATTAGCAGTCATTCCCCATTTCCCCTGGCCCTTCCCCATCCGATCTTATGCAATTTACCTCCTTCCTCCCACCAGTCAAACCTAGGCAGTCACTAATCTACTTTTTTTTCTATCTCTATGGATCTGCCCATTGTGGACCTTCCTACAATTGGAATCATTCAATAGGTGGTATGTTTAGCCTTCCCACTTGACATCAGGTTTACAAGGTTCATCCACCTTATACTGTATAGACAGTTCCCAACTTGAAATTGTTCGAATTATGATTTTTGACTTTACGATGGTATGAGAGCAATATCCATTCGGTAAAAACTAATTCGATTTCCTGAGCAAGCAGTATGCGGATGACACTGTCTCATGATGCAAGGCAGCATCAGTGAGGCTCAGCTCCCAGGTGGCCATGTGATCATGTGGGTAAGCAATCAATGCTTTACAGTGTAGTAGTAAATGCATTTTTGACTTATGATATTTTAAACTTCAAACTGGTTTATCGGGACATAACTGCATTATAAGTTGAGAAGCATCTGTACTTGATTTCTTTTTACATCTGGATAATGTCTCATTATATCAATATACCACATTTCGTTTATCCATGCATTAGTTGATGAACATTTGGGTTGCTATTATAGTCTGGCTACTATGAATAATGTTTCCATGAATATTTATATACAAGTTTTGGGGCAAACATGTTTTAAATTCTCTAGAGTATATAGCTAGGAGTGGAATTGCTATGTCATAAAATATAAACTCCATATATTTACTTCCAGTTGTCCCAATATCATTTGTTGAAAGGCTATTTTTTCTTTATGAAATTATCTTGGCACGCTTCTAAAAAATATATTCGCCATAAATGTAAAGGTTTATTTCTAGAATCTCAATTTCATTGATCCATATATATGTTTATTCATATGCTAGTACCACACTGTCTTAGTTACTGTAACTTTATAGTAAATTTTTAAATTAGATGGTACAAGTCCTCAACTTTGTTCTATTTTTTCAAGATTGCTTTGGCTATTTGCAATCCTTTAAATTCCTGTTTAAATTTTAGAATCAGCTTATAAATTTCTATAAAGAAGCCAATTGCACTAAGTAAAGCAATGTGGTTTTTAAAATAGGATAAAAAAAATAAGTTAGTAGCTATTGAAGGCCCAAAGCAATCTAGCTTATGAACTTCCTGAACATAACATTTGAAGTCTAAATTACAGTCTACTACTTAACCCCTCTACTTTCTGAGAAAAGCATATTCATTAAATAATAATTTAGAACTATGAACATAAAATTAATCAGAAATTCTCCCAAATACCTATTAGCAATAAAATTTACTATGTTTACCATGCATCAACTCTTCAGAGCCTGTACATGAGGGAAAGATTATCAACCTACCTTCCATAGGTTTTGTTATTATTCCAGTCACTCCACCAACAACTCCCTGAAAGAGAAATCAATCATACAAACTTGAATGGAGGGTGCTTAATTTTAAATCAACCACTAGAGGTCTCTACAGACACACTAGAAAAAAACAAAAAAACAAAAAACCCACGAGTACTTATTTGATAATGTGAACAACATGTACACAGAGGTGAACAATATGATTTTCAAAATGTCACAGCAAATGTTAAATGAAAGCAGCTTCTAGAAGTAAAATTTTATAACAGAAAGAACAGTAAAGCAGGTGAAAAGATTATTTTTGTTCTTATTTCATATGGTATTTTTTGTTTTATTTATTTTTTCAATTACAGCTTACATTAAATTATTATTTTGTATTAGTTTTGGGTGTTAAATCTGTTTCTAAAACTGCAAAATGAGTGAGTTGAGCCAAATTATCCTTAATATCTACTTATAAATTTTAATGAGATTACTTATAACTTAATGAAAGTGTGGAAAATTGATAATGAAGGGACCCCTGAAAGATTTTTGAGGAGACAACATACAACATTACAAATTACTGGCACAATCACAGCAGGTATAGCTTCCTGAAATTTCCAAAATTAAAATAGTAATATATTTATACATTCCTAATAATTGTCAAGTAGTGGCATTAATTAAAACTACCTGCATGTTGCCGAAACCGGTTTGGCTCAGTGGATAGAGCGTCGGCCTGCGGACTGAAAGGTCCCGGGTTCGATTCCGGTCAAGGGCATGTACCTTGGTTGTGGGCACATCCCCAGTGGGGAGTGTGCAGGAGGCAGCTGATCGATGTTTCTCTCTCATCGATGTTCCTAACTCTCTATCTCTCTCCTTTCCTCTCTGTAAAAACTCAATAAAAATATATTTAAAAAAAAAACTAAAAAAAAACAAAAAACTACCTGCATGTTATATAAACATATAGAAAAAGAACTAAGGGAATACACCCTATTGAAAAGATTAGATACCCCTGCAAAGAGGTGAGGGATGATCAAAGAGTACTTAGAGCTTACCTATAATGATTTCATTACTTATTAAATATAAAAGGAAAAGTTATGTTTTTATAATTTCTTATAAGGAGAATGTTCATATGTAATCCATAATTAAACCATATTCATATATTACCTGCATAATTTTTTGTTTCTTTGTTTGAAAATGTGATTAACCCCTCTACCCAATAAAGGCCTACCTGCTTAACTCTAAGTATATTATGAATTAGATTTATATTCATTATTGTGCTATAGTCACAAAATTTATTGTAATGTTTGCCCTAAAAGTTTTTTTAATATTTTAACTTACCATTTAGACACTAACTCCCCACCACGTGTGTGTGTGTGTGTGTGTGTGTGTGAGAGAGAGAATGGTTTTTGGGGGGAATGCATTTGTTGTTATTGCTGTTGACACTATTAAGATGCCCCCTATTCCCCTCCCTTTATCCCCTTCAGACCTTGCCCTCCCCCTGACCCCCAAGCCTTCACACATTGTTGTCTCTGTCCATGGGCTATACATATATGTTCCTTGACTAATCTCTTCCAGTCCCCCTCCCCGCCACCTATCTCCCCTCTGAGGTCTGTCCGTCTGTTCCAGGTATCCATGCCTCTGGTATAATTTTTAAAGTACTGAGAAGTAGTGAATGGCAGTTTCTGGTTTATACACAACTTCTACACCTCCCTTCCACAGAATGGTCCATTAATGACCTAAACTCCTCCCCCCCCCAGGTATCATCATTTGCCATATTTCTCTGCTTATATATTCCTTTCCTTCCACGCCAGTGCTAACCTGCCATCATTATAGAGTTTTCACTCCAACCCAAGTGCCAAACTAAGTCTGCAATTTCGGGGATAGATCTGATGATGATAATGGAGGAGGAGAGCAAAAAGGAAACAGAAAAGTCCACAATGTATCACTACTGCCACTCTAACAGACATCGGCTCTCAAGCAGTATTCCAAGAGTACATATCTAAAGTGTACATAAAAGTCGAGGGCTTCTTGAGGATTCAGCGTTAGACTTACACGCAGGAAGCCCTTTCCTCCTCTGGCCAAGCTGTCTCCAAAATCTTTAGGTTGTCGACCCATCTCTTCTCTTCTTTTTTGCTGATATTCCTTGTCCAATGTAATTGCTGCCAAACCTTTTCCAACAGAACCGGTGATTCGAGATACAACTCCTGCTGCACCACCTATCAAAAGGCCCAAAGAAGTAAGCTGCATTGTTTCTTTAACAAGCATTACCACTGTACATAGCACGCGACTGCTTAAACTAACCATTGCTTAAAATTCTGTCTCATACATAAAAATGCAAACATTTATTTTTTGTGTTTCCCATATACCAAGAAGAGGAATAAAACTATTTAAAGTACATGGATTCTATACTACGAAGACATAAAAAATCAAGCATATCAGTGTTAAATTACTTTCCATTTAAGAAGAAGAGAACACATCTTTTAAAAGGATTAGAAAAATCATCTTTTTATAAAATACAATAATTTGTTTTTGATAAACAATGAATTTTATAATCTATACTAGAGGCCCAGTGCACAAAATTCATGCAGGGGGGGGGGAGGGAGTGTCCCCCAGCCCAGCCTGCATCCTCTTGCAATCCTGGACCCCTCAGGGGATGTCCAACTGCCAGTTTAGGCCCAATCCCGTTGGACATCCCTCTCGCAATCCAGGACCACTGGTTCCTAACTGCTCGCCTGCCTGCCTGCCTGCCTGATCACCCCTAACCATTCTGCCTGCCTGATCACCCCTAAACACCTCTGCCTACCTGCCTGATCATCCCCAACTGCTCGCCTGCCTGACTAATCGCCCCTAACCACCTCTGCCTCGGCCCCCGCCACTGTGGCTTCGTCTGGAAGGACGTCCGAAGGTCGTTTGGCTGTCCGGTCTAATTAGCATCTTATGCTTTTATTATTATAGATATATAAAAGGCTAATATGCTAAGGGTCCGACCGTCTGACTGGTCGCTATGACGTGTACTGGCCACCAGGAGGCAGACGCTCAATGCAGGAGCTGCTAAGTTGTGGTGACTTGGCATTGGCGGTTCTCAGGTGACACATCCCGAAACCAGAGAGGAGGGAGCCCGATTCCTCACGGAGACATGTGATTCCACCTTCGGCCCTGGGTTATGTTGTTGCTGGGACACTGCTGGCCCCGAATCTGGTTTACTGCACACTTGCGTTTGCATTCCATACCCTGTACGAGAGCAATTTTGCAGAGTGCCCTCTCGCACTCCAGGACACCTTGGGCGATGTTGGAGAGCTGGTTTCAGCCCGATCCGCGCAGGCCAGGCCAAGGGACCCCACTTGCCAGAGGGTCCTCGCTCACTCCACAGATGCCCCCGAGCCACGGCGCCACCCCAGGTGTGGCAGGCTGGGGAGGAACCAAGGGAGGCTGGTTCCAGGGCATGTCCAGCCCATCTCGCCCAGTCCCACACTGCCAGCAACCTTCTAATTAATTTCCTTTCAATGTGCATGAATCCGTGCACCGGGTCACTAATTATTATAATAAAATATATATATACATAAGTATGTGGTACATACCTACTGTGTGTCCAAAGAGACTTCTTACCCCAATCACTAACCCCTCAGCAAATTCTTCAGGGCCTTGTACAGCACCCTGGCCAAAAACAAGAAACAAAAAATTGCTATTTAAAATAAAATAAGTTTAAGACCGTTAATCTAGTATTTCAGGGTTTCCATGAAGATACAGAATCTGTAACGAGCCATAACATGTGATGACACAGCTTTTGCCCTCAAACCCAAATATTGATGGAACACCTATTATTTTTGAAGACACTTTCAACCCACCTGATCTCAACATACCCTTTAAGATGACAAAAATTGAATAGGAGTAAACCCCTGGCCTCAGTCACAATCGGAAGCTGCCCTCTCAGCACCAAGTTCCATCAGAATGCTAAACAAAGGTGTGTTTTTTTGGGTACATCTACACAATGGAATACTATGCTGCTGTAAAAAGGAAGGAACTCCTACCATTTGCAACAGCATGGACAGAGCTGGAGAGCATTATGCTAAGTGAAATAAGTCAGTCAGAGAAAGATAAATATCACATGCTCTCACTCATTTGTGGATTATAATGAACAACATAAACCAATGAACAAAAACAGATGTAGAGACAGAGAAGCATCAATCAGATGCTCAAAACTCAAAGGGAAGGTAGGGGAGGGTGGGGGTGAGGGGGAGAGATCAATCAAGGGACTTGTATGCATGCATATAAGTGATGGATGTGGACAACAGGGGTGAGAGTGAGGGCAGGATTGGGGGGATGAGAGGACATTGGGGGGATAAGGACACATTTGTAATATCTTAATCAATAAAGGGAAAAAAAGTAAATGTTATTTTCTACATTAAAAAAAAAAAAGAATGCTAAACAAGCCCCAGTGGTAACAAGACTGAGCCCACACAGTACTGGCTTCCTTGTGCTTCCATTTATTCTCTCTGCTTTGTCCTTCTGAAACCTTCACTACTTTGGGCTCCTGGAGCCTTTAAATGGAGGAGAACAGGTTAGAGCAAAACCTGAATATAAAACTAAGTCAGCTTTTAATGCCCCATTAGTTCCTTCCATAGTGGTGAAACAGCCTTGAAATGGTCTTAATCTCTGTAGCATTCTTCCTTACAAGTACAATTAAATACTGGAAAATGTGGGCATGCTTTATTGCCCAGACAACAGAAGTGCTCAATTAATACTAAAACAATCTTTTAATGTCATCTCAAGTAATTTTAAATAAAAAAAAATAGAATATTGATATACATATTTAAATTTTATTAAATTAATTGGGGTGACACTGGTTAATAAGTCTAAAAGTTTCAAGAGTTCAATTCTATAATAAATCATCTGTATACTACATTACTGTGTGTTCACCACCAAAGTTAAGTCTCCTTCTGTCACCATTTGACTCATTTTACCCTTTTCTAACTCCGTCCTCCCTCCTTTCCCTCTGGTAACCATCATATTGTACCTATGAGTTTTTGTTAGTTTGTTGTTTTCTGTTGTATTTTTGTTATCTGAATATTATTCAATTCCCAAATACAGTTAAAATACAAATTATTTGTCATTAATAAAAGAGAACATCCATTTTCCTATAGCAGTGGTCGGCAAACTACGGCTCGCGAGCCACATGCGGCTCTTTGGCCCCTTGAGTGTGGCTCTTCCTAAGCCTTAGGAGTACCCTAATTAAGTTAATAACAATGTACCTACCTATATAGTTTAAGTTTAAAAAATTTGGCTCTCAAAAGAAATTTCAATCGTTGTACCATTGATATTTGGCTCTGCTGACTAATGAGTTTGCCGACCACTGTCCTATAGTTATACTCAAAATAAATAAAAGACCAATACCTGGAAGGGTTCATAGAACAAAGCTTCAACTCCTTCAGACAGACCTCTAAGTAATCCAAATGGGTTTCCAAGCACATCCAAGCCTAATACAAGGACATACATCTGTTTCAAGAACTAAAAAAAAAAAAAAAAAAAAAAGGAATTTAAGTCCTTTACAACTATTGGAAGAGACAACATTATAATACGACAGGAAAAAGAGGGAGTACTGGTTAAATTAGGTTGTTAAATGAAAGCAATGCGGAATAACCAGTACTATGTTCACTACATGTTCACTAATTGATATTTCACAATGTGGCAGGCAGTATGCTAGTACTTTACATGGGGCTTTCAAATTAGATGGAACTAGGATTGAGGCACAGTCTGCCATTTAGCAGTTATATAACTTTAGACAAGGCACTGAGTCTCTAGGCCTCAGTCTTCTCATCTGTAAAATGGGAGGTGTATTATACTGACCTTGCATGACTGAGTATGCACATTAAGTGAATATATAATTCAGTAATTGTTCCTTAATTTTAATATTGTTATCATCACTATTACTATGAAACTAAATAGGGAATAACAACCAAAAGAAAAACAAATAAAAATCTATGCTTATGTGAACATTTAATAACCAGAATGTCTCTACACACCACAGGAGAAAGCACCTTCCAATAGATGAAGGCAGGAGAATGGTACCTTGAAGTACCACAGTAAGCAAGGGTGCTCTTGTGCCCTGAAACAACTACTAATTCTGAGTAGTCAAACTGAACCACAGAGTAACTGAGTTATGAGGAGGAACCTGGCTTAGAATTCCTCTTGCAATTCTACTAGAATATACTTAGAAACTGCAGTCACTGGAAAAAATAAAATGTAATGATTCCTAAGTCATTATTTTTTCCCAAAGTGAATAGATATATAATTGCAAAGGGAAAAGGGCACCAGAAGAAACTTTTAAAAAGGTATATAGAGGGGGAAAGAACTAAAAGATATAGAAATTAATCATTCAAGAAACTACTAAGTAATAAGATTGCAAATTGGGATAAATTAGGTAAACATTACTGAATACCACACAATCACATACAAATCTTTTCTTTTGACATTTTATGAAGAATATTCCTTATGAGATATTATGATAAGAAATTACCTGTTCACTGTAATGTCTAACAACACTCCACATGAGCTGATCTCTTTTATAAAACTGATATCGAATTTCATAATAAGCAAGTCTGGGAGAAGAAAGATTCAAAGGTATTAAGATTATATTCTGAAAATAAGATAATTAAAATTTCAATGATTAATTATTGCTAATTCTTTTACAATTAGATCTGTACATCTGCCACATATATGTTTGAGATCTTGACATTACGATAACAGATTTATTATTTAAATAGTACATTCTCATACAAGTCTTTCATAAAAAAATAAAAAGGTTTAAAAAAGTCAACCATAATCCCCCCGCACAGTGGATTTTTTAATTTTTCTTTCCGTGATTACCACTTTGAATCCTTTCTTTTCTCTTCAATACAATTTAAAAATGTTTAAATTCTGTATGCAGTTTTTCACTTAACATCCTATATAATAAAAGGCTAATATGTAAATTGTCCCCTCGGGATTTCAACCAACTGGGAGTTTGACTGCTCGCTATGACAAAGCGGTGACCACCAGGGGAAGCGTGGAACGAAGGACGGCCCTGGCCAGCAGCCGGTAGCCCGGGGAAGGAAGGCCCTGATTGGCCCTGATCACTGGCCAGGCCTAGAGACCCTACCCATGCACGAATTTCATGCACCAGATCTCTAGTTGCGAATAAATATTTATCTCTGTTATTCAAATTTCTATGTAACACTTTTGTGTAAAGTATCATAACAATTCTTCCTCTCATGCATTTCCAAATTTTGAATATAACTCTTTGGTTAAATTTAAAGATATTTTTATGGAATTCTCCCCAAAATAATTACTGAGTGAAAGACTAAAAACATTTAAGACTCTTGATAGATATCACTTTCCATTCATACAGGTTTTTTTCAAAGGTACCCTTTTCTCAGGCTCACCCCCTTTTTGTACTAGAATTGCTCATATTTTGAAATCTTTTGATAATTTGCTATAACTTTCCTATATTCTTTGATAAATAATAAAATGTAACATTTCAGATCTCTATCAGCCACTGTACCTTCCCTTTTATGAGTTATCTCTTACTGTCTCTGGCAATATGGCATTGGAATCTTTAGCTTTTTCTCATGAATGTTAAATAGGAAGACTCTTAATCCTTTGTGTCATATTTTCTCAATTATTTTTTTTAAATTTTCTTGATTTGGTTATAAAGTGTTTCCTTTACTTTTAAACTTAGACTTCCTTTATTCAGAGACCTGATAGCAATTAACTTCTATTTTTTCTTAGTCTTTTCAACTTGAACTTTATCTTTAATTCTTTGAGTCCACGAAATTTAATAGTGTACAATTGAGGTGAAAGTGATATATGTCTTTTTCTCCAAGGTAACTACTTGTTCTAATCCTATAGATGAATATTCAATTCGATAAACATTCCTTGAATATATATGTTTCTGGCACACATTAAGTATTATACTATTAGATGCAGCAAAGAGTTATAATCTATAATTTGCCTTATGATTATACTGAAATCTTACCCTGTAGCTACATATTTCTAAATATAATTGTTTTAAAAAATGGTCAATATATACTACTAAAATAATTCAATTTTAATCTACATTAGTGTATTATCAAGATATTAATAACTTAAGAAAACACAAGATTCTTTACCTTATTTTTATGAGTAAAATAAGCATACCAAGAGAGAATAACTACAAAGGGACCAAACTCTTCAAGTTTAAGTAGTAAGACTTATCATTTTTCTAAGCTAACATTCTAGCAAAAATGAAGGAAATTAATATCCAGAAAGATATCCTTGGTACAAAAGTCTTCCAATGTACTTTAACATAAATCTTACTTAAATATAAGATCATCCACATCAGTCAAAGTAGCACCTATGCTTTTCAACAGCAAATTGATGGAATGAATTGCAATCATTTCTTGTTTTTCTTTGTCTGATTCTTCACCTCCAGAACCCAAAGACAGACTCAAATGTAACTAAAAGAAAAATAATACTCAATAAATAGAAGGTAAAAACAAAACAAAAAAATTTATATACAGATATTTTAGATACAAACAAATGTTGTATCTTTCATTAGGGTCCTACAGAAAGCCATTATTTGTTACTCAGTATATAATTATCACAGAATAACTCATTCTTACCTGATTCTCATATTTTGTGAAATATAAATTAGTCTGCTCCAAATTTAGAGCTATAATAATTTTATTCAAAGTGTATAAATGTGATTGTGTTTATATGGAGGGCCCAAAATAACATTTAAAAAAATAGCATAATCATTTTAGGAAGAAAAATGTCAAATGGCACACAAGTAAGCTACCAGTCAAAATGGATATTCAATTATTTTCATCCAATTAGGTAAATAACTTATGGCAACAACTAACTATAACAATTGTTACAATTATAAGTAACAATAATAACAAGTAACAATAAGTGACCATTATGGCAACGATTAGCAAGTTGCTAAATAAGTTTTTAAAAGTGTAATAATAATGTATTCAGCTTCCACGTGCCCCTTCACCTCAGTACTGAAACATGAGACTTTCACATTCCCATTTAATGGCTTATTCTACTTTGTGCTGTATCATTAGTGCAACAGAGCCAGAAAACAAGGTCAAACTGCGACCTGTGTAAACAGAACAGATGATTCTCCTTTCTCATTCTGCCATTCCCTAGGCATTCTACCTAACCCAGAAAGAGTTCAATAGAATAGACTTAGGGTAAGTCCAGGAAAGCCTGGTTGTTGGTTTTTTTCTTAGATGTGGACTTTTGCCCATCTGCAGAGTCAAGAGAGTGTTGGGATCCAGGAAAGGTAAGCTTAGATGGATAGAGATCCAGCCTTTCTCTAGGGCAAAGTCACCATGGGATAAGAAAGTAACTATAGTTCATAACCTTAATTATTCAACTTCATGGCACAATTCCCAGTGTGCCTAAAAACCTGAATACTCCCTAGATCAGGGATGGCGAACCTTTTGAGCTCGGCGTGTCAGCATTTTGAAAAACCCTAACTTAACTATGGTGCCGTGTCACATATAGAAATTTTTTGATATTTGCAACCATAGTAAAACAAAGATGTATATTTTTGATATTTATTTTATATATTTAAATGCCATTTAACAAAGAAAAAATCAACCAAAAAAATGAGTTCGCGTGTCACCTCTGACACACATGTCATAGGTTTGCCATCACTGCCCTAGATTATGAACTCCATGAAGTCACTTTATACCTCCCACAGAAACTTTGATCATAGCCATTCAATAAATATTTCTTGAAGGTATTATTCAATCTCAGAAATAACTTATTTCCACTTAATGCAAAAGAAATTGTATATAAACTACCACATAAAGCAATATCAATTTTAAACCTAACACTGGATATGTCTGATACCACCAAACTAATACGTCAATTTAAAATAATTCCATTTTAAAATCCCTCACTTAGCTGAATGGATTGGTGAATGCTACCGAAAATAATGTGCTGTGAACAGTTTGTGAAAATGTAATGGGTCATCAATATTTTAGAGTTACTTAGTTGTTAATCTGCCCCATTACACAAGTTTACAGCATTATGGTTGATAGCATTTGTGAATTTCCTGAGCAGTCACCTTCTCCTATAAAACCTACAAAGAACAACAAAAGAAGAAAAGGAAATGGGTTCATAAAGTACAAAATCAGGCAAGTGAAAGGTATCCAATTTTCTACTCCCTTAGTTACAATCAGATGTTGGAAGAGTGAAAAACACCACATCAACAGTATAATAGCAACTTCAGCGTTTTTACATTCTGGTGAGGGCACCCATTATAGCTTTCTGTTTAAGCAGTGGTAGTAGTTACAAAGTGCAACCAAAACATTAAAGGTTGGTGAGCACTTCTTTGCTTAATTAAGAAATGCTTTTGTCAGCTTCTTCCTTGAATAAAGGGGCTATTAATTTAAGACTAGAAAGCACGCTCTGGTGGTTTCTCTGTGGGAATTATGGTTATACATATGTTACAGAGAACTATCTTAATTATTTCAACTTATCAAACAAAATTCCACCAAATATTTGATGCAACAAATTAAAACCCACGATTATACACAGCCCCTTTAAAAGTTCTACAACAATTCTGCCAAACTTTCAAAATAATAATTACAACAAACCTTAACAGGAGAAATATGGAAATGTTCAAAGAAACTAAGAACTGACATATCGGTCATTGAAGTCTCCATTAATTCTGTGTTTAGGGCATCAATATCTTGCTGGATTAACTTTGTCTGAAAAAGAAATAAATCAAGAATTTCTATTTTAATTTTCTTCTTCTACTACAGTTATTGAAAAAAAAAATGGCTGACTTAATTTTTCAAGTTTTATAATTTTTCCAAGAAATAAAAATTGTTACCCGCTTTCTTTCGGCTTCAGGATCAGTTGCTGGGGTAAACAACGCAATTATAGCTCCCAGAAACCCCTGATCAACTTTTAAGGCCATTTCCTGAATGAGGACCATAAAATACCTGAGGGAAAACATTTTTTTTAATGGAAAAGGGTTTCTATCAAACTTAGTAATGTTCAATGTTTCAACTTCAATTTTTGCCAAAAGCCATAGTACTTATTCCTTTATCTCTTAAAAAGTGTCATGTTTATAAGCTCAAAGTCTACTTTACTTAGACTGAGATTTTTTTTTATTACAGATTTCACTGAAGGTGATATTTAGCATTTAAAGTCCCAAATTCCCACACTTATCATGTTACAGAAGAGACAAATATGACGAGATGATATAGCATGTATTATCCTTTCTTTAGAGTCCACAGCAATTACTTTAAAGAATACATCTCACAAATACATATGTCATTTATATTTCACTAACTATTTTATATGCTAATTAGAGTAACAAAGTGGAGAAGGCATTTGAAGGAATTATTTCAACATAGAAAATTACTTGACCAAAAGTGGATTAATATGTTCAGGTAGAAAATTTACTATTTTCAAAGTAGAGTCTCATTTGTAAATTCCTTTAGATAAATAAAGGAAAATGGACTTACTTAAACTGTAAGACTTTACTGTACTCATTAAATCTTGTGATGACACTCACATCAATGAAAGGTTTGGGTTCTACGGGGAAGAAATAAAACAAGAAAGAGGCAATCACGCTTTATATTAGGTAAAAATATTTACTTAACTTTTATAAACAGAGTATATCTCAACTTAATTTTTTTTCAGATTCAAAAACACATTTCCTTATGTAATTCCTTATTTATATAAAACAAAAAGGAAATTAAACAAGAGGAGTTATTATTCCAGGTTGACGGAGGAGAATATAACCAGCTAAATAACTTTTGCCTGACACAGAGTAATGTTCAACTTAATTTTTGTTTTTTTGTTTTTTACCTGAATCCAAAGCAATAGATTTTGGAGGGGCCACAGGATGAAACACAACAGGGAACATTGTCCCTGGTAACTGATTATCAACCTGAGGGGATAAAAAAGAAAAGTAACTCAGCAGGATTACAAATAATTTAAACTTTTCCTTTCAGAGACAATACTATAGAAGATGTCACAAATTTCATCATAATTAAGGATCCGTATGTATATGTGGTACTATTAGAAGTTTCACTTAAATCTAAAATTCTTACATACCTCAGCAAGGGCAAGCTTTTTTATATGAAGGAATATGTAAATATCCTCATCATTGCATTAACATTACACAGCATGTACATCATTAATGGAAATACTTGTACCTATGGATCATGTGAGATTTTAACTATGTTTAAATAAATTGTAAATGGAGACTGGATATGAAATCAAATGATAGGTAGAAAGAAGAAAAAGAAGAAAAATGTCCTAAATAATATCCAGCAGTTAAAAGGAAGGAAAAAAAAGAGAGAGGGAGAGAGGAAAGGAAAGAAGAAGGGAACAAGCAAAGCAGCTGCCCAAACAACCTCCAATATAGCCCAGGTAGAATGACAAAAGAAAATGCTATTTGGGGATCTCATGAAAAATTCAAAGAAGTATTTAAAAACAACAATTTCAATTCAAGGAACCATTCTTGCAGGCTAGCTGGTCAAATTAAATAGTCTCAATGTGACAAGATCTTTGGACTTTGATGGTAATAATATGCTGAATCCACAGGATATTTTAGAGAAGGAGAATAAACATACAAATGAAAAGAAAGACATTAATTACAATGTATGCTAGAATCCCCAAGACTCCCAAAGTGATTAGATACAGGCGCTCTTTCACTTACGATGGGGTTATGGGGTTACATGCCGATAAATATCCTAAGTCAAAAATGTATTTAATACTACCCTGCAGAGTATCGGTTGTTGCCCTCGTGATCACGTGATGGGGAGATGTGGCTTGCTGCCTCTGTCCGGCAACACCAGACTAGCATACTGCATATCACTAATGTGGGGAAATATCAGAACTCAAAATTCAAAGTACAGTTTCTACTGAATGTTTATTGCTTTCCACCATTATAAAGTCCAGAAATTGTGATTCGAACCATCGTAAGTCAGGAACAGTCTGTATAAGTACTGAAGTGAGGATGACAGTGGTACCTGAAGCCAATACAATCTGGCCCTCAAACTTCTCTGGTGGGGAGACTGCTTAAATTCAATTTGAATTCCTGATAAAAAATCTCGCTTTATAGGGCACGGAACAGGGAGGCGCATTTCCATTGGAGTTTTATCAAAATTGACCTGGGGGGGGAAAAAAGAACATGTGTTTGTGATGAGCAGGAATTAATTAGCACTGTGGCCCATTTTAAATACTCATTTACTCACAAATTGAAAGGGAAAAATATCTTAATTTCTGCCTCACCAAAATATCTACCTTAAGGTGAAATACAGTTGAGATGTTTGAAACAGAATCATCACTTTTATACTAAAGGTATGAGGAAAACGAAAACAACTGAGAACTTTTCAATTACATAAACTGTACTTAAAGGAAGTCATGCTTAAAATTTTTAAAAAATCTTCAATAGTCATGGATAATCCTAGATAATTTTTAAACTTTGTTTTAACAAAGTTAAACAATGAATAGTTGACAGCTTATTTATAACTGACACGAATTGTAGTTATTTACATTTGAGCATGGCTGACATTTATGGGGGAGGGGGAAGGATGGGGAGGGTATCTGGTAGCCAATGCAAACTCAACCATCAGATAACAAAGACAGAAAGCTGTATGACTGAATCAGAACAAGCTAGAAATTGCAGTCAAGATTCTGGAGTCTTCTTGGAGCAAATTAATTTTCAGAGTCACTGGAAGGGCCTATGTACACTTTTGTGGACATCTCCCCTCCTTTGTGGACATATCATCACATTTAATGAATTTAATTGAGCAAGTTTTCCATCATTAAAATATATAATTCAATACCAATAAAAAAATATTTCAACCAATCTTAATTTCTCCATAATCTGACAACAAAACTAATTCTGTGAAACTATTTGTCTTGTTAATAGATTATTAAAATGTACTAGAGCATATGATTTAATAACAATGTATTTTAATTAAAAATATACTAATAAAAATATATTAATAAATATTAGTCATGCCAATCCTAATAAATGAGTTTATTTACTAATAAATTAGCTTCCACACACACATTTTCACTTGGATAGTAAAATTTTATTTATTAGCACCATCAACAACAAAATCCTATCTAATAATAGACAAACATGGTAATTGACCATACCATCGCTACACCCCCCCATTGGCTAATCAGTGAGATATGCAAATTAACTGCCAACAAAGATGGTGGCTAATTTGCATACTGCAGGCAGGGCAGGACAGCGCCATCCTGCCTGCCCTGCCGCCATCTGGCCCTGCTATCTGCAATCCGAGGCAGCGGGCATCCACATGCAACCCGACCTGGGGCGGCCGGGCGGGGCAGCAGCAATCGGCCGGCCCACCCGGGCGTCCCATGTGCGACCCAACCTGGGGCGGCGCCCCAACCCCCGGATCGGCCCTGCCATCTGCCACCCGGGGAGCGGGCCTAAGCCAGCAGATGGTTATCTCCCGAGGGGTCCCAGACTGTGAGAGGGCACAAGTGGGGCTGAGGGACACCTCCCCACACTCCCCTCCCCCGCCAGTGCACAAATTTTTGTGCACCGGGCCTCTAGTACATATATAAAATCAAAAACAAAAAATTCTGACATACCTCAAAATTATTGTCTAGTTTGATCCAGCCATGTTGTTTTGCTGCTTGATACTTCTTATAGGATTGTTCCAGTAACATTATGTGCTTTTGACTAAAAGGCTTCCATTTCTGTTTTGGTTTCATCTCCCAAACAACACCAGAACTAAAGTAATTCATAAAGAAAATTAAATTAGGAACACATATTTCAGTTTGTGGAACTGTCATTCAACTCAAAATTATTGCAACTATCAATCTTCTATGAAAATTACATTTACACAAGAGATATTTTTGAAATACCAGAATATACCTGTATTATAAAGTAACATAAGGAAAAGAAGCAGTGGGAAATGTTTCTCTATCACAAGTTGACATCAATCAATTAAAGAATTGGCAAACTTTTATAAGGACCATATAGTAAATATTTTAGGCTCTGTGGCTGAGACAACATTAAAGTTACTATGTAGCAACTTAAATAATGAGAGAAGAAAAGAAATCTTCCACAAGTTTTTTAATTGATGAAATTCAAAACAGAAAAAGAACAATTTTGTATAATTTTAAAAACACAAGTCTATTAATGAGAAAAACACATTTTTATGTTTAAATTTGTGACGTATAATTAACATAAAACAAATTAGTTTCAGGTTACAACCTAATTATTCAATATTTGTATATACTGTGAAATGATCACCACAGTAAGTCATGTTTGAAAATATTTTCACCTATTTGTTCTTTGCTAACTATTCATAGAGGCTAATTCTTTAGTCCAGGGGTCCTCAAACTACAGCCCACGGGCCACATGCAAATACAAATACTGTATTTGTTCCAGTTTTGTTTTTTTACTTCAAAATAAGATATATGCAGTGTGCATAGGAATTTGTTCATAGTTTTTTTTTTAAAACTATAGTCCGGCCTTCCAACGGTCTGAGGGACAGTGAACTGGCCCCCTGTTTAAAAAGTTTGAGGACCCCTGCTTAAGTCACTTCAAATTCAGCACTGCCTTCTCAAATATGTATACAACTGAGCAGTATTGGTAACACCTGTTGACTTATCAAAATAACTGGCCTTGTTTTTTATAATTGACTATTGATGCTCTGAATGTCCTCAATTCTTCAAACAACGGTTCTCACCGAAAGACTAATGGGCCTAAGTTTATTTTCTCTGGATACATTTCTTCAGCTGTTACAATCACATTATTCAATTAACTCACCATGATAAAAGGCTTTCCATGCTTGACTTACAAATGAGTCATTCAGAAACTAACTTTGGTTATAACCTCATTTTATTTTTCTAAAGAAAAGCTGCTGTCGTTATTTAGTATTAAATTTTCTCATTTTTCTGGCCATTGCTTTTCTGGGTATATTGTGACACATGCTTGGTTTGGAAATGTCAATATATATTGGATACTTTTAGCACAGGGCTAGAAGAAAATATTCAGATGACAATTAAGCATATGAAAAGATGATCAACATCATATGTAATTAGGGAATCGCAAATCAAAATAACAAGGAGATGCCACTACACACCTATTAGAATAGCCAGAACCTGGAACACTAACAACATCAAATGCGGGCAAGGATGTGGAGCATCAGGAAATCTCATTCATTTTGCATTCTCAGTGGGAATGCAAAATTAGTGCCGCCACTTTAGAAGACAATTTGGCAGTTTCGTATAAAATTAAATATACTTTAACTATATGATCCATCAATCATGCTCCTTTATATTTACCCAAATGAGTTGAAAACTTAGTATCCACACAAAAACCTGCATGTGAATGTTTATAGTAACTTTACTCATAATTGCCAAAACTTGCAAGCAACCAGGACTGTCTTTCAGTCAGTGAATGGATAAATACACTATAGTACATCCAGACATAGAATACTATTCAGTACTAAAAATAAAAGTTATCAAGCCATAAAAAATGAGTAATCTTGAAAGGACATTGTTAGGTGAAAGAAGCCTATATGAAAAGGCTATATACCATATGATTCCAATGACATGACATTCTGGAAAACTTATAGACAGTAAAAAGATTAGTGGTTTCGGGGAAAAAGGGAGGGATGAACAGGTAGAGCACTGGTGACTTTTAGGGTAATGAAACTATTCTATGCTAGAGGCCCAGTGCACAAAATCCATGCACTCGGGGGAGGGGGGGCACAGCCTGGATTGTGAGAGGCGCAGGCCAGGAGGAGGGACCCCACCACTGCACGATCAGGGCCAGGGAGGGATGTGGGAGGTTGGCCAGCCAGGGAGGAACCGTGGGAGGGCTCCAGGGCATGTCCAGCCCGTCTCACTCAGTCCTGATAAAGCAAGCTAACCTACTAGTCGGAGCATCTGCCTTCTGGTGATCAGTGTACATCATAGCGACTGGTCAACCAGTCGACTCTCTGCTCCTGGTGGACAGTGCACGTCATAGCGAGCGGTTGAGCAGCCTTAGCATATTATTAACATATTACGCTTTGATTGGTTGAATGGCCAACAGGATGACTGGACACTTAGCATGTTAGGCTTTTACTATATAAGACTAGTGGCTTGGTGCATGAAATTCATGCACATAGGGGGGAATGTCCCTCAGCCCGGCCTGCAACCTCTCCAATCTGTGACCCCTCGGGGGATTTCTGACTGCCGGTTTAGGACCTGTAGGATCGGGCCTAAACCGGCAGTCGGACATCCCTCTCACAATCCGGGGCTTCTGTCCCCTAACCGCTCACCTGCCTGCCTGCCTGCCTAATAGCCCCTAACCACTCTGCCTGCCGGCCTGATCGCCCACAACTGCCCCCCACCGTCGGTCTGCTCGCCCCCAACTGCCCCTCCGCCAGCCTGCTAGCCCACAACTGCCCCCCCTGCCAGCCTGATCACCCCTAACCACCTCTGCCTTGGCCCCACCACCATGGCTTTGTCCAGAAGGACGTCTGGAAGGTCTCCTGGTTTAATTAGCATATTACCCTTTTATTAGTATAGATCAGTGGTTCTCAACCTTCCTAATGCTGCGATCCTTTAATACAGTTCCTCATGTTGTGGTGACCCCCAACCATAACATTATTTTCATTGCTACTTCATAACTGTAATTTTGCTACTGTTATGAATCATAATGTAAATATCTGATATGCAGAATATGTTTTCATTGTTACAAATTGAGTATAATTAAAGCATAGTGATTAATCACAAAAACAATATATAATTATATATGTGTTTTCTGATGGTCTTAGGTGACCCCTGTGAAAGGGTCGTTTGACCCTCAAAGGGGTAGCGACCCACAGGTTGAGAACCTCTGGTATAGATGATACTGTAATGGTGGATACATGTTATACATTTGTCAAAACCCATACAATTTATAATACAAAGAGCATCTCTAACATAAACACATAAAAAGGGACTTTAAATAATGATGTATCATTATTAGTTCATTAATAGTAAAAAATGTACTATTTCTAGATATCAATAATAGGGAAAACTGCCGAAACCGGTTTGGCTCAGTGGATAGAGCGTCGGCCTGCGGACTGAAAGGTCCCAGGTTCGATTCCGGTCAAGGGCATGTCCCTGGATTGCGGGCACATCCCCAGTAGGAGATGTGCAGGAGGCAGCTGATCGATGTTTCTAACTCTCTATCTCTCTTCCTTCCTCTCTGTAAAAAATCAATAAAATAAAAAAATATACTTAATAATAGGGAAAACTTGGGGGTATATGGGTACTCTACACTCAATCTATACTAATAAAAGGGTAATATGCTAATTAGACTGGATCGACCAGACATCTTCCAGTTGTCCTGCCTTCCTTCCGGACAAAGCCACGGTGGCGGGGGCTGAGGAAGGGGTGGTTAGGAGTGATCAGGCCGGCAGGGGGGAGCAGTTAGGGATGATCAGGCTGGCAGGGGAGGGCAATTAGGGGCGATCAGGCAGGCAAGGGGGGGCAGTTAGGGGCAATCAGGCAGGCAGGTGAGCAGTTATGAGCCAGCTGTCCTGGATTGCGAGAGGGATGTCCGACTGTCTCATAGAGATCGAGCCTAAACCAGCATCGGACATCCCTCGAGGGGTCCCGGATTGGAGAGGTTGCAGGCCAGGCTGAGGGCCCCCCCCCCACCATGCACGAATTTCGTGCACCAGGCCTCTAGTTTTCTTATAAACGTAAAACTGCTCAAAAAACTAAATCTATTTTAAAATACTGTATAACTGACTTACTTTTCCTCAGTACACATCCTTACTGAATGTGCAATATGTCAGAAAAAAGGTACTCTAGTTCTTTTAGATGAAGTTTTAAAATGACCTTATAAATAAAGGCCAATCTGACAATATACTCTAATAGCATATATAATATTAAAGTATAAATACATTATGTCAAAGAACAAGAGTGAAAAGAAAAATGGATTTATATGTTTTTAAAATGATTTTCATATTTAGTTTAAAAACACAATACACTTAAAAAAGGTTTCTGTACTTATATGGTTTGCCAATGAACTGCCCTTATTTTAAAGCGGGTCTAAGACTCCACTGATAAAATTTGATAAATAAACTTTAGGGTAAAAATAATAATAATAAAAACACAATACAAGACTGAGTCCTGGCTGGGTAGCTCAGTTGGTTAGAGCATCGTCCCCATACACCTTGGTTGTGGGTTTGATCCCTGGTCACGCCCATACAAGAAATAACCAAGGAATGCATAAATAAGTGAAACAATAAATTGATGCTTCTCTCTCTCTCTCTCTTCCTCCCTCTCTCTCTCCCTTCTTCTCTAAACAAAATAAATCAATAAATGTAAAAACTTTAAAGACACTATACAAGACTGAAATGTACACCCAAGAGAATATATTACTCACATATACATAAATATGTTAATATTATATTAATGGTATTGTAATAGCATTTATAGAAAGCTTAATCTGTCAGGTGTTATACAAAGTGCCCTATATACATGGTTTCTTTGTTTATTCAATTTTTTTTTTCACTAAACACATAAATATCAATAGATTCTATGCTGATTATATATGATCACATGTTCACCATTCCACCCATCATGCTCCAAAAAGTGAGTCTTTTACCAAAGTTAGTGTAATCAGTAAAACCAAAATAAACAAATTCAAATATTTTTCTTATAAAGGTATAAGCAAAACTAGAGAAACTGGTCCCATCAGTATTAACAAATTCTAAATAATCATCCACTAACAATTACATACCCATGTCAAATACTGCCTCCTCCTATGAACCTTTTTCTAATTTATCTGACCCATGTGGTTGGCTTCCCCTGTCCCCTGCCAGTTTCTTCAGCCACTACCAAACGAATTAGTTGCTTCTAACTCTGTATTTCCATTGTATGTGTGCATACTTCTTTGTAGCATTTGTGTTTTTATAATTCACTTAGAAAAGCACATATAAACAACAAAGAAAGAAGCAAATATTTTTTTTCCCCACCGAGGATGAGTATTGTAAGGGCAAAGATATTATCTTAGGCATCTTTCTATCTTATGTGGTATTCAACCACCTAGCAGTGAAAACAAATGTTCTGTAAAGTTTTCCTGAAAGAATGTACAGTATATAAAATTCAGAACAGGTAAAAATTTACTCTCAAATTTGATATTATGACCTCAATGTCTTTTAAAGATTTCTGATGCCTTATCTTCCTTCTTCCGTACCTGGTTATCCCAATATATGAAACTTCTTGCTTCTTTTCATTGTTAACCAGGGAAAGCCCAAGACTATGAAGAGAAAAGGTTATTTCATGATCAGCCTGCTCCATTTCTTCTGCCTGCAGTGCTTTGGAAACCAAGGCAACATCATCAGTGAAAAGCAAAACTCTCTGGCGCCCATCCAGGAACGACACCCAGTGTATCTGGATGTTTGCATCATATGGAAACTGTCCACATTCATCCTGGGGATTAAAGAGACTTTATATTAAACCCACAAATAGTTTTTATTCCATAAAGTTGAACTACAGTAACTAGAAAGTTCATGAAAGTTTAAAAAGCATGACTATAAATTGGAAAACTCTAACCACCAAAACAAACTTCTAATCTATTTCAAAACATCTCACCGATTTTTCAAACAATAATAAAGATTCAGAGTGCTTAATTTTTTTTATACTTTAGTTTGAATTACCTAGTTGGTGCTCAAAAGGCACTTAGCAGGAACAAGAATAGCCTTCAATGACACCAACACCATAAGATGCTTACTTGTCTCCAACATGGACAACAGAATGGTTCAGACGTTTATTAGGCCTCAGGTAAAACTAACCTAGTTTATTTTTGTTTTAAAAGTTTATAACACTGCAAAAATTTATATACATCACACTGTTAAACAGTCAAAATATGGTGATCAATTTATAGTAAGTTCACCAAGAAGAGCCTGAAAATATGATGCTTGATTAGTGTTTTCAGAGATTAAAATAATGATTCCTCTTCATCTGGGCTTAACATAAATATAACCACATTTCAATTCAACAGGTAGTACAAGTACCTACTACGTGCTTTTCATCTCTTGCTTTCTTGGGAAAAAAACAAATAAAGGATGTTAACAAGAGTATGGAAATAGTTTTGTAATTGTTAGAAACAGAGGCATGGATACATGGAACAGACTGATAGCTGTCAGCAGCGAGTGAGGAGGGGACTGGATAAAAGAAGGTGAAGGGATTAGCCAACGAACATATATGCATGGCACGTAGACATACACAAGAGTGAGATGATGGCCAGAGGGAAAGGGGTGGGGTCAGAGTGGGATGACTCCTTTAATTAAAAAAAATATGGCCTTGATTGGAAAGCATGCCTAAAAATCTCTCAGCCAACAGTGGTATGTGTATGTTCAAAACAAAGTTGTTTTTCATTTAGCCTTAAAATTCCTTCCTTTTAAAAACAGGTAAATAAAAAAGTGCTTTGCTGATCTTTACTTAAACAAGATGAAGCGGGCCTATTTTGAAATTGTAAATGAATTATTTTGACATATCTCAGATTAAATACTGGTATGAACTATTTGCAATCTAAAGTCCAAAAGTAATTTATTCCCAATTCATTTTTAGTTCAAAAACTAAAGATAACTGTGTGAAGCTAGCTTGTTTACTTCCTTTGCCATCATTTACATCAAATGATACCTTTAATAGATCATGCTGCCCAATATTTGCTGCATATCTCCATGTAAGTTTTCTGGTACCAGTAGGGTCTGCCCAGGCAAAAAGTCGAGCTTGTCTTGGCAGCAATTTCACTTCTTCTTGTAACCCACTGAAACACAACCGATGGAAGATTAAAATATCGGCCTGAAAAACCCAGACTATGTTTTCCTGAGATAGAAACTGGCACAGAAATCTTATAAAATTTCCTTTAATAATTAAACACAAATCTGATTAAAAATAAATAGCCTAAAAAGCCCAGTAATCTAATGTTTTTGAAGCTTGAGGTAACAGAATATTTCTCTTTCCAAGGTTTCAGTGTACTCTCTAAATTGATACAAAGATGATCACACCAATAGAATTCATTAAGGTAAACAAACTGGTATGTCAGAGCACACCTGTAAAAAAAAAAAAAAAAAAAAAAAAAAAAAAAGCTGTGAATAGTAGCAGTGCTTAAATGTAAGCTTTTTAACCAAATAAAATGCATAAGAAATATGATTCACAGAAAAAACATAATTGGGTCCATACTGTCACCATTCCAAGTGTGGTCTGTGGACCAGCAGCATCAGCATTAACTGGGCTTGCTGAAAATACAAAATCCTGGACCCCATCTAAATCCTACTAAATCAGAATATGCATTTTAACAAGATTTCCAGGAAATTTTGAAATTGATCATTAAAGTTTAAAAATTATTGATCCACTTAATATAAACAGCTTTTCCGAGAACTAAAAAAATTAAAAGTAACACAATTAGGTTTCCATCTTAATCTGCATTTTTAAATCTCTCAGTGCATTCAAGCCATGAGAGTTAAGAACAGACAAATATGTAAGGCATTATTTTATATATATATATATATATATGTATATATATATATATTATATAATTATATAGGTAGAATTACTTTATAATAAAGCAATGCCTTGCAGATTTATAATAATTCTTTGCAAATATATAATGTTATATACTATAAGGGTTTAAAACTATTATTATAAAATGGTATCATCTATTATTATATAACTAGAGGCCTGGTGCACAAAAATTTGTGCACTTGGAGGGGGGTCCCTCAGCCCGGCCTGTGCCCTCACAGTCTGGGACCCCTCAGGGAATGTCCACCTGCTGGCTTAGGCCCATTCCCCAGGGGATCAGGCCTAAGCTGGCAGTCAGACATTCCTCTGGCAGCCCGGGAGCCCTGGGGGGATGTCCACTTACCAGTGGGGAGCAGGCCTAAGCTGCAGTCGGACATTCTTAGTGCCACTGAAAAAGCGGGAGAGGCTCCCGCCAACAGTGCTGTGCTGCAGCCGTCAGCTTGGCTTGTGGCCGAGCAGAGCTCCCCCTGTGGGAGCGCACTGACCACCAGAGGGCAGCTCCTGCATTGAGCGTCTGCCCCCTGGTGGTCAGTGTGTGTCATAGTGACCAGTCATTCCCAGTCGTTCTGCTGTTAGGGTCAATTTGCATATTACCCTTTTATTATATAGGATAGAGGCCTGGTGCACGGGTGGGGGCCAGCTAGTTTGCCCTGAAGAGTGTCCTGGATAAGGGTGGGGGTCCCACTGGGGTGCCTGGCCAGCCTGGGTGAGGGGCTGAGGGCTGTTTGCAGGCTGGCCACAGCCCCTTCAGGGTGGGGGGTCCTGCTGGGGTGCCTGGCCAGCCTGAGGGACTGAGGGCTGTTTTCAGCTAGTCACACTCCCTTCAGGGCAGGGGTCCCCATTGGGGTGCCTGACCAGCCTGGGTGAGGGGCTGAGGGCAGTTTTCAGGCTGGCCACATCCCCTTCAGCATGGGGGTCCCCACTGGGGTGCCCAACCAGCCTGGGTAAGGGGCTGATGGCTGTTTGCAGGCTAGCCAAGCCCCCCTGTGACTCAAGCTCCCAGCCTCTCTTTTTTTTCTTTTCTTTTTTTTTTTTCTTCAGCGCCTCCTTGAGCGGAGGCCAGGTCGGGCTGGAAGCAGGTATCTGGGATTTATTTATCTTCTATAATTGAAATTTTGTAGCCTTGAGTGGAGCCCAGGGCCAGCCAGGGCAGGTGGGAAGCTTGGCTTCCTCCATCGCTGGGGGCAACCCAAGCCTCCTGCTCACTCCAGCTCCGTGGCCGTGGCCATCTTAGTTGTGTTAATTTGCATACTTGCTCCTGACTGGGTGGTGGGTGTAGCAGAGTGATGAAGTGATGGTCAATTTGCATGTTTCTCTTTATTAGTGTAGATGGTATCATCAGTGTGTACTATATAGTCAACAAGACTATCTACTCAATGTCCTCCCATTTAATCTTTTACTACCCCTATCAAAAAAACTGGATATAAATTTATAGGGGGAGGTTCACTAAGCATCATCAGATTAAAAAAGAAGAAAAATGTTTGAACAGATTCACAATTCCTTTTCTGAAATTTAGAAAACTCCAAGAATCCACAGATTTTTCTATAAGTTTGATTTTGACAGTCATTTGGCAGCAAAACCTGATCTGAAAAAAATGATGTGAGACTCTTAATAGTTTTATTTATCCCAATTGGTATAAACATTCATAAATTTTGCTGCAGAAATATTGTGTTTGATTATAGAGTACTGCCTCAAAACCTGCTGATGGTATTAGTATTAAACAGCATGTGCTCCATATTACCTTTCTAAACTGAACACATTCGGAACGTGGAACATATTTAGTCTCAAGTGTTTCTTAGAGGAATTTTGGGCCAGAAGAAAATACGATTTTCCATGAACTCTTTTAGTTCATACCTCTGTTTATATGTGAGGGTGTCCCAGGGTGTATGGTTTATTATCAGAGCAGGTGCAGATCCTTCATGGTAATCAGAGAAGGTTATGACCGTTGAATGTTCAGCAGTGTTTACATCCACCAAGATACCCCCATTCTATTATAGGGGAGAAAAAGTATGTTTGAGGTAATGCTTTAATATGCACTTACATTTAGAATTTCAATCAGCTATGTAGACACAAAAAGTTTTTCTTAAATTCTTATGAAAAGCACACTGGCTCTGATCTCTTACAAATATATGTATGGCATGACATATTGATATAGTAGTACCTTTATATAATTACAAGCAGATTTTAAAACATGTTTTAATAAAATATTTTACAGCAAATTTTATAAATCAGAGATATTTTACTTTAAAGCAAGAAAACCTACCAGATCTTCTAAGCTCAATAGAGTGCCATTATCCTGTCGGTTATAAAAGAATGGTTTGGAGGATCCTTCACAGCCTACTACTCTCACACAAAGTTTGCCTGACAAATTTTCAGGCCAAAATGGAAGACACTAAAAATAGAAAAGTTAATATCAGTCTTAAAACAATTCCATGGTATAAATATGACAGTGGTTAATTAAGTTTTCACTTCTAAATAGGATCCTGTTTCAATTATTACTAAGTTCCTTAAAATATTCCCTCTACATCTTATATTAAAATTATTGATAATACGACTATTTATGAAATCAAAGAAACTCCATCAGAAGACTATAGATATATTAGTCTATACATCTTTATGAAATGACTAGAGGTCGGGTGCACAAAATTTGTGTGGGGTGCGGGGGAGGAAACAGCGGGTCCCTCAGCCTGGCCTGCATCCTCTCCAATCCGAGACCCTCCAGGGGATGTCCAACTGCCGGTTTAGGCCCGATCCTGCAGGGAGTCAGACATCCCTCTAGCAATCCAGGACCGCTGGCTCCTAACCACTCACCTGCCTGCCTGATTGCCCCTACCCCTCTGCCTGCCTGCCTGATTGCCCCTAACCACCTCTGCCTGCCTGCCTGATCACCCCCTAACTGCTCCCCTGCCGACCTGATCGCCCCTAACTGCTCCCCTGCCAGCCTGATCGCCCCTAACCGTCTCTGTCTCACCCCCGCCACCAAGGCTTTGTCCAGGATGTCTGGAATGACATCCGGAAGGTCATTTGGCTGTCTGGTCTAATTAGCATATTATGCTTTTATTAGTATAGATTACAATATGAGAAACTGAAGAGCTTACTGATTAAGAATGCCCCAAATATCTCAAATATTTAAAAACTATAATCTTAACATTTTTTGTGCATATCTTACTTTAATTCCTTAATGCACTATGAATTATCTCCGATTATCTTATCCAGAATAAACCAGAAAGATCTCTAAAGGCAGAGCAGAGTCTATAGATCTTGCTGGGAGTGCTACTAACATTATCTTGCCAGCTGTTTGATGTGAATCAAATCATATACCTTTCGAGTCTGTTTTCTTATCTATAAAACTGAGATTTTAGCTCCTAATACAAAATGTCTCTCTGTTAGAGAATACTGAGTAAATTCTATCTCTGAATAAAAATACTACTGTCACCAAACCCACATCAAAGATAAAAAGATAATGAGCATGTGTTGCCAAGTCTGTGGAGATCACTGTAAGTGCCTTGGAGAGTGCATGCCTCATAGCATTCTCAATCTGTTGGTATTATATTTAGAATCCTTCTTCTTAAACTTTTGCTAAGTATTTTTAAAATAATTTTAGAATTTTTTTTTGAGATATATAGAATGGTTCTATCTTTTTTTTTTAAATATATTTTTATTGATTTTTTACAGAGAGGAAGGGAGAGAGAGAGAGAGTTAGAAACATCGATGAGAGAGAAACATCGATCAGCTGCCTCCTGCACATCCCCCGCTGGGGATATGCCCGCAACCCAGGTACATGCCCTTGACCAGAATCGAACCTGGGACCTTTCAGTCCGCAGGCCGACGCTCTATCCACTGAGCCAAACCGGTTTCGGCAATATATAGAATGGCTCTATCTTTAAGGTCAGCTGGTTTGGTTGAAAACTCAGGTAAATTCAAATTCTTGTCTTTGCACCTGTCCCTCCCCTACTCATACCCTTTTTTCTCTTCACTTCCTCAAATCTTACTCCCAGCCTACGTAGTTTAGTTCAAATGTCACCTCTTCTATGAAGCTTTCTTTTTTTGATGTATACTACAATGACCTCAACTTCCAATAACCTTATTAACCTTAGATAAGTATGAGATTAAATGTCTTTCTCTGTAACGTACAGGGGTTGAATTATAGGAAATTTTCAAGGAGTCTTCCAGCTCACCTATTCAGAAATTTATAACCACCTATAACTTGGTATATACTATCTTTTTTTCCCCATGTGTTAATTTATGAGTCTTAAGCCCTCCAACAAGATTATAAGCTACTTAAATACAGAATACATTATCTTAACTACTGAGATAAAACTTACTTACATTATCTTTATATCGCATTCTATACATATAGGAAGAACTAGGGAATTAGTGTTAACCACATAGACTGGGCTAGTGGTAAATATCATCAACAAGTTTCTTTTTTTAACCTATGCTTACATTGCATAAGAAAAGTCTTTCAAAGTTGGCTGTCATATTTTAACACACAAATATGATAGCAAAGTGAGTATGACTAAGAGTATGACATACAACTCTTATTTATATGTCTATATTTATTTGTACATTTTAGGAGCCAGTTATATTAAAGGAAAGTTTTACCTCTGAAGAAGCAATATAGTTCCACTTATTAGTTGGCATGGAACCATCAGGTGCAATTTCACCAACTTCTAGTTCTAAAGAGGACTTATTTGCAATGGTACAAAAGGGAGTCAGAGTAACTATTCGTGTAAGATTAAAACTACTCATTTTGATGCTAACACCAACCTGTGGAAAGGAAACAAACAAGCTTATCATTTCCCAATACTTTATACAGCTTCTATGAAATACATACACACCACACACACACACACACACACACACACACACACACACACACACCATTCACACAGAGACCTCTTACAACATTTAAAAATATGATTTCTTAAAGTACCTACTATAAAGTAACTACTAAAGCCATATTCCATTAATGATTATCTTCTCACTAGTAAGAACAATTTTGTTGTTTTAGTTTGGCTACATCAAAAATCAACTCAAGAAATATCAACTAGCAATTTAACTAATGATTACTTGTAATAAAAGATTTGTTTTCTTTACTTTTTAACATTCCAAACATAAGATGTTTTATAATTAGTGTAGAGGCTCAAGTTTTGCTGCATTTATTATCTCTGCTGTTAATAAAGTAAGATGAAAATTCAAAGTGGAACTAAATAGGTCAACTAGCATCAGGTTGTTCAAATTTTCAGTCAAATTAAAGATTTAAGAAATGCTTGGCAGGGAGCAGAATGAAAGAAGGATTCCAGTATATGATGAATATTTACCAAGTTGCTTACTTGAATCACTTTGACAAATTCTGGTTTTGCTATGATATTAAGTGGCCATAGAAATTTCTAGAGATATAATATTCTGAATTAAAAAGTTTATAGGAAATCAAGATGGCGGCATAGGTAAACACCGGAAATTGCTGCCTCCCACAACAAATTCAAAAATACAACTAAAAGACAAAATGGACATCATCCAGAACCACAGGAAGGCTGGCTGAGTGGAAATTCTACAACTAGAAGGAAGGAGAAAAGCACACCGAGACTCAGAGGAGGTGCAGAAATAAAGTGCAGAGGTACGGAGGCGCATGCGGCAAGGGCTGGCAACTGAGGATGCGGCGCACATGGAAAGGGCTGGCAGCTGAGGACGCCACTGTCTTTTTGAATTGGGAGGGAGTCACAAGCCCCCGACTGCTCTGAACTCCAGTTCCGGGTGAGTCTCTGGGGACCCAGACTCATACAGGGAGAAACTGGACGGTCTAGCAGCAGGCAGAACTCGGAACTTGAGGGTGGCTTTCTCTCAGAGGTGCTTGCAGTGATTACCGGGACACTGAGATGCGGGGCCCCTTAGGACAGGGCTGAGGATCAGCCATAGCTGTTTGCTCCGCCCTGTTGATTCCCTGATACCCCGTCCCACCCAAGCTGAGGCAGAGGCTTTTGCATATGAATTCCCTGGCCCATTACAATCTGAAAATTACCTAACAAACTGCAGCTGGGCCAGACAGACCCAGAACTTCCAAGACAAGGCCCAAGGCCCCACAGCAGCTTGCATTGCTTCACAGCTGGGCCTCATTTGGGCACCTCCAAACCCCAAACAAGGAAGGGGAATCTGCAGATCTCTTCGTAGCTCCTGCTAGGTAGCCTCAGGTAGAGGCTAAATTAGCACCTCCTTAGATCCAAGAGCCAGTGTACCCAGTGGTCAGAGTGGGACCATCCAGATTACAACTCCTCAAATCCATAAGGGACACACTCGGGGCAGACTCAGTGAGCACCAAAGCCCCACTGAAGCAAGTCTTGCCCCAGAAGGCTGTCTCCAGCAAAGAAGTTCTCCCACTATAGACACAGCTGACTCTCACAGCCAATTGGCCTGGAGGTCAATTCCTCCCAGTGATACCTACAACAATCAAGGCTTAACTACAACAAGACTGTGCACAAAGCCCACAAAGGGGTGCACCTCAGGTAATTGGGGAAGCTGAGCCCCTGGACCCTATAGGACACCTAGCACACAAAGCCACTCTACCAACACAGGGAAGCATAAAAAATGCAGAGACAAAGAAACAGGTCACAAATGACAGAAATGGAGGAAAGCAAACTACTAGATATAGAGTTCAAAACCACACTTTTAAGGTTTTTCAAGAACTTTCTAGAAACCTCCGATAAATGTAGTGAGACCCTCAAGAAATCTAGTGAGACCCTCGAGGTTATGATAAAGGACCAACTAGAAATTAAGCATACACTGACTGAAATAAAGGATATTATGCAGAGTTCCAACAGCAGACCAGAGGATCACAAGAATCAAGTCAAAGATTTGAAATACGAAGAAGCAAAAAACACCCAACCGGAAAAGCAAAATGAAAAAAGAATCCAAAAATACGAAGATAGTGTAAGGAGCCTCTGGGACAGCTTCAAGCGTACCAACATCCGAATTATAGAGGTGCCAGAAGAAGAGAGAGAGCAAGATATTGAAAACCTATTTGAAGAAATAATGACAGAAAACTTCCCCCACCTGGTGAAAGAAATAAACTTACAGGTCCAGGAAGCGCAGAGAACCCCAAACAAAAGGAATCCAAAGAGGACCACATCAAGACATATCATAATTAAAATGCCAAGAGCAAAAGACAAAGAGAGAATCTTAAAAGAAGCAAGAGAAAGAAAGGCAGTTACCTACAAGGGAGTACACATACGACTGTCAGCTGATTTCTCAACAGAAACTTTGCAGGCCAGAAGGGAGTGGCAAGAAATATTCAAAGTGATGAATGCCAAGAACCTACAACCAAGATTACTTTATCCAGCAAAGCTATCATTCAGAATTGAAGGTCAGATAAAGAGCTTCACAGATAAGGAAAAGCTAAAGGAGTTCATCACCACCAAACCAGTATTATATGAAATGCTGAAAGGTATCCTTTAAGAAAGGGAAGAAGAAGAAAAAGGTAAAGATACAAATTATAAACAACAAATACACATCTATCAACAAGTGAATCTAAAGATCAAGTGAATAAATAATCTGATGAACAGAATAAATTGGTGATTATAATAGAATCAGGGGCATAGAAAGGGAGTGGACTGACTATTCTTGGGGGGGAAAGGGGTGTGGGAGATTCGGGAAGAGACTGGACAAAAATCGTGCACCTATAGATGAGGACAGTGGGTGGGGAGTGAGGGCGGAGGGTGGGGTGGGAACTGGGTAAAGGGGAGTTATGAAGGGAAAAAAGAGGAACAAATGTAATAATCTGAACAATAAAGATTTAATTAAAAAACGTTTATAGACTTACATCACCTCATGTTATGAATAAATTCAAAGGTAAATAAGGAAACAGAATCTTACCAGGTATTCCATATTGTTGGCAGGACACTTCACACATCCATAACTTCCCACTGTATCTAATGAAAAGCCATTGGACCAGGCACTAGTTGAAATTTTTAATTGTACCTAGACCAGAGAACACATACCATCACATAAAAAACCTAAAAGACTATATTAATTTTATTTGATGGAAAGTTGCCAGACCACTAGAAATTTAGTATCATGGGACACAGAAAAATGTAATTAAAGCCATACTGCAAATGGGTATCAGAACCACAAAACTCTGCGTGTCAATATAATAAAAGCAATGTTCTGACATGCTCATTTACCTGTGCAATGAGTATATTGAATTTAAAGATCTATACCAATGAGACCTTCTGTTGTTTTAAAAAGAACTAAAATGTAAAATATTTTCCATTGTCAGACTTATGATATAGAGTTAAGAAATAAAATTATAGCACAGAGTTGAACTTTTAACATTATCCAGCAACATTAAATAAAAGGCATTGTGATAAGCAGAATGGACAACAGGACACAGTTCCTCTCTTCATGAGCTTCCAACTAAACAGAGAGATAGGAAATACATTTTAATTATGATGCAAGACTCAATGTGCTAAGAGCCATGCAAAAGGAACAAAATGCTACCAAGGTGAAAGGGTAAAAAGTTTATTCTTGCTATGGGATTTAGAGAGTTTTACAGAAGAGACCTGTGTTCCTGTATTAAGCTCCACCCACCCAACTATATTATACAAAACCTGAGACAAGCAAAGGTCAGACAGACAAACAGTTATTATAATACCATGTATTAGAATTAACCAGCACTCTAAGACAGTGGTTCTCAAAGTGTGGTGCCTGGACCAACACCATCAGCATCACCTGGGAATGTATTGGAAATGCAATTATCAGGCCCCACCCAGACATACTGAATCAAATTGTGAGGGCCTCACCCAGCAATCTATTAGTATTTTAAAAGCCCTCTATGGTTGATTCTAATGCACACTGAAATTTGAGAACCACGCTCTGAGAGAAAATGGATTGAGTATCTAGGTCAGAAAATCTTTCACATATGTCAGACCTGAGCAGAATGACAAAGGATGAAAAGCAAATAACCAGAAAAGATGAGGCAGACAGGAAAATCACAGAAGAGGCATTCTAGGCAGAGGATGAATACACAAAGACCTAAAGGTAAGTACTTGGGAAGTGTGCGGTGAGAGCAATACCAACATATGAGTCTGAAAAGAAAGAAGGGGCCAGAGCATGCAAAAAGGACCAGGCGTAGGCATTAGTTTCTCTCTTAAAGGCCTTTCTTGGTCCTTCATACATATAAGGGCTCAGGTATCATACACCAAATTCAACTGTTTATCTTTTGAAATGTCATTTCATCACTGATAAACTACATAAAATCAAGCTTTCTTCCCAATGCTACTTCAAGAGCAGAAATAATTCTAGGGGCGCTAGAGAAAAGGGTAACTCAGCCTTGGAGACTGCTGTTGTCAGTTCCTAACATCCCACTATGTATTCCTTAAAAGTCTCGAGACCTAAATCATATCAACAGCACTTAACAAACAGGTTAAGCATGATTTTAGGAGGGGCTAACGACTCCCTAGTTTCCAAATAGGAACTTATTTTGACTTGTTATATCAACAAAGACACACCTTATTTTTACTAAAAATGTTCTTCTTCTTGAAAGAGAATAAAATAATATCCCTAAAATCAGCTGGATGTTTCACATGAATATCTTCTGAACGATACTGGAGAACCCGAGAAGTCTTGTTGATTAGCCAGTAGGGACTAAAGACAGATAGCACCATCCGAATGCCAATTCTTCTGACATGTATTGACAGGTCGACTGTCATCACTTCTGTGGAGTCAGAAGAAAAACACACAAGAAAGAATTCCGGAAGTGTATCACGTATACGGAAATGTCCACTCCAGTTTTTGCCCTGATATTTCACCAGAACTAATTCCATTATTTCTCCACTTATTCTTGAATGTAGAACATCAGCAGCACTGCCTTCTGCTAGCTCATGAGTTTCTGCTGTTCCCTAAAAACAAACAAAGACTGATTTTGCTTAGTGATTTTTTAAACGTCTGCAATAACAACATTGTATTTGATACAAATGCTAAGTATCCTACCAGATTAATTGACAAGTTCTCAATAAAGTAATATATTATGAATATTCACTAATCATTAAGAACTAAAAAGAAAACACTAAATCATAACCAGAGGCAGAAAATGTCTTTTGGCCATAAGTTTAAAAAAAAAAGTCAGATCTTTGACAAGAATCATAGGCTGGATTTAGGAGCCCTGGCTGTTGTCCATTAAAAGCTATGTCATTAAATAAGCCATTTAAATGACTGAGATTCAGCTTCATCCTCCATTTACATACTATGCCTAATAGTTTCCACATAAATAGACAAATAAAAGTTATATCAAACTATTCTGACAAGCTATCTAAGTAAGATAGGATTTTTTTAAATGAATAACAACATAATAAGTTAGGCATTTTTACTGAAGGCTTCTCTAGTATAAATACTATTTAGTTCATTTAATTAATTTTAATCTTTACAAATCAGGTTTGGCTAATTGTCAGATAAGGAAAATAAATAATTTAGGTTCCACTTTCCAGACTTGTGTATGTTAAAATGTGTGACGTACAGAAATTTAAAAATATTTATAATACTTCATTACTAGAAAATATTCCCAATTATTTAACATGGACAGTAATTATTTTTAAGTTCAAGAGAAGCTGGGAACAAATAATCACATTAACCTTAAAATTAACTTTAGAATTAAGATAAAATATTTTCTCACTGGTTTTTTTCTGTCCTTCAGCTAATAGATTTTTACTTAATTATAGTCAATCTACACTAATAAAAGAGAAACATGGTAATTGGCGTACGACCGCTACCCTTCCCATTGGCTAATCAGGGTGATATGCAAATTAACTGCCAGCCAAGATGGCGGCCGGTAGCCAGGCAGGTGATGCAAACAGGGAGGCTTGCTTGCTTCAGTGACGGAGGACTCCAACGTTCCCCGCCTGACTTGCCGGCCTCTCAGCTGCAACTCTAAGCAACTATGTTGCAAATATAGAAAATAAACAAAACCCCAGAAACCTGCTTTACTCAGCCGGGCTTCAGCCAGCCGGACCGCAACATTGTATCAAATACAGATGGTAAACAAAGGCCAGAAACCTGTTTTCAGCAGCTGAGGCCTCAGAGCTAAAGCTGGCCCAGAATAAAAAAAAAAAAAGAAAAAAAGGAGCAGTTGGGAGCTTCAGTCACCCATCAGCCTGAAAACGGCCCTCAGCCCCTCAGCAGACTGGCCAGGCACCCCAGTGGGGACTCCCACCCTGAAGGGTGTGTGACCAGCTGCAAACAGCCCTCAGTCCCTCACCCAGGCTGGCCAGGCACCCAAGTGGGACCCCCACACTGATCCAGGACACCCTTCAGGGCAAACCAGCCAGCCCCCACCCATGCGCCAGGCCTCTATTCTATATAGTAAAAGGGTAATATGCTTCCCAGCACCGGGATCAGCAGAGCCGAGAGGCCTCCTGGCACCGGGATCAGCGTGACAGGGGGCAGCGCCCAAAACCCCTGATCGCCCTGTGGCTCTATGTGTGACATGGTGCAGCGCCCTAACCCCCTGATCGGCCCTGCTCTGTGTGTGACAGGGTGCAGCGCCCCAACCCCCTGATTGGCCCGGCTCTGTGGGTGATAGAGGGCGGCGCCCCAACCGCCCCCTCCACGGGCCCTGCTCTGTGTGTGACGGGGTAGAGCCATAACCTCCTCATTGGCCCTGCCCTGAGTGTGACAGTGGCGGCACCCCAACCCCCTGATCGGCCCTGCTCTGTGTGTGATGAGGGGTGGTGCCCCAACCCCCCTGATGGGCCCTGCTCTGTGAGTGACAGTGGGGAGCTCCTCAACCCCCTGATCAGCCCTGCTCTATGTGTGACAGGGTACGGAGCCCCAACCCCCCTGATGGGCCCTGCTCTGTGCATGACAGGGGGCAGCGCCCCAACCCCCTGATCCGCCATGCTCTGTGCGTGACAGGAGGTGGCGCCACAACTTCCCTATTGACCCTGCCTTGAGTGTGACAGGGGGCGGTGGCCCAAACCCCCAATCGGCCGTAACCTGAGCGTGACTAGGAGCGGCATCACAACCTCCAGATCTGCCCTGCTCTGTGCATGACAGGGGGTGGCGCCCCAACTCCCCAATCGGCCCTGCTCTCAGCCCGACCAGGGGCTGCACCTAGGGATTGGGCCTGCCCTCTGCCACCCGGGAGCAGGCCTAAGCCAGCAGGTCGTTATCTCCCAAGGGGTCCCAGACTGCGAGAGGGCACAGGCCGGGCTGAGGGACCCGCTCTCCCCGCCAAGTGCACAAATTTTTGTGCACCGGGCCTCTAGTATTATTATAATAACTGTGTCTGGTGTCAGATAGGAATTAGACTTATTGGGGTGATCACTTCATAAATGTCTAATCACTATGTTGTTTACCTAGAACTAATAAAATATTGTATGTCAACTGTAATTTAAAAATAAAAAAATTATAAAAACAGATAGATTATTATGGTTCTTAATTTATGACAGATGCAGCAGAGTTAGGTGATAGGGAACAAGGAGGCAAACTGCCTCTGTTCAAATTCCAGCTCTACAATTTATTAGCTGTAGGATCTTGGGCCTGTCACTCAACCCCACTGTGACTCAGTTTCCTCACCTGAAAAATGGGTCTAATAAGAGTACCTACTTCAGGAGGTTATAATGTATTAATACATCTACAACACACAACATCATGGCTGGCACCAAATAATGCTATTCTAGTTTTTGCTGTTATTAATATTACTAATGCATTATAAATATGCTATGTAAAACACTAACCTCAACTAAAAATATTATAAAAAAAACTAGAATTCACTCCATGCAATAATAAAAATCAAACAAAATGCAAGCACATACCTCAAGTAAATATTTTAGGGAATATGGGAGAAGATTCCGCAAAGTGAGGGTAGGGTAAAGATGAATAATGTAAGCTGGATCCCAGTCTTCCCCATGTGTACATATATAGCTTAATTCATCAGGCAGAGCAACTGTATTGACTATGAGAGGTAAGAAGTTGACTTCTACTGATGGACACTGCAGCATGCATCTCACTTCCCTGCTCCTGTGAAGTTCTTCCTTCCAGGAAATGTAAGTGGTGGATTCTCTGTATTGATTCTCTAAGACACCAGCTGGTTGAATAAATAACTGACATCTACAGAAAAAAAAAGCAGGGTGGAGAAAAAAAGTTTTTATTGAGAATGTAAGAAAAAGAATCTCATTAAATCTTCTTATTAACTCTACAAGGTAAGCACTATTACCCCTATTTTTACAAGTGAGAAAACCAAAGCTAAGAAAGATTAAAGAAACTTGCCCAGTCACAATGCTATAACAGATGGAGGAATGTTCTGGGGGAAAAAACACTCTGTAAACAATAATTTTTTTTAATCCTCACCCGAGTATATTTTTTCCATTGATTTCTAGAGAGAGTGGAAGGGAGGGAAAAGGGGGAGAGAGGGATAGAGATAGAGATAGCGATAGCGATAGCGAGAGCGAGAGCGAGAGCGAGAGCGAGAGAGAGAGAGAGAGAGAGAGAGAAACATCAATGTGACAGAGACTCATCGCTTGGTTGCCTCCCACATGCAACCCAGATTGAGGGCAGGGCGCAAATCCCCAACCCAGGTGTGTGCCCTTGACCCGGAATCAAACACGTGATGGTCTCCTGGCCGACACTCTAACCACTGAGCATACCGGCCAGGGTAACAATGATAATTTTTTTAAAGTCATTTCAAGTAAAAAAACAATCTAATAAAAATAGGTCTAAGAAGATTCTAAAACATCAAATATACAATACATTTTCATCTGGTAAATTCAATGATACTATAAATGTATACCTCTATAACTCCATATATGTCTAAAGGCTACTTCTACAGATCTCTAGATAATAAAACTATAAGGTCATCTTTTCTAAAATATAAGTCCCCAATTCATAGATTTAAAAAAATATACATTATGAACCTTTAAAAGCTTAATATATTCAAGGAAGTACCTACCTATATGAATCTAAAGGAACATGGAACTCCTCTTCAGGTCTTGCTACTCCAATGCGCTCCAATAACTTAACATTTTTAACAGATTTATAGATGATGAATGCAATAGAGAAATGGTTTTTAATCTGTTGGATAAAAAAGACAAACACTGTTTAAAAAGATGCAGAAGTTCAAAAGAAAAATGTGAACTGCACACAATTATTTTTACATATAAAGTTTCAAGGCCAATATTAGAAGACGTTTTTATTGGTAATTGAAAATTTTTAGAACACTTAAGTGCTATATATATGAAAGGATGTTTAAGTGGCAGTTAAAAATTATTAGGGTAGTCCATACTCTACTACATGCTGATGTTTATTTTTTTAAATATTTTTTTATTGATTTCAGAGAGGAAGGGAGAGGGAGAGAAAGAGACAGAAACATCAGTGATGACAATCATTAATCAGTCACTTCCTGCATGCTCCCTACCAGGAATCGAGCCTGCAACCCAGGCATGTGCCCTGACCGCAAATGAAACTGTGACCTCCTGGTTCATAGGTTGACATTCAACCACTGAACCATGCAGGGCTGGCCATACTGATGTCTATTGTTAGTGTATAATGTTATCATTCAAATACATATTAATCTGAAGATTTCAGGCATAATACTTTTCCCATTAAAACCTTTTCTCAATGCACTACATGATTATATTGAAAAGGATAGAAAAGGAATTATGAGAAAAAAGTAGTACAACTCTCTTTTCTTTACTAAAGTATGATTTAGGCTTGAACTAATAGCAAACTGAGAGCTAACAATAGCCAAAATTTGAAATCATTTCCTTTTTATCTGATGGTATAGGTAGGAAGACATTCTTTTGCTGACCATATACTAAAATCTGCAATAATACACAGAAACGGAAAAAATGGATAAAGCCTTAAAGGTATAAAAGAAAACAATCATATAGAGTAAGATGTTAAAATTTAGGGGTAGGGATCTGGGTAGAGCATTCCAATATTTCTTCACACATACTTGAAAAATTCAATCCCAACTGATATACAAACAGAATGAAATGTTACCCTATTTGACAAACAAATTATATAAAATTGCTCAGTTCTGAATCTTTAAAGAATAGACAAAAAGCTTCATTAAAATTAAGTCCAGGAGGAAAGAAAAATGGGCTTTAAATTAGCAAATTTGTCTTAATCAGACATTTAAAATAAAGAATATTACAAAAGCAAATTGGGTAGGAAATAGTAGCTAGTTCAATCTGTTATTTATTTCTAAACTAGAGGCCCGGTACATGAAATTCATGCACGGGTAGGGTCCCTGGCCTGGCCAGCAATCAGGGCCTTCCAACTGTTGGCAGGGGCCTTCCTTTGTTCCGTGCTGCCCCCGGTGGTCAGCACATGTCATAGCGAGCAATTGAACTCTTGGTCCAATTCTGAGGGGACACTTTGCACATTAGCCTTTTATATATATAGATAATCAATAATAACTTAATGAAGTTTTACTATATTCCTATATTCACCCAAATGATTTAATATTAATTGATATACTTAAAGGGACACAGTTCAGTTTAATGCATTACCTGAAGAGGAGAGCGAAGGGTGATCACTTTATTCCCTTCAGTTGCATCAATTTGTACCAAGACTGAATCAGAATGACTGGCATTGGGATTCCGTACATTGTACAACTGCCGACCAGGTCTGACAACAGGGACTTTTGCAACTTCTGTATATCCATGAGGTACTAATTCAAAGCATAAGTGAGAAGCATCCAAGTTATTAATTTAATTATGTTTCTCTTAGAATAATCATCAGTGTCTAAAAGTAATGACGAGTGTTCTCCTTCATGCTTATAAATAACTACACAATATGCTTGTCTAAGACACAGAAACTAACAAAGAAAGAAAATGAGCTATTATTATAATATTTAGGACCCAAAATAATTTCTTTTGGGGTTTTAAATATATTAAAATAAAGTAACATTGTGGTGTTTAGAAATTCTTTATTGCTTCAGGTGTGGCATGCAACATTTTGGAAGGAAAACAAAGAATTGATCAAGAAGACATGAATTGAAGCAAATTATGAAAAGTAATATTTTATTTAACACTGATCAACTCACAATAAAATTATATAGAAAATACATGTTTGAATACTTTTAACTGCTGGGCAGTAAAATGTTTTCTTTAAAAAAATAAAAAAAAGTAACAAAATCCAATTTGTTCCATAGTCCCTCAACCACATAGGAACTTTTGTTTGTGAAGGTAATAATTACTGTCAATATTTTAGGACTTCTGAATATAATTACTTTTCTCTCCTCATTGAACTCCCATCCTTATTGAAACATATCACATACTGTATTGTTTAAAAACATAGAATTAATCTAGTTCTAAGGTAATTCTTAAATTAATTAAGTTTAATTTTCTCAAGTCTAAAGGAAGAAAAAAGAGACAAGTGTCTATCAAATATCTGTTTCAAGCCTTTAGAAATGTCATCTCCAAAGGCATCTTCAACAAAATATTTTTTCTATATTTTGTCACAAATAAACTCACACCAACATTCCAAAGATGCCCTTAATATATGATCTCACTTATATGTAGAATCTAATGAACAAAATAAACAGATGAACAAAATAAAAACCAGAGGCATGGATACTGGAACAGACAGACAGTTTTTAGAAGGGGGGGGGGCGGTTACTGGATGAAAGAAGGTGAAGGGATTACCCAAAGAACATATATGCATAGCCCATGGGCACAGACAGCAGTGTGGTGATGGCCCGAAGGAAGAGGGGGTGGGGGTTGAGTGGAGGTGGGCAAAGCTGGGGGGGGGGGAGGGAAGCCAGGGAATGGGGAGATCTGTGTCAACAATAAAAAATAAAGTTATAAAATATAAATAAAACAAATAAATATAGCATACCAAAGGTCAGGGTGAAGAAGGAGCTTTCTTGGCGGCTCAATATAGATAGTTTCCCTTTACATGAAGGTTCCCTGCTGGCATATTCCAATTCCAAATTCTGACCAGCATGAACATCATAAATATCACTTTTCTCAGGGGAGCCCATTACTCTGAGATTATGATTGGGCTGCACCTTAGTGGGAACACCTAAAGCATTTTTTATTGTAAAAGGAGGCTTGTCTTTTAAAGAGTAGTCAAAAGTAGAAGCAGTGCCTTCTGAAAAACCCTGAAAAAGGAACACAACATCACAAGATGAAATTTTTTTAAAAAAATTATACTATCACTATACATTTTAGAAACGACTTTTGATTACAAACAAAAGTAATCCATACATGTTTCAATTTTTTAATTCCATTTGAAATATTCCAAGCAAGAACCAAACATACCTTTGCTAAATTATTGAAAACATTGAGACAACTTTTGGATATTGTTATATTCATTGTATCTCCTGAAGAAATATGAACTGCTGTTTGTGGCTCAGGAAGAAAAATAAAATCATCTCCGGGCATCAAACTTTTATCCTGGACTGGATTCTTCTTTACCTGTGAGGATAAATAACATTAACAAGTTTAAGTTACTAGTCGATTAATAATAAAATTAAAATATTCTCAATAGAGTTAAATTCTCCTAAACTAATCACTTTATATTAAGAATCCCCTAGTCTCATTTTCAAAAATATTCAGTGCTTCATTTTTATTTAGCTCAGATCAGCATTCTTTCTCTCAGTATGTAGTCAAGGGCACGGAGAAGTGTTTAGAACTATGCCATGAAAGCACTCAAAGTCAACTACAATACTTGTCTCTTGTGCATTCCCCACAGCAAGCTATAACTCAGTGTTGCCTGACTAACTGGTTGTTGATGAGCAATCAGAGATGAACCTTAAGTTTAAACTGATCCTTGCTGGAGTTAATATCGGGAATTCCTTCTATTGTTTTACCAGTAACACCTATAAATAAGTAATATGATAAGCTTTCAACCAGCCATCAGACTTTATCATAGCTTTTACTCTAATAACATTTCAAAAGCTTTGTAAAACATTCTTTGTTAGCCTGACTATTCCAGTGAGAAGTAGGTCATAAATATTACTTCTACTTTACTGAGAGGAAACTAGGACACAGGTTAAGTGGCTCTTGTCTTTAAAATAAGAATCTGTTGCAAAAGGTAAGATTTCCTTCTTTTTTACAGCCAACTAGTATTCCATCATGTAAATGTGCCATGGCTGTTTTATTCACTCATCTACTGATGGGCACTTGGGCTGTTTCCAAATCTTGGCTAATAAAATTTGGCAACAGCATGGTTGGACCTGGAGAATATTATTCTAAGTGAAATAAACCAGTCAGAGAATGACAAACACTATATGAGCTCACTTATATCTGAAATATAATAAACAAAATAATTTAACAAATAAAACAGAAACAGAAGCATAGATATGTAGAACAGACTGAGAGCTGTAAGAGGGGAGGAGGGTTAGGAGGACGGGTGAATAAAAAGGTGAAGGGATTAAGCAAAAAACCCAACACTAGATAGACAGACAGGCAAATCACACATAGACACAGACAACAGTATGGTGATAGCCAGAGGGAAAGAGGAATGGGGGGTGAGGCTTAATAGGGTAGAGGGGAGATAACTGGGGACAGAAAGAGTCTTCACTTTGGGCGATGGGCGCACAGAGCAGTGTGCAGGTGATGTTTTACTGCACTGTAAACTTGAAACCTGCATGTTTTGTTAAACAATGTCACTTCAATGAACTCAATTAAGAGGCAGAACCAAGATGGCGGCATAGGTTAACGCCGGAGTTTGCTGCTTTGAACAACTACTTCAAAAGTGAAACTAAAAAACGGAACGGACATCACCCAGAACCACAGGAACGCTGGCTGAGTGGAAGTCCTACAACTAGGAGGAAAGAGAAACGCATACGGACACTCAGAGGAGGCGCAGTGCTGAAGTCAAACTCTGAGGTGCGGAGTGCGCGGAGCGGGCTGGCGGCGGAGGGCGTGGTTGGCGTTTTCAATCGGGAGGGAGTCGCAGACTCTGAGCTCCAGATACAGGCGAGTCTTTAGCGACCCAGACTCAAACGGGAGAAGCGGGACTGTCTGGCTTCGGTCAGAGCGAGTGCAGCTTTCTCTCCGAGCTTTGCAGCGGGTGCTGGGACTCAGAGAGGCAGAGCCCCTGGGGACAGGACTGAGAGCCGCCATAACTGCTCTCTCCGGCCCACCCTGTTGATCCTGTGCGACCCGCCCCGACCAAGCCCTGCACAGAGCCATTTGCCAGATAGCCTCAGGCAAAGGCTAGATTAGCACCTCCCTAGAGGTGCACCAAGGAAGCATAACAAAATGCGGAGACAAAGAAACAGGACAAAATTGTCAATGGAAGATATAGAGTTCAGAACCACACTTTTAAGGTCTCTCAAGAACTGTTTAGAAGCCGCCGATAAACTTAATGAGATCTACAAGAAAACTAATGAGACCCTCGATCTTATATTGGGGAACCAACTAGAAATTAAGCATACACGGACTGAAATAACGAATATTATACAGACTCCCGACAGCAGACCAGAGGAGCGCAAGAATCAAGTCAATGATTTGAAATGCGAGGAAGCAAAAAACACCCAACCGGAGGGGCGGAATGAAAAAAGAATCCAAAAATGCGAGGATAGTGTAAGGAGCCTCTGGGACAGCTTCAAGCGTACCAACATCAGAATTATAGGGGTGCCAGAAGATGAGAGAGAGCAAGATATTGAAAACCTATTTGAAGAAATAATGACAAAAACTTCCCCCACCTGGTGAAAGAAATGGACTTACAGGTCCAAGAAGCGCAGAGAACCCCAAACAAAAGGAATCCAAAGAGGACCACACCAAGACACATCATAATTAAAATGCCAAGAGCAAAAGATAAAAAGAGAATCTTAAAAGCAGCAAGAGAAAGAAACTCAGTTACCTACAAGGGAATACCCATACGACTGTCAGCTGATTTCTCAACAAAAACTTTGCAGGCCAGAAGGGAGTGGCAAGAAATATTCAAAGTGATGAATACCACGAACCTACAACCAAGATTACTTTATCCAGCAAAGCTATCATTCAGAATTGAAGGTCAGATAAAGAGCTTCACAGATAAGGAAAAGCTAAAGGAGTTCATAACCACCAAACCAGGATTATATGAAATGCTGAAAGGTATCCTTTAAGAAGAGGAAGAGGAAGAAAAAGGTAAAGATACAAATTATGAATAACAAACATGCATCTATCAACAAGTGAATCTAAGAATCAAGTGAATAAATAATCTGATGAACAGAATGAACTGTTGATTATAATAGAATCAGGGACATAGAAAGGGAATGGACTATTCTTGGGGGGGGAAGGGGTGTGGGAGATGCAGGAAGAGACTGGACAAAAATCGTGCACCTAGGGATAAGGACAGTGGGTGGGGAGTGAGGGCGGAGGGTGGGGCGGGAACTGGGAGGAGGGGAGTTATGGGGGGGAAAAAGAGGAACAAATGTAATAATTTGAACAATAAAGATTTAATTTAAAAAAAAAGAAAAAGTACAAATTGGTAGTTACAAATAGTCATGGGGATGTAAAGTACAACATAGGGGATATAGTCAATAATATTGTAATAAATATGTACAGTGCCAGGTGGGTATTGGAAATATTGAGGAATCACTTTGTAAAGTATATGATTATCTAACCACCTGAAACTAATATAAAATATTGAATGTCAACTATAATTAAGAAATAAAAGTATTTTGAATGAAAAAAAAAATTGCAAAAAAAAAAATAAATAAAAAATAAACTCAATAAAGAATAAAATAAAAACATAATCATGAACACAGACTATAGTGTGGTAACTGCTGGGGAAGAAGGTGAGGGGAAGGTGGAGGAGGGCATGGGGGGAATAAATGGTGATAGACGGAGACTTGGGATGGTGAACACATAATACAGTATACAAATGATGTGTTGAGGAACTGTGCACCTGAAACCTGTATAATTTTGCTAACCAGTGTCATCCCAATAAATTCAATAAAAAGGAAAAAATAAAAATCCTATATAATAAGAGACTAATATGTAAATTGACCAAACAGCAGAACAACCAGTCGCTATGATGCACACTGACCACCAGGGCAGTACTGCTAAGCCAGAAACCAGGCTCACGGCTGGTGAGTTCAGCGGCGGTGGCAGGAGCCTCTCCTGGACTACAAGAGGGTGCAAGCCAGGCTGAGGTCCCCGCCCCTTCCCCCAGTGCACGAATTTCATGCACCAGGCCTCTAGTAAATAAATAATTTAAAATGTAAATAAATAAATAATGAACTAAGAATTGCTTGAGTCCATTTCAGTGCCTCACACTTCAGTCAGACTGCCAGAAAGGTGTGTTGTGAAATTTGTTAAGGGTATATCGTTCATGCTCCTGTTAATCTAGAAAAATGCACTTTGATATCTAGGCATCTGAAGTGTTCTCAAGAAGCACCATTCAGAGATACCACAAAAGAATTGTGAACTAGCATAGCAGTTCTCAAATCATTGAGGATTCCAAAGAGCTTCATGTTATGTAGATTATATCTATCAATGTGTACTCTATTAGAAACTAAAGCTATGGCTCTCTGTCTTTTGGCTAAGATCAAGTGTAGAAACTAAAACAGAAAATTTTAAATACTCATTTAAAAATTATAATTACAAGTTAACATGGATAATATTTTAATAGAAAATAACTATTATAACTATATAGATGAAGGCCTGGAGGGTGGCAGAAGCTGGGAGGAGGGGACAAAGGGAGGAAATAGGGGAAATCTGTAATACTCTCAACAATTAAAATAAGTTTTTAATTTTAAAAATAATAAAGCTATATAGTGAAAAGAGGGACACTGACAAATGGCTTTATTGCCTGCCCTAAGAGAAGTCAGGTGGATTCTCATTCCTGCCTCTGCTTTCATTCTGTTGCCATATTGCTTAGTCTCTGGAAAACTCCATAGTATGCTCATGGGAGAATGAGATAGACAATGGTATGCATCATCTAAATATTGCTATGAAGAGTTTTGACCTTTTTGGACTCCCTAATAGGGCTCAAGGATCTTAGACCACATCTTGAGAATTATTGCATTAAATTATGTATACAGAAATATACATAGTGTCATTCTACACAAAGATATTTTATGTTTTCCTTACATCAAGCCTTAAATTCCATTGTCTCTTTCCCTCCACTCTCTCAATCAGTGGCTCCCAGACAGCATGGGTTTCATTGTAATAGTGAATCTGAAAAGGCACAGAATTATAATGAATCTTTCAACTTTAACTTCGTATTTCTATAATCAGAAGGAAAAAATATTAAGTAATTAATGTTATATGTCAAAAGCCATTTTAACAAAGACACAAAGAATATATACAAAGAGGGTGCATTTTCCTTTACTCTATTTCCCTTACTCTAAATCTTTAAAAAAGAAAGCAGAAAAATTTTTAAGCAAATTATTTAGCAAAAGAATCTTTAAAAGATAATAACGAAGTAAATAATACCACACATCAGCAAATTAAACATTAGAATTCATATATATACTTGCTGTGGCCATACACAAACCAAAAATGCTCACATCTTAGTTTTGTAATTGTACTTTTGAAAAGTTGGTTGTGGAGATTCTAAATGATGTGGTCATACCTCTAGTGTCATGTCAGCAGAAGCAGCCATGAAGGAAGTCCAATTTTTTATATTTCCTGAAAATTTTGACTCTGCCAATAATAAAGGTACAGTTTGATGACCAAGTCCACATTCTAAGGTAACTTGAACTGACTCTACAGCAACAGCACAATTTTCCTCTATCAATGGCTGTTCAACACCTTTGAAATTTTCTGTTATTTCTGTTGCCATGTCAACACCAAGAAACCAAGAGTTATAATCACTAATAGATTTGACACCCCAAAGATTTCCTGTTTCCTTAGATGTATCTTTGAATTCATCTTCTTTTGTCTTTGGAGACAAAGCGGCCATGATTGTCATCACAGTATTAAGAATTATGGGTGAAATCTTTAAAAAAGAAAGCAGAAAAATATTTAGAATTAACTTTCCCAGTTGAGAAGAATTAATACAAAATACAGAAGTTTAAAAGTTACTAATTAAAAATTTAAATATACTAAAGTCTTAACTAAAGAAAATAAGAGAGCACACACAAAATCATATGTCAAATTAATTAACCTCATAACAATAATTTCTGCTCAGATTACTCTGGGATTAAATAATGTTATACATCAATTGTCAAAATCTAGTTACACTGATCAATTCAGAGTAAAATAGTGATACATAACGAGAAAAATGCAGAAGTGTAATTGAAGTTTTCATTTTCAACCAGTTGCATTAACTAAACCAACATGTGTGATCCTCATCAAGATTTATACATGGTGCCCGGCCGGTGTTGCTCAGTGGTTAAGTGTCAACCTATGAACCAGGAGGTCATGGTTTGATTCCCGGTCAGGGCACATGCCCAGGGTTGCAGGCTTGAGGCAGCTGATCAATGATTCTCTCTCATCATTGATGTTTCTATCTCCCTCTCTCCTTCTCTGAAATGAATACAAATGTATTTTTAAAAGATTTATACAGGGTTTTCATTTGTCTTATTGAAACAGGAAGCCAGAGAATCACTATAATACCCTTTCACTTACCCCAAGATTTGCAAATTTTACCTTTTACTACCTTTGAATAGTGCCTCTGCCCACCTGTTCATTTCTATTGCTAAGCCTTAGTTCTACACTAATGATGTCTTCTATATCCAGTCAGCACCCTCTCAGCTCACCCTCCACACTTCCACCAGCATGATTTTCTAAAACCCAAATCTGGACATGTCATTCCTATGCTTAAAATCTTCAACAGTTTCCCATAACTTTCAGAATAAAATTCAAACTCTCTTTGGTTTAGGACACAAAGTTCATTGTGACCAGCTATCTAATCCAGCAATTTTCAACTGGTGTGCAGTAAGAATTTTTAAAACATGTAAAAATTGACTGTTTAGTTAGGGGCACTGACCTCTTTTTCCTTAGATTGTCAAATAAAAAAATGACAACAGTTAATACAACAATAGCCATCCAGTGTGAATAAATCAAAGTTATACCTATTTTTTTGTCAGATTGGCAAAAAAATTTTTTTTTGATGTGCTGCAGACGTTTAGTAATTAGTTTGTGTGCCATGAGATGAAAATGGCTGAAAAGCACTGATCTAATCAATTGGCTGATTTCCCAAAGTTTGAGCCATACCGGGTTAAACAAGTTAAATGGATTCTTTTATTGTTCATTCTCACAACCCTTACTTGTTTAATATGCTAGAGATGACTCATTCACCAGAAGAAGGATTTAGTATGCACTGCTCCCAACTTACCTGTCAACTGAATTCTTTTTTTTTCATTACCTTATTAATGTCACCTATAATTAGTGCTCTCAGCCCTACAATTCCATCATACCATTCTCTCCAGCCATATGGGCACATCTCAGAGTCCTTAAAGGATTTTTCACACCTCTGCCTTTGTGAATACTGTCAGTTCTGTATGGATAACCCCTCCTGTCTCTCTCCACCTAACCTCCCTCAGATTTTCAAAGTTCAGTTGAAGTAGCCCCACATGCAGACAGCTTTCCAGAAGTCCTGGTCTGAGTCAGAGGACCCCTGACTGTGCTCCCACAGCACCTAGTGCAGTGATGGCAAACCTTTTGAGCTCGGCGTGTCAGCATTTTGAAAAACCCTAACTTAACTCTGTTGCCGTGTCACATATAGAAATTTTTTGATATTTGCAACCATAGTCAAACAAAGACTTATATTTTTGATATTTATTTTATATATTTAAATGCCATTTAACAAAGAAAAATCAACCAAAAAAATGAGTTCGCCTGTCACCTCTGACACTCTTGTCATAGGTTCGCCATCACTGATCCTAGTGCGTGCCTCTAGCACTGAAAGCTGGAGTCACTGATTTATTGCTTTCTCGTTCATGTCATTAACTTTTGTGAAGGCAGGGACCAAGTAGCCCCAAGGCCCAAATACAGGAAATTTTTTGCACATAGAAAGAGTTCAAAAAATGTTTGTTGACTAAATAAATAAATTGATATACAAAGAAATGGAAAGACAATCCCCCTGGATGCCTTAGACAAAGTGCATGCAAATTCAGTTTTCTCCTCATTTACTACTTTAAGCCTTAAAAAAGTAAATCTGTTAACAAAATACAATCGAAACTATCCATTATTTTAAAATATTAAAAAAATTGCATTGTTATTTATATAGTAATTCAAATGACTTTTGTTTGAGCCTTGGTTTAATTGCTATTGCTTATTTATCTATATAGTAAAGTTACTAGCAAAATTGGTATTAGCCACCTCAATTTTGTGTCTTTTGGGCAGAGAGAGAAATAGATGTTGGAAATTATTCTATATCTTCCTTTTATAACTGGTCATGAAGTCATACTTAAAGAATATGAATGCCAATGGAGAAAAGAGACTGCTTTTCTACTGCTTTAAATGTAAGAGATATTTTTAAAAAAACTAAAAATTTATTTCTAGCATACATCTGTCATTACAAATATTTCATAAGCCAAATAAAACACTTAATTACATAATTACTGCATTCAATCAAATTATATTTTAAAAGCCTAAAAATAACCACTACAAAGAAATAAAAACCTCATTTTTCTATCCTTTCTTCCTTTCTCTTACCATCCCATCTCTGCTCTCTCTCCAAACCCAATCTCCCCAACATGCACATAAAATATAATTGATAAAAACTATCCTGATCATTTGTAGATACAGTGGGGCCTTGACTTACGAGTTTAATTCATTCCGTGACGGAGCTCATAACTCAAATTACTACATGTCAAATCATTAAAGTGAACGAGTGAGACACGTGATGCTGGGCTGATGTTGTGGCTTTCACTGTGATGTTCACTGCGCCAACTAGCGGGGGGGTATCTGAAGCTGGCTCATAACCTGAATTTTAGCTCGCAACTCAAAGCAAAAAATCGGCCGAGAGATGGCTTGTATCTCGAAAAACTTGTTAGTCGGGACACTTGTAAGTCAAGGCCCCACTGTATTTGAAAGTACTTTTTCAAAGAAAGTAGAAACAAATAATTGCATTAAAGAAAAATATATTTTATTTTATTAATTTTTTTAAATTCTCACCTAAGGATATGTTTAGAGAGAAGAAGGAGAGAGAAACATTGATCAGGTGATTCCTGTACATGCCCTGACGAGGGATCGAACTCAAAATCTAGGTATGTGTCATGAAGGGGAATCAAACCTATAATTTTTTGGTATATGCATGGGATGAGGCTCCAACCAACTGAGCAACCCAGCCAGGGCAAAAAATGTATTTTAATGTTAGAGATATTTATTAATGACCAAATATGTGACTAGCATAATGGTCTAGTTACGAGACATCAAAAGATATTGTTAGAAAAATAATTAATTTTCACCCAAATAAGATAATAGGCACTAACCTTAATTATAAATTCTCCAACTACAATATTTATATTTTGTTTTCCTGAAACCCATGCACATTTTTCCATAAATAGAGAACAGGGCTGTAAGACCTAGAGACAAATAAATGAAAATCACATTTTCTTAGTAATAGAACTGTTATATATGTAACACAGAAGAGCATCTTACTTAACTTGACATTTTTAATTACAGCCTACTACTAAAAGCAAAAAGGCAAATTAGCTGAGAAGCTCTTATGAGAGCTCTTCTAAAGTAATGCAAGTCTATGAACATTGTTAAAGAACTTACATTAAAGAATTTAAATTTAAAAAAGAGTTCTGGTCAATTTCTTTATGCCAAATTCTTAACTAATGATGTACATTTACTATTAGAAATTGAAATGTTTCCTTTTCTTAAATATCTTTTAAGTGATGCCCACTGTAAAATCTACTTTTAAGGTATCTATTAAAATGAGCTAAAGATGATGATAAGATCTGACATTTGCAAAGAGGTACATGAGGAAATGAAATTATGTCATTATAACTTTTATGACCGATAAATCACTTGAAATTGTTTCTTTCAACAAATAGTTCTGTTAATACCTTTAAAAAAGACTATGGTAAGTAAATAGTTTCCAGATTGCTTAATAAAAGGTCAGTCTTGAATATAATAAGGTCCTTATTAGAATAAATTTCAAATCTTGATTTATTAAAACCAGGAAGCCTATATTCTCATATATCATTAACAAAATAAATAAAATAACCTTGCACCTGAATTGAATGGGGGAATTGGTACTACATAAACTTTCAAAACATTAGGATGAGCATTTAATGGAGTGATTAATAGAGCTTTCTGTGACATATCAAAAGAAGATGATCACACTAAAGAATGTTTCATGATAAAGTACAGACTAAACCTAACACTGCATTTCTTTATGAAAGTCACTTTGCCTATAGAAATTTTTAGTTTAAAACACTACAAATGGGTCGCATAACATAAAATTATCAATTTAAGATTTAAAAATCAGTATGATAAATTATTTAAATAAAATAATATTTTTCAACAACAATGTGAAAATATAATTCAGTGGTTCTCAACCTGTGCATCGCAACCCCTTTGGCAGTAGAACGACCCTTTCACAGGAGTTGCCTGACCATCTTGCATATCAGATATTTACATTACGATTCATAACAGTAGCAACAATACAGTTATGAAGTAGCAACGAAAATAATTTTATGGTTGGGTCACAACATGAGGAACTGTATTTAAAGGGCCAGAAGGTTGAGAACCACTGATATAATTGAATATAACTTTTAATACAGCAAAACACAACATCTTTTGGTCATATAAGTCTAACTGATTTTTTTTGTTATAAACCTCAAGATTTTAGTACTCATTCATTCATTCATTGGATATACTTTGGTGAAAAAAGAAATAGCTGAAAAGGCACATTGATTTGTACTAAAATTCAAGTACAGTTCAAAAGATGACATAATGAAAAGAAAACCAGACTGGAGGTAGTACCAGTTCTGTCACTACCAGCCATGGCTAAATCATTTAATATCTTTGGAATTTAACATCCTTGTCTGTAAAACCTCAAATTTGTCAGTAAATAATCTCTAAAGTCCTGCAGAATTCTCACATTCTAGGATTCTATGAATCAACCATTTCTGCCATTCTTCTGCATTCTTCAATCTAAGCTTATAATATACTAGAGGCCCGGTGCATGAAATCCATGCACGGGCAGGGTCCCTAGGCCTGGCCGGCAATCAGGACCGATTGGGGCCTTCTAGCTGCCGGCCGGGGCCTCCCTTCCCCAGCCGCTGGCTGCCTACTGGGGCCTCCCTTCCCCAGCTGCTGGCCACTAGCCAGGGTCTCCCTTTCCTGGCTGCCAACTGCTGGCTGGGGCCTTCCTTCATTCTGCACCACCATCTAGTGGTCAGCGCACGTCACAGCGAGCGATCGGTCTCCCAGTCCAACTCCCATGGGGACAATTTGCATATTAGGCTTTTATATATACATATATATATATATATAGATGGTAATTCTTACTGTGGTAATGTTTTTTCCTCTCTTTTCTCTGAGAAAAGGGCAAGCGAGCACTTTAAGGTCTCTCACAGAAGCCTCCATCATCTGTTCGAGTTTGGATGTTGACAGAGAGAGGTCACACTGGAATGAGGCTGTCAGAGCAGGAGCATCTGCCTTTGTCAGGTTGGCAACAAATACCACTTCTGGATCTGTGACCCTGGCCTTTAAAGTCATATTTGGTCTCACAGAGTCATCTGAAGAAACAATAATAGGAACCAGAAAAGTTGTAGTAAAGTAAATCTTGTTGCTTGAATACATGCTATCTAGTTATGCTAGGTTGTTTCTAATATCCTGCTTTAATGCATATGGTGAAGTTAACAATATTAATAAATGACTGATACATACTAATAATGAAAGATCATTAACAAATGCTAATTGAGCAGGATAATGGAAGCTGATCCCTGTCATCAGAAGACCATTCCCATTTTGACCTAGCAGGGATATCCTTGCTTTGAAGTTATTTATGTCAGACTTAAGGTGTGTAAACGTATATACACATAAATGTGTATTATTTGGTTATGTTTCTGGGGCAAGGAGGGGAAAGAGGAGAAGCAAATATCACAAAGAGGATAAGAGTTCATGATAAAATAGACAGACCATTATATCTATTTAATTGATTTTTTGCCATAAAGTACATAGTGTCATACAATCTATAGAATAAATGTATTAAATGTACACATGAATACAAAGATATTAGATACTAGTGGCCCGGTGCACGAAATTCGTGCACAGGGGAAGAGGGGGTTCCCTCAGCCCAGCCTGCACCCTCTCCAATCGGGGACCCCTTGGGGGATGACCAATTGCTGGTTTCGGTAGGATCCCACAGGCCCTCGGACATCCCTCTCGCAATCTGGGACTGCTGGCTTCTAACCGCTCACCTGCCTGCCTGCCTGCCTAATCGCCCCTAACTGCCTCTGCCTGCCTGCCTGATCGCCCCTAACTGCCCTCCCCTGCCGGCCTGATCTCACCCCAACTGCTCTCCCCTGCCAGCCTGATCGCCCCTAACTGCCTCTGCCTTGGCCCCCACCACCATGGCTTTGTCCAGAAGGAAGTTGGATGTCCGGAAGATGGCTGGTTGACCCAGTCTAATTAGCATATTACCCTTTTATTAGGATAGATGATTGCTGTTTACTAAAAGTAAATGAAAAAATAAAATTCTGACTTTGCCAGTAAATGGTAATTTTCCAATCTTACTGAGTTATACATTAGAGAGAAAAATACCTGACCTCAGATAATTATAATGTAACATAGAAATGACTGATGTATTGGTAATGCTGGAATATAGAATTAATACAGCAGGAAGTGACTTCAGTATACACAGACTAGACATTTGCAAGCATTACAGTGAGTTGAAGGAGTCTAAGGTGATGTCCAGGGGCATCATGCTGTCTTCCAATACCCCGCCTTCTGTTTTTATATGTTCAATTGCTCTTCAATATGTTATACTTCTTCCTAATATTTAATATTTTCTTTGAATAAAAGAGTTCCCTTCTATAAGGAGGGGAACCACAGACACAGATTAACTTGCTCACTCTATTTCTGAATAAGTAAAGAAATGTAATGCAGAGTTGGGAGCAATAGTTTCCTGGCTCCTAATCATATAAATCTATGCTTACTAAAATTTTTCTATAAAATATGTTTAAATTTAAAGAATAATTATACATTCTTAGTTTCCACTTCTCTTTTTGCTTACTTGCATTTTTGTTAAAATATACAAGCTGTCATCTATAACAGAGAAGCTCTGCTAACCTTTTTCTATCTTGAGTTTTGCTGTAGAAGTCTGTCGCAGTGGAATCTGTACTTCTTTTGCCATATTTTCTGGACTCTGAGGCATAGCTTTGATAAAGAAATCTGCCACAGTCATCAGAAATTCCACACTGGCACATACATACAGCTTGTCAAGAACAGCATCAAGATGACTTCTTCCATCTTTGCCTTGTTTGTAACTTATATCAATCATAGAACTGTTGTTATCTTGGTCGTTCTTCCTATCAATCATTCTGAAAAAATATACATTCATTATTTTGTTCCTGCTAGAATAATTAAAAAGATGGAAAATTTCATATATATATGTATCTTATATATTTCATATATATATCTTAATCTTTCTTTCTCATCTGAACAGAAAAAAGAAAGACCGCTATTAATTAGAGTCTAATTAGCTAATCAGCATTCAAAACATGGTCTCCTTATCTCTACAGCAAAATTCAAATTATTGGGCAATTACAGGATATTTTATCATTATAATGCAATACTAGAAAAACAATGACTGCTGAAAGAAATTTCAACAATTAACTAAACACATTAATGTGGTCCCACAAAATTTAAAGGACAGCTCTTTAAGGTTATTTACCAAAATAAAACCTCCTCATCTCCAAAAATCATCCTATACAAGTTGAGTCCAAAAGTATTCAATATAATTCAAATCAGCCAGTGTTCATCAATTGACTGCAATAATTCCCACTCAGGACATATGCTGGAAAGAGCAGACTACCAAAAAGATGATGGCCTTTAATCACCATTGGCTAGGCAGCTGTGGACAGCCACCTCAAATATGAAATGTGAAAATGGAAAGCTGGATGCATGGCAGCATTATTTTCTCATTTATTCATCTCTTAGAAAAACAAAGGGCTCAGAAGTATCCAGTATGAGTCTGAGTTTAGGTAGCAGCACAGTTTATTGTTATTGTTGTTGTTTGTTTTGTTTTGTTTTTCAAAAAAAATTTAAGGACAAAAATATTGTGTCTCATTATTTGGGAAAGAAATAAAAATATCATTAGTCTATTTAAAGTTACACATTCCTCACTCTATAGCAGGCTAATATAAGTTAATCTTTTAAAAATGTGTTGATAATATGAAAATGCTAGGGATTCCACTTCTATTAAAACTTTAAGAGAAATTTCACAGAACTGTTTATAGACAAAATAAATAAGACAAAGAAAGTTTATATATAATTTTAAGGCTTTTAAAAAAGATTCTGCCTACTGGGAACAATTTAGAAAAATACATTACCAATGGGCCACCCCATGTGGAATGAACTATCAAAATTCTTTTATTCTCCTGGTTCCTACTTTTAAGAATATTCCATTTTATTATTAAAATTGCCTTTAATTCAAACTTTAAAGCAATTGAATTTGATGTCAGCACTACTTCTTGATACTCTTCAAGTTGCAGTATGACCAAAGACCTCTTTCGATCATCCCAAGCCTAGCAATCAATACCGGGTAACAATGCCAGGTGTAATGTCAACCTTAAATAATGTACAGCAAATTCGGAAATGACAAACCTTGATGTTGCTCTCTCAATGCCTTCTCTGAGATCATCAAGGGTACATGTCTTAAGTTTAATGCCCACATTCATGGAACTATCCTTAAACATCTTCCCTGAGGAGGCCATAAAATGTAGTCTGAGTTCACCAAGCCGGAAACTGTCATTATGAAATGAAAGTTTGGATTCCTGTGGTATATTTCAAGCAAAAGAATCAATTATCTTTAAATATTATGTAATTACTTATAAACATATTTTTAATTAAGAAATTAAAGGCAAATCAATATCATAAATTTTAAAAGAACAGGTGTTGAAACACAAAAAAACAGAACAGTGAATAATATTCGTTCGTGAGGGTATATGTACATGCAAATAAATACATATATATGTGCTGATCTTCAACAATAGTTAATATATAAAAACTTATCAGTTCGTGGCAAATAAAAATAATCAGAAGATATTTTTGTCAATCAATCATTCTTACTAATAAATATTTAATGAGCTCTTTCGTAAAAAACACCATGATAGGAATTATGAGGTTTACAAGAAAGGATAAGGCATGACAGGTGAGCTAGTGAGCTTATACCCTAATTGAAAAGAAAAAAAACAGAAATACATTGCAACAAACATCACAAAGAGATATTGTAAGTTGTAAATGAAAAAAAGAAAAAGACATGTAGTCATTTGTTTGTTCATATTTATATTCTCCCATATTGTACAAAGGACATGAAGTGATTAGGTAAGACTAAAACAGCAAAAGCTCAGAGGGTCAAAGAGGTCATTGTGGGCCAGGAAAAATTCTTGAAGAAGGTGAGAATGTAAACTGAGTGGGATTAGACAGGCTAAGAAGTGTAGAAGACAATCTAGATAGGGAGAAAACATGAACAAACAATTCAAGATGCTCTGAAGGCACAAGATACAGGCTGTTTAGGCTTGAATAGTCCAATTAAAGAATGCTAGAGAATGAGGACTGGAGAGAAATATAGAGGCCTAATCAAGGTCTCAAATCCTAAAGATTTAAAATTGTTTTTATAGGAAAAAGGACCGCAGTCTTTATGTCACCAAACACATAGCTGCAAATTCTGTAGGTATGCCCAGACTTTAAAAGAAAAAAAGTCTTCAATTAATTAAAGAATTTTAGTCCTGATAGCTCACTACAGACCATGACATTCATATGAGGGGTACTGGTGTGCAATTCTGGGCACACGTTATAACTACACATCTCTCACTTAAGAGAGTACATTGCATGCAAGTGGGTCAGAATGATATTATTATTAGCAAACTTGGAATGACTTTAATTTATAAAAATGTAAATATCCCTGGCTCGTTTGGCTCAGTGGATAAAGCGTCAGATTGTGGACTGAAGGGTCCCAGGTTCGATTCCGATCAAGGGCACATGTCTGGGTTGCGGGCTCGATCCCCAGTTGGGGGTGTGCGGGAGGCAGCCAATCAATGATTCTCTCTCATCACTGATGTTTCTATCTCTTTCTCACTCTCCCTTCCTCTCTGAAATCAATAAAAAATATATTTTTTAAAAAAATGTAAATAATTCACAAACTTCTGATTTGTGCATGTTTGTTTGTTTTTAACCCTAGCCTGAGAATATATTTTTATTGATTTTTAGAGCGAGAAGAAGAAAGAAAAAGAGAGAGAGAGAAGAAACATGGATCAACTGCCTCCCACACACGCCACGACCTAGGCATGTGCCCTGACTGAAAATCAAACCCGCAACCCTTTGGTGTAAGGGACGACACTCCAAAACCAACTGAGCCACCAGGCCAGGGTATAAACTACTGATTTGTAGCTATTAACAGAAATGACCTGTGACACATCTACTGATCACAATATACTTATGTTTGTGGTACAGATATTGCTGTAGACAACTTGGAACCACTGAATCTTTTTTAGTAAGACAAAATTCACATAACACTGGGAAGTTGTAAATGGCATGAAAATCATTTAGGAAGCTGAACGTGTGCCAATATCTGGATGGATAAAAAGAATAACAAACAAGGAAGCCTTTGTGGTACTATAATTGTGAGCTAAGATTTTTCAAATAAAGCAGCAGTGAGAACTGCCAGGAAAGGACAAAGGTTCAATCAAAGAAAAAACTGATAGTAATCAGTGTCTAAATGAATAAAAATCAACAAAGAAGGAAATAAACGAAGATACAGATTTTAAAACTGGGCAACCAGTGGAATGATGGTACCTTAAGTGAAATGAGGAACATATTTAACTATTAATTTTCCAGAAGGTAATTTTCTGATCTTCTAATTAACATTAGACATTAGAAATTAAGGCAGTTTGTTGTACAAATGACAGATAGTAGCCAAGGTTTAACAGTAACAATGTATGAATATTGCATCATTTTTAGAAAATAATATAAAATGTAATATAACATATAAGTGGACATTAATAACAGATATAAAGCCCATAATTAGAATATATTATGGGTATTAATCAATCTAACATAGGTATTAACAAATGGCATATGTATTATGATTATTATATGACATGATTTATATAACCAAAAATATTTATTAAAAGATACTATCTAAGGCCTGGAAGGAGTTGATACAGGGTGGAGGAGGTTAATGAGAAAACAAAGGGGACATTTGTAATACTTTCAACAATAAAGGTTAATTTTTTTAAAAAAGACACTATATAATAAAAAAATAGCTTTCTAAAATACCACTGATACATTACTTAATTCAAATAATTATGAGACTGGACCTTGGTTCTTCAATTCATTAATGAGTATCCTGAACACATAACTACTACATATAAAATTTATTCAATAAAAACATAGTCGCCAAAACCGGTTTGGCTCAGTGGATAGAGCGTCGGCCTGTGGACTGAAGGGTCCCGGGTTCGATTCCGGTCAAGGGCATGTACCTTGGTTGTGGGCACATCCCCAGTGGGAGATGTGCAGGAGGCAGCTGATCGATGTTTCTCTCTCATCGATGTTTCTAACTCTCTATCTCTCTCCCTTCCTCTCTGTAAAAAATCAATTAAATAAATAAATAAATAAATAAAATAAATAAAAATAAAAACATAGCTAATGCTCATACTATATCATAATGATAAATTTAAAAAATATTCCTCTAAGGTTCCAAAGCCACTACTAAGTTATTCTCCTTAAATAGTTATACTTATGTATCAATCTATGTAATAAAATTGTGCATATAATTAGTTCCTCATATATAAGATTCTTCTATTAGTGATGGATTTAAGTGTTTTAGTGCTAATGTTACTTAGAACAAAATAAAAAAATTGCCTTTGCCTAGTAGTATTAACAACACCAAAAAAGTGAAGTCAGAGAGCAAGACCAATGTATGTTCTGTAGTCCAAACAGAATTTCATAGACATATTAATTTTTATGAATAAACATAAAAAAATGCCACTATTCCAAATTCAATAAAGAGCTAAGGATTTATTTCTAAATACAGAAAGTTAGTACATACCTGGTTGATATCATTGTTATAAAGAACAATGGAAAGAGATTCAAAGTGAAAGTCAAATTGCAGAGTGACACTCTGATCCACAGAAAGCTGTGTGTCTGCCAAATCTTGTTCTGATGGTTCAAACATAAATACGAAAATTAAAAAAACTTTTAGGTAGGTGTATGATTTTAGCTATATTTTAAAAGCTAGGATAATTTATTATCCTACATTTATATCATACTTTCTACAATTATTTAAATAATATTATAAGAATAAAAATGCCAATTATTTGTCCCATATATATTCAGCACAGGTGGCCCTTCCCTTACAGCAGACACTGAGCATACATACCTCCTTCCCCTGGGAGCTTTTCCACAGTAAATAATACAAGACTGAATCAGTTCATACTATATTATCCTGGACAACTAAGAAAAACCACTAAATATAAATATGGCATTAATGCTCATTTTTCTCCATAATCAAATCAAAAATCTTCAATTTTACCTTTGAGGTGGTCAGGTCCACTCAAAACATCTTTTCTTACTCTTACAGCCTCCTGGGTAGACTGTGTAGGGCTTGGCTGTGAAGAAGCTTCCCCAAGATTTTCCAGCAAAATTTTCATTAAAACTGTTAAATCATCTTCACTGAGAGCAACCTAGAAACCAAAAATAAGTTGTTATAAATATAAAGTAATAAAAAATGCAGAATATCATATCTATGTCTTAATTTATGGTTCCTCAAATTAACTGACTGTTCATCTAACTTTAAAAAACAAAGTTAGCTTATTTTCTACATAGTATTTGTGGGATTTTTTGCTTCCTTTTTGCAGTTAATTTCAAATTTCAAAGCACTGCAGTCAGAGAATATGCTTGGTATAATTTTAATTATCTTAAATTTGTTGAGGCTAGTTTTGTGTCCCAACATATGGTCTATCCTTGAGAATATTCCATGTGCACTAGAGAAGAATGCATAATCTGGTGTTCTGGAATGAAAGGCTCTGTAAATGTCAATTATGTCCATTTGGTCTAATGTGTCATTTAAGGCTGATATTTCTTTATTGCTTTTCTGTTTGAATGACCTACCTATAGTTGTCAATGGGGTACTTAAGTCCCCTACTGTGATTGTGTTTTTGTCACTTTCTCCCTTTAGTTCTGTTAGTAGTTGCTTTATACATTTCGGTGCTCCCCGACTGGAGCACATATATTAGAATGTGATGTCTTTTTGATGTAGTGCCCTTTATCATTATAAAATGACCATCTTTGTCTCTTGTTACCTTTTTTTTAAGGTTTTTTATTTTTTATTGATTTTTAGAGAGAGAAAGGGAGAGGGAAAGAGAGAGAGAAACATCGATGGAAGCATCTATTGGCTGCTTCCCGCACGCCCCCCACATGGGACCGAGCCCACAACCCTGGCACATGTCCTGACTGGGAATCAACTCGGCAACACTTTGGTGAACAGGATGATGCCCATTCAACTGAGCCACACCAGCCAGGGTTCATCTTACCTTTTTTATCTTGAAATCTATTGTGTTACATATAAGTATGGCTATACCTGCCTTTCTATGGATGCCATTTACTTGGAGAATGGTTTTCCACCCTTTAACTTTGAGTCAATATTTGCCTCATCAGCTTAGAGGTGTCTCCTGAAGACAGCACATGGTTGGGTTTTGTTTTTTGATCCAATCTGCTATTCTGTGCCATTTTAGTCAACTTATATTTAAAGTACCTCAACATAATACAGACCATATATGACAAACCCTCAGCTAATATGATACTCAGTAGTGAAAAACTGAAAGCTTTTCCTCTAAGATCAGGAACAAGACAAGGATGCCCACTCTCACCACTGTTATTCATCATAGTACTAGAAGACCTAGCAAGAGCAAACAGGTAAGAGAAAAAAATAAAAGAAATCCAAACTGCGAATAAAGAAGTAAAATTGTCACTTTGTGCAGATGACATGATTCTTTATATAGAAAACCCTAAAGACTCAACCAAAAAACTATTAAAAACAATAAAAAAGTACAGTAACATTACAGGATATAAAGTCAATGTACAATAACTCAATGCATTACAATATAGTAATGAAATTTCAGAAAAATAAATGAAAAAAAATTCCTTTTGCAATTGCAACAAAAAGAATAAAATACCTAGAAATAAACTTAACAAAGGATGTGAATGACTTTTATACTGCAAACTACAAAGCATTACTAAAAGAGATTGAAAAAGACACAATGCAATAGGAAGATATCCCACGTTAATGGATTGGAAAAATCAACATAGCCACATTCCTAAAAGCAATATAAAGATTTAATGCAATTTCCTTCAAAATCCCAATGATGTTTTTTAAAGAAATAGAACAAAAAAATATATCTGATTTATATAGAACCACAAAAGACCCAGCATAGCTAAAGCAATCCTGAGAGAAAAGAACAACGCCAGAGTTATCACACTCTCTGACTTCAAATTATACTACAAACTATAATAATCAAAACAGCATGGTATTCAAGGGATAAGAAAAAAAGAAAGACTCACGGACACAGACAATAGTACAGTGATTTGCACTGCATGGGAGAACATATTTGCCAATGCTATTTCAGATAAGGGTTTAATCTCCAAAATTTACAGAGAACTTATACAACCTAACAAAAGGAAGATAAACAATCCAATCAAAAAATGGGCGAAGGACCTAAATAGACACTTCTCCTAAGACATACAAATGGCTAACAGATATATGAAAAGATGCTCAACTTCACTAGCCACTAGAGAAATGCAAATCAAAACTACAATGAGATACCACCTCACACCTGTTAGAATGAATATTATCAATAAGACAAGTAATGATAAGTATAGGAGAGGTTGTGGAGGAAAAGGAACCCTCACACCCTTACCTTCTGGTAAGAATGTAAACTGTTACAGCTACTATGCAAAACAGTATGGAAGCTCCTCAAAAAATTAAGAATAGAGTTACTATATGACCCAGAAAGCCCTCTTCTGGGTATCTACTTGAAAACATTTATTCACAAAGATATATGCATGCCTATGTTCATTGCAGTATTATTAATGGTGGCCAACACATGGAAACAACTGAGTGTCCTTCGCTAGAGGACTGGATAAAGAAGATGTGGCACATATATACAGTGGAATACTACTCAGATATGAGAAAAGACCAAATACTGATATTTGCGACAACATGAATGGATCCTGAGAATATCATGCTAAGTGAAATAAGTCAGACAGAAAAAGTTAAAAACCATGTAATTTCACTCATATGTGATATATAAAACTGAAAGCAACAAATGTACAAACAAGAAAAACAAGTTAAAAAAAAAAAGAAAAACAAACAAAAACTCATAGACAGAGACAACAGTATGGTGGTAACCAGTGAGAAGGAGGTAGGAGTAGTAAAGCCTAAGGAGGGTCAAATATATGGTGATGGAAGATGTGACTTTGGGTGGGGGACACAATGCAATATATAGATGATGTACCACTGAATTGTACACCTGAAACCTATATTATCTTATTAACCAATGTCACCCCAATAAATTTAATTTTTTAAAAAAGGGTACTAGGAGAGAAGTATTTCATCTTGTATAGTATAAGACTTCCCTCCTGTGTATGAACACACTTCTGCCTCCACCCGTATCCAAGCTCCTGCCTCTGGCATGCCATCATTCTTCTGCCTTATCGGTTATTCTGCCTCGTCTCATTCCTGGACTTGTACCTCTCTCCCCTCTCCTTAGCTCCTCATCTTTAGTCTGTCTTTCTCCCTTCTCAGCCAGTATCAGTTCCTTCTTCCGCATTATTATTTACTCCCCTCCAAACTCAATACAGGGAAAGTACTGTTCAGTTTCTGGACTCTTCCAAGAAGTAAAAAAAAAAAAAAAAAAAAAAAAAAAATGATCTCCTATAATGTAGGAGCACTTATTCTCAGTACATATGCATCTGGACATATATAAAACATTTGTTTAAGTTGTCAAGAATAATGCATTTGTCATTCTTCTAAGACACATCTACAAAGTACTTTTAAAAGACAAAGCACAAACCAGGAAAGGAGTATTTTGCTCATCTCCTAACTTTATATGACAGAAAGGAAAAAAAGAAAGCAAGAGCTTTTAAGTCCAGCAGATCAGTATCAAGTCTACCACTTTCAAGCTGTGTTGTTGGCCAACTCAGCTTCCTTAATTCAAGTTTCTTAATTTTTAAAATAAGAATAATATCCTCTTCCTCATAGGTGGCTACAGAAAATGAAACAGAACAAATGAAGCTGCCATTAGCTGCTAAGATCCATTAAACCTTTTAATCCTTCCATCTTTTGTACGTTTTCTTTACACACAGAATGACTCAATGGGCCTGTTTCAAGTATAAACACATATTCAGACAAGCATGCATGCATTCACGACACTTTCTCCTCTGAATACCACAGTATCCTTTGTCCCTCAAATTAAGCCACTACTGCCAGAGAAATTGCCTGATTCTCAGTCTAAATAAAAGTGGGGAGGTATTTTAGCATGAGATAATAACTAGGGATTACTTGTTTGTCACAAGCCCCCGTCCTCAGATAACAGACGTCTCTGTAACACCCTAGAACTTCCTTGTGTATTCATTTCCACTTGTGATACCAACCACAATATCCAACTGCCTGAAGAGGAGCTAACTTCACCACACCTTTGGTTTCCTGTGGGTGAAAAGAGCAACCATTGTTCCCATTGGCATTTAAAGCCCAGCACCTTCCACAGCAATCTATACTCTGTACTTGTAAACATAATTCCTTCTTTTCCATTTTTTCTGTGATCATTCTAGACTAGGAGTCCAGATTATTATAACAACCTCCTAAGAAGTGGTGAGAAACCTTTACACATGTACAACAGTTCAAAAAAAAAAAAAAAAAAGAGCAACCGTATCATATACGTACAGTGATATTCACTAAGTCTGTAGGTCAATTTGAGAGGCAGCCGCTCAGTTCTTAAAGAACTGTCAAGCTGATGGACCCATAACAACTTCTGGTGTCACCTGCCTGACACCCTTTCTTAGATGTACTCTGGACCCAAGAAAATTAACACACATCCTGACCAAGGAAGGGCTGTTTAAAGAGGCCTGGATCTCTGTCAAATTAGGCAATGGAGACCATACTCACTAGGCTGCACTTTTTTAGTTAAATAACCATCCTTTGATGCTTAACTGGTGATACTTTCTTGTTTTCTTTTGAAATATGTAAAACATAAAGGAAAAACACAGAGAATACTATAATCCTCCCCCAGACATTTGACATACCTGAGTCAAATCTTAACAAATTCCTATATTTGATTCAGATCTTTTCCTCCATAATGGATATGGTTGAAGCCCCATGTTTACTTCTCTGAGAACTCATTCCCTTCTCCTTTCCTCCGCAAAGAAAAACACTATCCTGAATTAGAGAATTATTCTTTCCACATAAGCTTTCTTACATTTCCCACTATAAACAATATACAGCACTGTCCATTGGCTTGCTTGTTGTAAAATTTGAAATGATATAGAAATGCACTATCATTCTGCACTCATTTTTTTTCATTTTTATGTTTAAGATATACCCATTTTGCTTTGTACAGTTCTAGCTCCTTCACTTTATCTACTTTATAGTGTCTAACTATGTCATAATTTGATCCACATCCTCTAACTGATAGAGCCATTTAGGTTTTATTTTGCTTCAATTTTTCAATGAAAGTGAAATGGGACAAATATCAGTCCTAAGATCTAATGTCTTAATAGTAAGGGAGAAATTAAAAGTTGTCCCATACTCTGGAATAGAGAATTCTCTATGAATACCCTAAACAGACATTGTTCCTCATATAATGTATCTGCTCATACTACACATAGGGACATTCCTACAACAAATTTCAATTTTAACTTCTTCCCTAGTGGAACTCAGCTTCTTTGACCCTTTCTATTTTACCTTAGAACTTACTCTGAAATAATCACAGATGTCAAAAATCACTAAATTACTCAATTTTTGTTTTTCACACACTCTATTTGTTTAATTACTCTCTCCAGTACCTTGTCCCCTGCTGTTGGGCTTCAACAATTTCACACACAGGCACACGAGAAACGTAAGATGCCTACACTTTTACGACCATCTTCCACCAGTGTCATCCTTCCCTGTGAACCTATACATGATATTCTAACTACCCTTTAAGAAATACTGCTGCATTTATTAATGTGTTCTTAAACACATTCACTTAAATGACCACTTTTATCATTAAGAGTGATTTTATAAAATCCTACTAATGTGCTTTGAATATAGTACCTAAATATCACTTTATACTCTTATAATTTAACTGCCTTAAAACTTTATTAGAATTTTCCAAAATTACTAATAATATTTTCAGTGGACTCCAAAAGGTTTTATCTCAGTCTTTTTACTAGTTTTACCAAATATTTGACTAAAATGAAATACAGAAAAGTGTAGGAAACTAGAATGACTTCATTTGCAGTTAGTGTTCCCTTTTATGGTATCATCACTTCTGATGTGCACTAGAACTGCACTATGATCAATGATAAAAGCCTATCTAGCAATTTTCATATACATATATATATCAAGCCTAACCAGGAGATATGTTTTTTTATTGATTTTAGAGAGAGGAAGTGAGAGGGAGAGAGAGAGAAAGAGAAAAACATCAATGTGAGAGAAAAACGTTGATCAGTTGCCTTCCTTATATGCATCGATCAGGGATTGAACCCGCAACCTTTCTTTTGGTGTATGGAACGACACTCTAACCAAATAAGCCACCCAGGCAGGGCAATTTTCTTTTCTTTCTTTTTATTTATTTTTTATTTTTTGTTAAACTTCACCTGAGGCTATTTTTTCCATTATTTTTCAGAGAGAGTGAAAGAAGGGAGGGAGGGAGAGAGAGACTGAGGAGAGACAGAGAAACATCAATGTGAGATAGATAACACATCAACTGATTGCCTCCCGCAGGCTTCCCAACCAGGAGCAGGGAGCCAACCTGCAACCCAGGTACTTGCGCTTGACCAGGAACCAACCCTCGACCCTTTGATTCAAGGTCTGACACTCTAACCACAGAGCTACACTGGTCAGGGCAATTTTCATATATATACTTACCTGCATAGGTTTCAGTTTTCCTTTTATCTCCATCCCTGGAATTTGCACATACCATGTTGCTGCCAAATTTCGCTGTATAGACAAAAGCATGTTGACTGGTTTTAAAATTTCAATGTCATATTGTGGCAAGCCAGCCTGCAAGATAGTTCTGAAAGATAAACAAGAATTTATTTTGTATTTTTGAAATTTATATTTTAAAATGAAGACTATCATACTATTTAAGTTTCCACACTTTTCCTAAATAATAAGGGCTGCTATCAGAATTCTTTTAGAACATACTTGTTTTCACAGATCAGTCGAATCAGAATAAATCAAGTTTACATGCAGAGTTCTCTAAAACAAAGCCTATGCTGACTTCAAAGACACAAATTTCATGAAGTATGATTATTTCATTATTAACTATCTTCACAAGAACTATTTAATAACAGCAAACAGTGCAATGTCTTAAAAATTAATGTTACATCCTCTCAAAAATGGAGGACAAAGAAAGTGGTAGTCTACTCAGCCCTTAGTTTTATGTTATTGGTACTCTCCAAATTAAAGGGAAAAATTCATCAAACCCAGAAGTTAAGCAAACATATGGTAACAGTAATTTCTAGCTTGTCTACCAACAACCATTTGCACAACCAAGTAAGTACTCTTGTCATTTAACAGAGCCAATCCTTTCCAATTTATATTCAATAATCCTTTATAAACCTCAGAGCGAATTCCCAAATGTGATATGGTTTAGAAATAAGAAATAAATCTTAAATTTTATTACATTTTAAGCAGCTTTCTCCCCTCTACAGAAAATAGCTATGTACAAGTAAAAAAATAAATCTAAGTTATTATTGGGTAAACTGTAATTTGTAACAGGAAATGTTTATAGAATCAAAAAAATCACATCATAAATTTAGTAAGACAAAATGCAGATACTGTACTATAACGTACTCTGCTACTAACCACTGACCAAATACCAACAGTCAAGGTTTCATAATTAGAAAAAATAAGGAGAACCACAAATCACTAGAGTATTTTACCCCTGGAAGGAGTCTATGAAAATTCTATTTATACTAAGTAACATACAATTTGATTCTATATTTATACCTGGAGAGTTTCAACTGAGTGAGTTGGATGTTCATTTTGTCAATGACTGGGGGAAGAGAAGAATGTTCCATAGGAACCAAGCTAAATTTGTTTTCCACTCTGATTAAACCCAGGTCAGCTATCACAGCATTAGGTGATACTGAAGACTGAGGAATGATAATAACTGGTGCTTTCAAATTGATATCCATCAAAAGGCGGAAACTCTTCTGAGCCAAGTCTTTCATGCTGGAAGCAGCTCTTTCTGCAGCCTGTACCGTGGCTGCGCTCAAAGCTTCTTTGGCAGTTTGGAAATTGTTGAGAAAGTTCTGTTGGAAGAGACTGTATTTAGAGTTCCCCCAAAATAACATTTATTTAAAAAGGAAAAACTTTAGAAATTATTTACTTTAAAAAATTAAGTAAAAGGTAACATAAGAGATGCTATTTATTATTGTGCTTATGGAGAGAGTAAAATATAGAAAGATACACTCCTAAATATTAATAAGAATCACTTCTAGGAAAGAAGAGTCCTTTAACTTTCATTTTATATATTTCAGATTTGGTTCTTATGACAAATTTTGGTAACTATTTTTTATTGAATTTATTGGGATGACATTGGTTTACAAAGTCAGACAGGTTTCAAGTAACAATTTTTTTAATCTCCTTTTTACCCATGAATGTTAGTTATTTTAACTTCAAATTTAAATAAAGAAATGGGGGAGAGCACTTTACTTTTCCCAAATTAAGTTCAAATCTATTTCTCTAAGTCACAGGAATAAAGTTACTCTTAGAAACTATGGTTTTGCCAGCTTATTTCTGAAGATTTTTTAAAAGTATACTCAGGCAGCCCTAGCTGGTTTGGCTCAGTGGATAGAGCATTGGCCTGCAGACTGCAGGGTCCCAGGTTCGATTCTGGTCAAGGGCACATGCTTGAGTTGCAGGCTTGATCTCCAGTGGGGGCCATGTAGGAGGCAGCCAATCAATGATTCTCTCTCATCATTGATGTTTCTCTCTCTCTCCCTCTCCCTTCCTCTCTAAAATCAATAAAAAATATATCTTAAAAAGAAGAAGAAGAAAAAAGTATACTCAGGCAGAAGATGCTTAAATGTCTACAACCTTGCTATCATTAATAAGAATCAAAACTTCTTTATTTAGAGTAAGATAGATTTTACCTCAATTTTAACTAAAAACAAAGATTTTTCCCAATAAAGATCATTCTTAGAAATAATATTCCTGACACTCATCCATTATAATACAAAGCAACCTAAACTCCCCTCATGCCAAATAAATTACTTCCCTGAGAAATAAAACATGGCCCTCTCCTTCTCCCTTTTTCTCTCCATAAGAAAAAATAATAACAAAATAAAATATGATGGTTTAAGTAGAAATCTATGACTTGTAAGCTTTGAATTTTATCCCTGCTAAGAGGCATAGGCAAAATTTAGCCCACAATATTTACATGGAAATAAATAACTTTTAAAAAAGAATTTTATGGCCTTATTGACTGCAATTATAATCAAAAGCTGTTAAGTTCCAGTATTAGTCCTTCAAATGCCTACTGATTTCCTTAAAAAATTATTTTTACCTCAATACCTTTAAGGGTATTTCATAAAACAAATAACACTGAAAAGCCCTAAATGCTTTTTAAGTACTTTTAAAATATATAACTATGAAAATGTTAAGGCATAATAGTTTACATGTTCAAAACAATGATGACAAAAATTCATTTGGTTATCCATCATGTAGATGACTTCCTTAACTATAATGTTCTGTTCAGCATTTGGATGTTTACCCACAACCCGTTTAGTAAAAATTTTAACTATCTAGGTTCAGATACATAGGCAAAGATATTTGGGCCTCAGTGAGAGATAAATATATTTAAAAATAAACTTACCAGAAGAGACATGAAGAATTTATGAACATAAACAATTTGAATACAGCCCACTTTGAGACTAAGTTTGCCATCTACTTTAGACATATCGGCATAGGCCTTTCCTTCTGTGGCATCTGGATAAAGGGTCATTTGGAACCTAAAGACTTCATCTCCCAAAATAGAGACAGCCTAAAAGTATTAATTTAACTGGTTACTACATCAAAATATCTGTATTATAAATAAGTTACATTATTAAAGAATCTGTGATGTGTGAAGAAGCACCATCAAAATAAACTTTCAACAAATTATTAAACACTTATTTGACAATAATTTTTCCTATATCTATAAAAATTATTTTATCAATGTAGAGATCAAGCACTTAATTGGTCAGAAAAAACTTTTACAAATCATTTAGCCCATACACACTGAAAGCAGGCTATTACTACATTCATGTCCAATCCCTGACAAGTACCTAACACATGACAGACACTAAGTGTATATAGAACAAATGGATAAAGTCACCTCAAAACTAAAGGTAAAAATAAATTTCAATACAGAAGCTTTTAAAAAATAATTACCTTTTTGTGAATGGACATCAAATCTACATTGGTAACAATGATATCCTGAAGTCTGGCAAACATGTCAGTTTGCTTTGGCTTCACAGAAATGGAGGCATCCATTCCTATGGGAAACATTACATTTACAAACTTTTCACCTAATCCAAGTGAACCAACTACGTGGCACTTAAGTTCAATAATATACTACAAAGATACAGAATGAATAAAAATTACTTACTGGTAGACATACTAAAAGTATCAACTTCTATGTATGAGATACCAAGGAAGATTATATCCTTAAGTGATACAGGTAAGTCATAAATAAAAGTGGAAATTATAAAAAAAGAAATCTTTTTTCCAGGAAAATTAATTACAGATTTCTAAACAAAAAATAATCTGTGCATTGGCAAGATCAGAAGTGGTCATTTAGAAAGACACATAATGTTTGTTACATAGCCATTTCGTAAACATTACATTATGAAAACTATTGCTCTGATAACTAAGCATAAATAAGTACAATTTGATGAGTAAGTCCTATTCTTTCTATAATAAACTGTATCTAAAATGCAATCTTGTAAGATTTCTCTCCAAAAGAATTTTTGTCATCCTCATAATTTCTAAAGGCATAATGATTTCTGAAACAGCTCCTACAGGAAGAATGCCTGAAGCTAAGACCGAGTAATCAACCAAACCATAAACCATACCAACGATAAGACAGATAATAAAGTATTTGTTTAACAAAACAGATTTTTAACCTTTTTAACTGCTTATGATGTACCAGGCACTTTTCTAAATATATGTAAGTGTGTAAACTTAATCCTCACAACAATGCCATGAATAATTATCTCCATTTTAGAGAAATTGGAACTTGGGCATAGAAAGATTAATTTGCTCAAGGTCAGCCAGTAAGTGTTAGAGCCAAAACTGAACCTTGGCAATTTGGCTCCAGAACCCATGGAATAATCTGAACTCATCCTTATATTAAGCAGATGGTGGGTAAAGGTTATAAAATTTCTTTTAAAAACGTCTACTCTTGATGCTATGTAAGGACAAAATACAACAATAAGGATAATGACATTTTGTTTGCCCAGTGAGATATTATCATAATACATATTCACAGTTTAAAGTTAGATTATTCTGGGACCATCCAGTTTGCAGCTCCATGGAAACATAAAGGACACACCCAGGGGGCAGACTCAGTGAGCACCAAAGCCCCACTGAAACAAGTCTTGCCCCAGAAGGCTGTCTCCAGCAAAGAAGTTCTCCCACTGCAGATACAGCTGATTCTCACAGCCAATTGGCCTGGAGACCAATTCCTCCCAGTGATACCTACAACAATCAAGGCTTAACTACAACAAGACTGTGCACAAAGACCACAAGGGGGTGCACCAAGAGTATCCTCCTCAGGTAATTGGTGAGGCTGAACCACTGGGCACTAGAGGACACTTAGAACAGAAAAACACTGTATCAAAACAGGGAAGCATAAAAAATGCGGAGACAAAGAAAAAGGACACAAACGACAGAAATGGAGGAAAGCTAACTACTGGATATAGAGTTCAAAACCACACTTTTAAGGTTTTTCAAGAATTTTCTAGAAACTGCCAATAAACTTAATGAGATCCACAAGAAATCTAATGAGACCCTCGATGTTGTGATAAAGAACCAACTAGAAATTAAGCATACACTGACTGAAATAAAGAATATTATACAGACTCCCAACAGCAGACTAGAGGATTGCAAGAATCAAGTCAACGATTTGAAATACGAAGAAGCAAAAAACACCCAACCAGAAAAGCAAAATGAAAAAAGAATCCAAAAATACGAAGATAGCATAAGGAGCCTCTGGGACAGCTTCAAGCGCACCAACATCCGAATTATAGGGGTGCCAGAAGAAGAGAGAGTGCAAGATATTGAAAACATATTTGAAGAAATAATGACAGAAAACTTCCCCATACCTGGTGAAAGAAATAGACTTACAAGTCCAGGAACCACCAAGAACCCCAAACAAAAGGAATCCAAAGAGGACCACACCAAGACACATCATAATTAAAATGCCAAGAGCAAAAGACAAAGAGAGAATCTTAAAAGCAGCAAGAGAAAGACAGTCAGTTACCTACAAGGGAGTACCCATACGACTGTCAGCTGATTTCTCAACAGAAACTTTGCAGGCCAGAAGGGAGTGGCAAGAAATATTCAAAGTGATGAATGCCAAGAACCTACAACCAAGACTACTTTATCCAGCAAAGCTAACATTCAGAATTGAAGGTCAGATAAAGAGCTTCACAGATAAGGAAAAGCTAAAGGAGTTCATCACCACCAAACCAGTACTATATGAAATGCTGAAAGGTATCCTTTAAGAAGAGGAAGAAGAAGAAAAAGGTAAAGATACAAATTTTGAACAACAAATACACATCAACAAGTGAATATGAAAATCAAGTGAATAATCTGATGAACAGAATGAACTGGTGATTATAATAGAATCAGGGGCATAGAAAGGGAGTGGACTGACTATTCTTGGGGAGGAAAGGGGTGTGGGGGATGCGGGAAGAGACTGGACAAAAATCATGCACCTATAGATGAGTACAGTGGGTGGGGAGTGAGGGAGGAGGGTGGGGTGGGAACTGGGTGGAGGGGAGTTATGGGGGGAAAAAAGAGGAACAAATTTAATAATCTGAACAATAAAGATTTAATTTTAAAAAAAGTTATATTATTCTGAAAAATGCAAATATAGGAGGTTAAGCTTTAGACTTATCCTGAAAGTTTTAAAATACATGGGAATGTGTTGTGTCAGCCATGAATCATAACAAATTTACTTCTAACATTTCAAAGTACAACTCTGAAAAGTTTGCATGAGTCTTCAATGCAAGTAAATCAAAAGATGACTCATGAGAAATGTACCATGCACACACTCATTCTTCCTGGAGGTCTATGTAAGAAAACAGAAATACATACACCAAGGAATCATTACTTACCATGTATTCTAATATCTGCAATGCTACACTTCTGATCACAGACCAAGACATTAAATGAATTTAATTCAGCCATGATCTTTAAGTCAAACACATCATCTTGAGAAGTATTACTGGACACTGAAAAGTAATAGAAACCTTATCATCAGCAAAGTGCAAAGTTGATATAATAAGATGCAAAATATTCTCAAATTCACTAAAATAAAAGTACATTATGAACTATGAAGAACCAAAAAGGCCTTTATTAAGATTATATAAAATTAATATGGATTTTGAATCAATTTTCAAATGTCCATGAGAAAAAAGCTAGCATATTCCCCTTCAAATTAAGAATAAAGATAGCCTTTAATAGTGCCTTAAAAGTACTATTTGATAAATGGAAACTTTACTATAATTTTTTCCTGGGGGGAAAAAAACCCTCTATGTTAAAATTCTAGAATGCTACTGAAGCTAATTATTTTGAATTCCTTTAATATCATATATTAGATGAAAGAAGAATTTTCATAAAAAACTAAAAGAGTAATAAATAGTTGATAAAATACATTTGATTAACTGACACATACATGTTATTAACTATAGAATCGATTTCTCTAGATTGTATCCTGTTTCTCCATGAAAAATCCTAAAATGAATTCTATGAAAAATGAACACAAAGGGCTGAAGTTTAAAAAAATACCAAAAACAGTTTTATAATGTGTGTGTTTGTATGTGTATAAGAATCACAATCAAATGGATTCCCTTAACCAACTTGAGTCCAGGTCCTGATTGAGGAATTCAGGATATATTTTCCTAGAGCTCCGTCTTGCTTGAAGGAAACAGACCTTTTCCTATAATAGGTAAAAGCATGGGTACAGCAGTCCTTAACCACCAAGATGATAATGGTTTTTTCCCTTAAGATTTAAAATAGCATAATCAAACCTTAAAAATCAAATACACAGCATAACAGGAAGACTATTTTTTAGTTAAATTTTTTATAGTTTATTGTGAACTTAAACACTGCTTTTTCATTTATTCAAGTGTATGTGTCTATCTTATATAAGTATTTCCACAAATGTTAACGTAACAAGTTTATTACAACAAACATAAAATTCTTTTAGTCTAGTTTATAGCAAAATTATTGCTCTCTTCCCTAGTTAAAAAAAATCTGATCCTTTACACTTGAAAGATGCCAGTAAGATTAATATAACTAAAATTGATAATGGTCTGAAAGTACACTGCTAGATGTTAGATATCCATATTACATGATATGGAAGAAAATTAATTAAAATGATATTTGCTTAAAAATAGGCACTTGTTCACTCAGGATATAAGTATTTAATATTTAATAGCATAAATCATATGTTTGAGGAACATGTACCCATATAAGTATGTGATTTAAATACAGTTTGCATAGAAACCAAAGTGGGTCTTTCTCTTCCATGAGATTTTTCCTTTTGTGTCTTAGAAAAGCACCTAAAATTGTTGAGCACCAGGTAGGTTTACTCGATGGACTGAAATGGACTTTTGTTACTATGCATGATTGTATTTGTATTTTAATTTCTTCCTTTTTCCCTTTCATTGGTATGAATTCTGCAGAGACATCAATGCAAACATATATAGAGGATAAAATTCGCTTTCTTTTGAAACTAACCTAATCTGTCATAGCAACTATAATAGTAAGGTGCTAAATATTTATCTTAGCTTGAAGATACAAGTTATTATATGATTATTAAAGTTCAGACAGAAAGTATTAGACCATGACTCAAAAGCTAATACCAGCTTTGACAATGAGACTTCTGGACTCCCCCACAAGTGGCTTCAGTTCAGATTCCTTTTCAGAAGGTTCAGAGGATGGAACAGCAGATGATAAAAAACCCATGAGGGATAATAAAGCTTCCAAATGAAGTACTAAGTCTAAGGATGAAAATGAAACCTAAGATAATAAACAATTAGAGAGGCAGATGTCAGATATGGTAACATTTTTATATTACATTTCCCACTTCCACATACACAAGTAGCACAAAATCATTCCATTAAGGGCTTTAAAAAAATAAAAAGAACTCATTATTATAAATTCAACCTTTACCATAATTCTAACCTCAACAGAACTTGATGGGTTTTAAGTAAAGATATAGGAAGTATTATCAGGCCATGCGTAGGTCAGTCACATTACATATGGGTTCCAAGACAGACCAACACTACATGGACTGTGAACAATGTCTATACTGAGACATGCCATTAGCCTTGTCCTTACATTTATTTTAATCCTAAAACCAATACATAATTCAAATGTTTCACATTTCTATCAATACTATGCCAAATAACCATTTTTAAGGAAACAAAATTCCCTTAAAAATGTATTATTTGTATACTCAACAAGTAATGATTAATTCTTATCTGGGAAACAATCTTTTAGAAAATCAAGTCAACTCTCTTTAAACATTTTATTTAAACTCTATATGCATGTCTCTTATCTATAAGATTAGAGCTATTATTATTGCCACCCTTATTTTCATTTTAGAATTTATAATCTCACAACCAAAGATGGCTATGAAACTAGATTTACCCATTAATATAACCCACCTTATAGTGAATTTAAAAAGATTTACCTTCAGTCTCTGTTTGGTATTGTCATGAATGGTTTTAAATTCTGGTCCATCACTGTCTGCCTAAAATAGTGGAGGATTAAACTACTGAGTTGCAAACACTAACATTTATAAATATTACTTACTTTTCAAAATACTGTATGCTATGAAAATACTATAAACATATTTCTTAAAGGCAAAGAAGAGCATGCCAAAAAAAACTGACCACATAAGCATTTCTCAAATTCTGCAGAAGCAAAAACTCAAATGCTACAGGTAGGGGAAAATACTAGTATATCCAGATTACAACAGATTTTGCTTTGAATGAAAATGGAACTTTATATGCTCTCACTTATTCCAAAACATAGGGTTAACTCTGAAGATTACTGAGATTTCCAGGATTGTCAGATGTTTGCATAATCTACTATAATCAACCAGTTTTAGAATAAAAAAATTTGAGGGAGAAAATTGAAATATTAAATATGGGGGGATTACATACGTTCACATATTTAAAAATCCTAGAAATGAAACTAGATACCTTTGTCAATAACATTTTCAGAAGGGGTTCATCAGTTACATTAGAAGAGTTAATAATATGAAGAGGTTCTCCTTTGGAGTCTAAAAGAGAAAAGGAGGGGGTAAATCCATTAAGTCTTTTCAACATTTCAAACATATGTTCAAACAGACCAGCCAGTTACACAAATATATGTTTGCCAAAGCTCATAGAGCTTATACATTAAAATGGTGAATTTTACTGTATATAAATCATACATCAATAAAACTGTGTTAAAAAAAAAAAAGAAAGTCCATAAAAACAAAAAACCAGCACCAGCCAATTAAAATGCTGTTAACATTTGGTAGTACTGGAATTACTCTAAACAAATCAGAATATATTAAAGAATAAAGCTAAAAAATACATAAACTAGGGGTTATTGTCAATATAAATTTGCTTTACTTCAAGTTATCCCACAAAAATTCTATAAACTTTAAACACCCATAGCAACTTTAAAAGTTGGCTTGATCCACTTTAGAAAGTGAATCTGAAAGGTTGAGGTTATCATTAAAGAATAACAGTATTGTTTTTATTTTAATATTTCATTTATACCCAAAACAAACTTTATGATTTTTTAACATCCTGGCTTTAAGGAAGCTAAGTTATCCATAATATTTTAATATTTCCTTCTTCATTTATCTCATTTCAAATCAGATGATTACTATGTTTGACATATTCTCAGAAACTAATAATTATATATCCTCTTATTTTTCACAGTCACATTACATATGGGTTCTAAGACTATCAACACTAAATGGACTATGACAATGTCTATACTGAGCTATGCTGTTACTCTTGTCCTTAAATTTATTCTAATCCTAAAACCAATATATAATTCAAATGTTTCATGTTTCCATCAATACTATGCCTAATAACCATAGTGAACAAAATTCTCACATTAGGGAGTAAGGCTACATAGTGATGCTAAGTTTTTCTTCTACACATTTCTGTATTATTTAATTTTTATTTTTACACTAGAGGCCCGGTGCACAAAAATTTGTGCACTCGGGGGGGGGGGGTATCCCTCAGCCCGGCCTGTGCCCTCTCACAGTCTGGGACCCCTCGGGGGATGACCACCTGCTGGCTTAGACCTGCTCCTCGGGGGATCAGGCCTAAGCTGGCAGCCAGACATCCCTCTGGCACCCCGGCAGCCCTCGGGGATGTCCACTTGCCAGCGGGGAGCAGACCTAAGCTGCAGTCGGACATCCTTAGCACTGCTGAGGAGGCAAGAGAGGCTCCCACCACCACTGCTGTACTGGCAGCCATCAGCCTGGCTTGTGGCTGAGCAGAGCTCCCCCATGTGGGAGCGCACTGACCACCAGAGGGCAGCTCCTGCATTGAGCGTCTGCCCCCTGGTGGTCAGTGTGTGTCATAGTGACCAGTCATCCCCAGTCTTTCTGCTGTTAGAGTCAGTTTGCATATTATCCTTTTACTATATAGGATAGAGGCCTGGTGCATGGGTGGGGGCTGGCTGGTTTGCCCTGAAGGGTGTCCCGGATCAGGGTGGGGGTCCCGCTTGGGTGCCTGGCCAGCCTGAGTGAGGAGCTGATGGCTGTTTGCAGCTGGTCACACCCCCTTTAGGGTGGGGGTCCACACTGGGGTGCCTGGCCAGTCTGGGTGAGGGGCTGAGGGCCATTTTCAGGCTGGCCAGCAACTGAAGCTCCAAGCCTCTCCTTTTTTTCTTTTTTTTTTTATTCTGGATTTAACTTCTATAATTGAAACTTTGTTGCCATCACTGGAGCTGAGAGCCGGCTCCTGCTCGCTCCAGCTCTGAGGCCATGGCCTGCTGAAAGCAGGTATCTGGGGTTTGTTTAGCTTCTATAATTGAAACTTTGTTGCTTTCGGAGCTCAGAGATGGGCCGCAGCAGGAGGGGAACATTGGCTTCCACCATCACTGGAGCAAGCAAGCCTCCTGCTCGCTTCAGCTGTGTGGCTGCCAGCCACCATCTTGGTTGGGTTAATTTGCTTATCATGCTGATTAGTCAATGGGAGGCGTAGCGAAGATACGGTCAATTACCATGTTTGTCTATTATTAGAGAGGATATACACCGGAGTGTGCAAAAGTAGGTTTACAGTTGTAAGTATGCAAAACATAGTGTTAGTTAATAAACCTATTGTAATAATCATAATCAGCATGTCTTTTTCCATATGGAAAACTGAAAATCTACTTTTGCCCATCCCATATGCTAATTTCATTAAATATAAATTAAAAACACTGATATAATATTAAAATAAAGAAAGAAACAAATAGAAAGTTATTTCCTAATAAATTAACTTACCTTTTCAAAAAGGATCGCTGGGCTCTATACCTGGGTATTGTACTTGGTTCCTGATTTCCTAATATATCAGTTCCCATAGAATAATTATAATGAACTCCTGTCTTTTACAAGTACTAAAATGTTATGTACAGACACTCAAGACAAATGTTTCATTTTCCTTTTAGATATATTCTACTTCATGCTAAATGTAGATATCTATCTAGATATAATCTTACTTATGATAACTACATGGATAATTTATTTTTAAATATCACATTCCTTTGTATCGATGTAATAAATTTAAACTAACTAAACAGTTATGGTGACACAAATAAATATGTTTAATATTGATAAAAAGGTAGAGACCATCTGGCTATTCCATGGATAATTTACACAGACTATACTTGACACTTACCAGTAAACTCAAAGCATCGCATACTAATTTTTTTTAGATAAGCTTTAGCAGTTAGGTCATAGGTTTTAACTCTAGCTTCCACTCCAAGCTGGAGGACATTTAGTTCATGTAAAGGCCTTCCTTTCTTTTCTGCTTTTTTCATCAAAGTAACCACAACCTAGAAAAAAGTACCAGTATTACCACAAACTATTTCATTAGTATACAAGGAAAGTAAGTCAACAATTTAATAACCATCCATAGTGATATAACCCAAAAATTCACACCATGTAAAGATGTCTATTTCTACTTGTGCCTGGAAATTGCCTGGGGCTATTTACTTTGGCAGGCACATTTACTTGTTCAGACTTAAGTATTTCTCCCTAATTCCCAGAAGTCCTAGTCTGATGAATGGCTTTTCACCTGAAAGTCTGTGAGATAAATGGTCAATTTTTATACTACACCTAAGGCAAAGTTTTTCCATCTTGACCCACTGACACTTTAGGCTAGATAATTCTTTACAGTGAGGAGCATGTCCTGTGCACTGTAAGATGTTTAGTGGCCTCTACCCACCGTTTCCCAGTAGCTCCACCTCCCCAAATGGTGACAATCAAACATGTTTTCAGACAATGCAGAGTATTGGCCTAAGAGAGACAATGCAAACTGCTTCCCCTATCCCAATCACTGACCTAAGGAAAGGGAACTATAATAATACGTATTACAAATGATATTAAAAAGGACTTATAGATTTTCTATGTATATGTTAATAAACCTATTTGCAACAGAGTGATTCATCTATCAATGTTTCAATTATCAAAGCTTAAAAGTCTTTAAATATTAACCAGAAAAATAGCAGAGGTTTAACATGAAGGAAGTTAGTTTCAAAACATATATTTCAGATCAAAAAGTAGAACTCATTTGTTTAAATGTTTATTATTGTTAACTCAGAGAAAGAACACAACCTCTATACAACTATTTAATGATGAAGGGATTTTGGAGGAAGTTCTTACAAGTCCCTGTATCCACTATGCTTTCTCACATATTCACAACCTTATGCCCTGTCCTAGCCCCTTTTGATCCCCTTTTCTCAGACGATATCTTACTCTTTTCTTAAAATTTGCTCAAATGTCACTCCTTTCAGGAAATATTCCCTGATGCTCCCAGACTGCTTAGATGCCCTCTCCCTACCATCACTGCCTCAAGCTCTACTAAGCATATTTTTAATGGGAGCATTACCAAAATTTTAATTGTTTGTTTTCTTGTTTGAATTCAGAGTCTATGCCGTTTACCTCTGTATCCTTGGCACTAAACACATGCAATAAATATTTCTTAAATGTGTGAATACAGAAGAGGAAAATACATTTAATCTTCCCTCAAGAATCTGCAGATGGAAAGCAAATAGTGGTAATGAAACATTTTAAAAATGTAGACATACTGTGTTCTATTCTATTAAGGATTTCTAAAATCTGCATAGGATTTTCCTATCATCTTTTCCCTTTCCTGTCTTTCCTTTATGAAATCCAAAGCAAGCCACCTCCCAATTATCCTAAAATTATCTGAAAAGCACATTACAGGGCATGCTACCATTTTCTCTATGAAATATTATATCCCTCAAATATAATTCATTTTTAACAAACTCTCAAATTTTAAAACATTACTACTACATACAAATTATAAATAGCCTATATAAGATTTTCTCATTTATATCAATAACTACAAGTTTATTTTAGTAAAGGTAATTCTAAATATCCATCATTTATTCACCTTACTTTATAAAAACAGATGAAAATTACATACCTCTTTGATTTCAAAATTCAACAGCACATTAATGATGTCTACAGATCTAATTTCTTCTACTCCAGCTGTTAAAGTATCTTGTGAAATACCTACGTCTTGTGATACAGAGATTTCAAGTGGCCCTTTAATTTCACCTAAAGGTATTTAAAACAAATGTATTTACTTTTAAATTCTTCTTTTCCACAAATACTCACTGAGGACTTATACAAGTACACTCAACCTAGTGCAGGCACTGAAAATCCATAAATTAGTAATGCACAGCTCCAGCCCTTAGAAAGCTTATGGGTTAGTAGAAGAGATGTATACTTCAACATACAAACAAACAAAATAAGCAGGCTACACCTAGTCATATTAAATAAACAAATGTTAATATAAAATGCACAGAAAGCACAGAGCTAGGCATGACACTCTTATGGGAGATCAAGAAAAGTTTAACAGGAGAGTTATCATTCAAGTGGACATCTTCACACAAAAGTGACATTCCAGGAATAAGAAGAAAGGTTGTGGAAAACCATAGAGAGATAACATCCCAATAGATTTTTCAAATAGAATGTAGTTTCTATGACTAAATCATGAGGCATAACAAGAAAAAAGAGGTTGTGATTAGAGCAGTGATGGCGAACCTTTGGAGCTCGGCGTGTCAGCATTTTGAAAAACCCTAACTTAACTCTGGTGCCGTGTCACATATAGAAACTTTTTGATATTTGCAACCATAGTAAAACAAAGATTTAGATTTTTGATATTTATTTTATATATTTAAATGCCATTTAACAAAGAAAAATCGACCAAAAAAATGAGTTAGCGTGTCACCTCTGACACGCGTGTCATAGGTTCGCCATCACTGGATTAGAGCCTCTTATCCATACCAAGAAGCAAAGTAAAGCTATACAAATAAAATGTCGGAAAATCTGTACACCTTGAGATGCAATAAAATTGCTCTCTAAACTGTAATACACAAAACGATTAACAGCTATCACTTGCTAAGCACTTACCTCTGTGCTAAACACTATACTAAGGGCTATCCATGGCTAATCTCATTCAATTCTTACAACAGCCTTATGAGATTAAACACTTTATTGCGCTCATTTCACAGGTGACCAAACTGAGGTTCCAATAGATTCAGTACCTTGCCCAGTATAAATTATACCAGATATTGGCAGAGAAACAGATTCACAGGTAAGTGGAACAGAAGAGAGAACCCAATTATAAAACCACGTGTATAGACAAATAATTTTTTACAAAGGAGCCATAAACACATAATGAAGTAAAGATAGTCTCTTCAATAAATGGTGCTGGGAAATTGAAAAGGCACATGAAAAAGAATGAAACTGGATTATAGTTTGTCCCCATGTGCAAAAACTTATTCAAAATGGATCAAAGACCTAAATATAAGACCAGAAATAATAAGTTACACAGAAAAAAAATATAGGTACCAAAGTTATGGAACTTGACCCCAAAGGCAAGGGAAGTAAAGGCAAAAATAAATGAATGGGACTATATCAAACTAAAAACCTTCTGCACAGCACAAGAAACTGACAACAAAACAAAGAGTCAGCCAACCAGATAGGAGATGATACTTGCAAACAGTAGCTCTGACAAAGGTTTACTTTCCAAAATATATAAAGAACTCATCAAACTCAACACCAAACAAACAAATAACCCAATCAAAAAATGGGCAGAGGACCTGAACAGACACATCTCCCCAAGAAGACAAACAAACAGCCAATAGATAGATGAAAAGATGTTCAACCTCACTAGCAATTAGGGAATTGCAAATCAAAACTACAATGAGATACTATCTCACACCTGTTAGAATAGCTATTATCAACAAGACAAATAATAACAAGTGTGGGAGAGGTTGTGGAGAAAAGGCAACCCTCATTCACTGCTGGTGGGAATGTATACTGGTACAACCACTATGGAAAATAGTATGGCGATTCCTCAAAAAATTAAGAACCAGCAATCCCTTTCCTGGGTATATACCCAAAAAACTAGAAAACATGTATTTCCAAAGATATATGCACCCCAATGTTCAATGTAGCATTACTCAGAGTGACCAAGACATGGAAACAACCAAAGTGTCCTGCAATAGAGGACTGGATAAAGAAGATGCGGTACATATAAACAATGGAATACTACTCAGCCATAAGAAAGGACGAAATACTTCCATTTGCATCAATATGGATGGACCTTGAGAATATTATGCTAAGTGAAATAAGTCAATCAAAAAGAGCTAAGAACAATCTTATTTTACTCATATGTGGAAACTCATGGACACAAACAGCAGTGTGGTGGTTGCCAGAGGGAAAGGGTGGGAGGTAAAGGGTGACGGGAGAAAAATCTGACTTTGGGTGGTGGGCACACAGTGCAATATCAGATCTTGTAACACAGAAACTCACACCTGAAATCTATATGATCATATTAACTAATGTCACCCCAATAAATTTAATAAATAAAATTCCAGAAACCCAGATGAAAAACCACTGCTATTAATTATTTATTACCTTTGAGACAGCAATTCATAGGGAGAGGTTTCTTAATAATAGCTTTATGTTTATGCCAAGCACTATTCTAAACATAATGTGACCCAGGGGAAATAATTCTAGCAATTATTTTGCTTTTATAAAACAACTAGAGGCCCGGTGCACAAAAATTTGTGCACTTGGGGAGAAGGGGGGGTCCCTCAGCCCGGCCTGTGCCCTCTAGCAATCTGGGACCCCTCGGGAGATAACGACCTGCTGGCTTAGGCCTGCTCCCAGGTGGCAGGGGGCAGGCCCAATCCCTAGGTGCAGCCCCTGGTCGGGCTCAGAGCAGGGCCGATTGGGGGGTTGGGGCACCACCCCGTCACACTCAAGGCAGGGTCGATGGGGAGGTTGCGGCGCGACCCCGTCACGCACAGAGCAGGGCCAACCCGGGGCTTGGGGCACTGCCCCCTGTCACACACAGAGCAGGACCCATCAGGGGGGTTGGGGCTCCATACCCTGTCATGCACAAAGCAGGGCCCATCAGGGGGTTGAGGAGCTCCCCCCTGTCACTCACAGAGTAGGTCCGATAGGGGAGTTGGGGCACCGTCCCCTGTCACACACAGAGCAGGGTGGATCAGTGGGTTGGGGCGCTGCCCTCTATCACCCACAGAGCAGGGCCGATCAGGGGGTTGGGGCACCGCCACTGTCACACTCAGGGCAGGGCCGATGGGGAGGTTATGGCTCTACCCCGTCACACACAGAGCAGGGCCCGGGGGGGGGGGCGGGGGGCAGTTGGGGTGCGACACCCTGTCACACACAGAGCAGGGCCGATCAGGGTGTTTGGGCGCTGCCCCCTGTCATGCTGATCCCGGTGCCAGGAGGCCTCTCAGCTCCACTGATCCCGGTGCTGGGAGGCATATTACCCTTTTACTATATAGGATAGAGGCCTGGTGCATGGGTGGGTGCCAGCTCGTTTGCCCTGATGGGTGTCCTGGATCAGGGTGAGGGTCCCCACTGGGGTGCCTGGCCAGCCTGGGTGAGGGGATGATGGCTGTTTGCAGCTGGTCACACACCCTTCGGGGTGAGGGTCCCCACTGGGGTGCCTGGCCAGTCTGGGTGAGGGGCTGAGGGCTGTTTTCAGGCTGGGGGTGACTGAACTCCCAAACGCTCCTTTTTTCCTTTTTTTTTTTTTTTTTTTATTCTGGGCCAGCTTTAGTTTGAGGCTTGGCTCCAGCTCTTAGGCCTCCGCTCCTGAAAGTAGGTTTCTGGCCTTTGCATACAATGTTGCGAATCTGCTGGCTGAAGTCCGGAGGTATTTGTTACAATGTTTAAACTGCAGGCTCAGAGGCCTGCAGCCTCAGGCGGGGAACTTTGGTTTCCTCCGTCACTGAGACAACCAAGCCTCATGTTAGTTTCAAGCTGCCTGGCTACCGGTCGCCATCTTGGCTGACAGTTAATTTGCATATCTCACTGATTAGCCAATGAAAAGGGTAGCGGTCGTACGCCAGTTACCATGTTTCTCTTTTATTAGTGTAGATTCCTGGAATAAGCAAAGATTTCTTAAATAGAAAATAAAAGTCACTGATTTGTTTTAAAAGACCCATTTACAGAGTGAAAAGGTAAACCACAGAGAGGGAGAATATATTTTGGCACATATATCAACACATATACATATAACACATATAACCAGTAAAGGGCAGGCATGTATCTAGAATGAATAAAATTGTTTATATGTCAATTAGAAAAAATACAAATATCTTAATAAAACTAATGGTCAACAGACTTCAATAAAAATGTCACAAAAGAGGGTATCCAAATGGCAAATAGTATATAAAAAGGTTTTCAATTTCATTAGTAATCAGCAAACAAAATCCATAGAGATATCAAAAGCATATCAGTCAGGATGGCTAAATTTTGGAAGATTGACAATATCAAGTACTGGTGAGGATGTGAAACAACTGGAACTCTCATATTCTCATTGCTCGTAGGAAAGTAAACTAGTATGACCACTTGAAAATCTATTTGGTATAACTTGGCATAGATTACTGAAGCTAACATATGACCCAGTAATGCTAACTCCTAGCTAATATATCCAAATAAAAAACAGTATTTATCTATGACAAATGACGTTTACAATAAAATTCATGGCAACTTTATAATTGATAGCCAAAAGCCAGAAACAACTCAAATGTTCATCTAATGTACAGTGGATAAAATAAAATGTTGATACATTCATATAATGACTATGGTACAAGAATAAAAAGAACAAACTACTGCTACATACAACATGGATGCATTTCACAAACAAAATGCTTAATAAAGGAAATAAATTAAAAAAAAACAGTAAATCCTGTATGATTCCATTTATATGAAATTCAAGAAGAGGCAATACTAACCTATCCATAGCATTACAAATTAGAATGGTAGTTAATTTTGGGTGGATTTGGAGTCAGGGTGGGCACTGGGTATTGACTGAGAAGGGGCACAGGGAGGAGGCCTTCTGTGGTGCTACACTGTACATGTCCTACGTCTTAATCATGGTGATTATACTGGTGTAAAAATTCACTGAATTGTACACTTTAAGATTTTTGTACTTTACTATGTGTTTTAACATGCACGTGGTAAAAAAGTATTTTTTACTTAGTTCAGGTTTTTTTCTTTTAATTGATACATAGTTTACATATAACAGTATTAGTTTCATATTTAAAATTTTTTAAAATAAAAACAATGTGATACCATTTTTCATTTAGCAAACTGGCAAAAATTTAAAAATCTAATAATGTGCTCTGTTAGAAAAGGTATATACAAAAAAACCTGGTGGAAATGCAAAATTAGTACAAGTTCTATGTGGGGAAACTGACAAGATCTGTCAAAATTTAAGTAATGTTATTAAATGTATTAATTAAAATTTAACTAAATACCTTTAATCCAGCAGTCCTGGTATTTCTCCTACACATATATATGGACTTATACAAAGATATTCAATGCAACAAGTTAAGAGTGAAAGACTGAAAACAACCTTAAATGTCCATCAATAGGGACTTCCTAAATAAATTATAGTACTTCAACAGAATTCAGTACCAGGCAGCCTTTAAAAAGAAGGAGGCAGTTCTTCTATACATAGTATATACAGACAGATATAGATACAGAATGAACACTAAGATACACTGTTAGTTTTTTAGAAAGCAAACTGCAGAAATACACAAACAGGTACGCACACACATACATACAGAATGGTACCACTTGCTTGAAAAAATAAATATTATATATGTGTATATATACATGTATATATATGAATATATATAAAACAGCTTAAAAATAAGTCAAAAGGGCCATTGTAACCATTTAAACACTCTTTGCATTTTTATTGAAGGAAAATTTTTTCAGTATCTTCGTTGAAGAGAAATTTATCAACCATTTCAATTCTTATAGATATTTTACTACTAACCCTTATTTAAAAAACAGAACAGCCCTAGCTGGTGTGGCTCAGTGGATTCTATTCCAGTCAAGGGCATGTACATCAGTTGCAGGCTTCATCCAACCCTGGTCGGGGCACATGTGGATGGCAACCAATTGATGTGTCTCTCTCACATCAATGTTTCTCTTTCTCTGTCTCCCCCTCTCCCTTCCACTCTCTCTAAAATTCAATGGAAAAATGTCCTCAGGTGAGAATTCACAACAACAAAAAATCAGAATATGCTACCATAGCCTAGTACCAACTTAAATTTTTTTCTATAAATGCAAATTTAATAATTATTCCAAAAATCAACTATTGATTGGAAACCCTTCTTTATGGCCTCCTCCTAGCTTATGCAACTCAGAAGTCTGGAACTATAACTATTTGCTTAATTAAAAAGCAAACTATGGTTGTATCCAATACCATATTATTTGTTTTCTTATTACTACAAATTGCAATATGTAAATATATATTTGTTTACTTCATTTTTATTGTCTCTCTCCCCCCTACTAAATTATAAAATTAGACACATGTTTATGCCACCTACTGTCAGCCTCTTACCTGTCTCTTGTGTTCTTGGTTTCACTTTATTCAAGTCTTCAGTAGCCTCACCAAGATTTTCTGCCAGTATTCTAAATAAAAGATTAAGGTCTTCTTGATTTAGATTAACCTGCAAAATATGAAGTTGAAAGATAAAGATATTCCATTTTTAAATGCAACAATTTAAATACAGGACATAACAAAACTTTAAGTATAGATAAAATTATACTTTCATTACTCACTCAAGTATTTCACTACTTACTTCACGTTAAAGTTTTTATTTTGAAAGATAGGAAAGTATTTGAAGAAAAACAATTTAATTTATGAGTCAACATCAGTCCCATCTACTTAACTTATATGATCCTTAGTGAAACTTAATAATAATTAAAGTAATCTTATCGTTTTAAAAAATGTGACAGCTTAAGGAAACACACAAATTCCACTTTTAAACAATAACAACCTGGAATAAAAGGCCACCTAAAATATGAAAAACAGGCATTTTCCTCAATGTTATAATTACCTTAGTGGTACTTAGATATCCCTAAAATAAAAGTGTATATATATAATATATAGAATGACATGTAATGTAATATAATAATAAATAATTTACATACAGACCTCTGCTAATGTGTACATATTACAAATTTAAAAGTTAATTATACTTAACTGAAGATTAAATCCTACTAAAAATAATACAGATTTTGTTGGACATCATACTGAAATTTTTCTTCCGTCAATCAGTAAAAAAATTCCGTATTTCATTTGGATTTACACTGAGAAAGTCTTCAGAGTCTAAATTTTGGTAATAAAGATTCCTTTAAACTCTCATACTTACATTCATTGACTCAAGATGCCCTTTAATTTCCATAACAGGCACCTTGTGGTACCAAGATGCAGCCAGATTCCTATTTACAGAAAACTCCAAGTTAATTGGGTGCAGCAGCTGAATATCAGGATGGGAAATGCCAGGCTGGATCACGGTCCTAATGAAAAATATAATTGATATATATGCATAAACATAGGGAGGAAATGCAGCATATCATTAAAAAACACAAAGCCAAAAGTTGCTGCTCTCAATGGACACAGACACCAGGGAGGTGAGGGCATGAGTGGGGGGGGTGCGCAATGGGGGGATAAGGACACATATCTACTACCTTAATTAATAAAGAAAAAGAATGTTGCTCTAACACTGATTTGAAATATACTGTTGGGGTGTTTTCTACACTCAGTCAATCATTAACTTAATCTACTATACACTAGCAAGGACAGATTAAAATCAGCCATTAAGAAAACTTTTTTCTTTAAACAGAGGATATATGATGACAACTTTCTTTTTTAATCATCACCCAAGGATGTTCTTACCACTGATTTTTAGAGAGAGTGAAAGGGAGAGAGGTTGGTGGGGGGGAGGGGGGAAGAGAGAGGGAAACATCAACATAAGAGAAAGATACATCGATTGGTTGCCTCCGGCACCTGGCCAGAGATTAAATCTGCAACCAAAGAACATGCCCGTGATCAGGAATGGAACCTTCAACCCTTTGATCCATGGGCTGACACTCTAACCATTGAGCACAATCAGCCAGGGCAGGTGACAATAAATTTCAAAAAGAAATTCATATTGTTGAATATATGGGGGGAAAACCATCAAATACCATTGTTCAAAAAGTAATATGTGCATTGGTACAGATTAAAGAAAAAATGTCAAGATGAATAGTATTTACTAAGGAGTTCTTTCCCAGGATTATTTTTTGGACTTGCCAGGTAATCATTCCTTTTTTATTCAGGATAATTAAATCCCCTTGGATGGGTAGAAAATGATTTCAAAATGAATTATGTACAGATTTTCAAGTGTTCTCTAGTATAAGCCCTACCAATATATCGTTATTTACACAGTATTCCTGCCAAAAATCTCTAAGTTCAATTAAATCATGAAAAATCACCAGACAAAATTAATAGTCGTTCCATGAAAAAACTAAACTGTATTCTTCAGATCTGTCATCATAAAAAACAAAGGCTAAAAAGCTATTCCAGAATAAATGTCTATCAGTACACAATCCCCCTTAGTAGTATAGCATACAATTAAATGCCATATGTAATCCTGGATTAAGGGAAAATCCTATATAATAAAAGCATAGTATGCAAATTGTTCCCTCGACCTGGAGGTCATCCAGGAATTCTACCGGGGGTGGGGCCAGCCGGGAGAAGGGAGGGAGGCCCCAGACAGTAGCAGTGGTGGCGGCAGGCGGCCAGGGGAAGAGAAGGAGGCCCTGGCCAGTGGCGGCAGCAGGGGGCTGGGGGAAGGGAGGGAGGCCCTGGCCAGTGGCGGTGGCAGTGGCAGTGGCGGCAGGCAACTGGGGGAAGGGAGGGAGTACCCAGCTGGCTGCTGGCAGCTGCTAGGGACCCTACGAGTGCACGAATGAATTTCGTGCACTCAGGAGGTTCCCTCAGCCCAGCCTGCACCTCTGGGAATCCACAGGGAGCGAGCCTAAGCCATCAGTGTGACATCCTTAGCACTGCCACAGAGGCAGGAGAGGCTCCTGACACCACCGCTGTGCTCGCCAGCCATTAGCCCAGCTCAGAGCTTCTGGCTGAGCGGCGCTCCCCCTGTGGGAGTGCACTGACCACCGGGGGCAGCTCCTGCATTGAGCGTCTGCCCCCTGGTGTTCAGTGCACATCATAGTGACCGGTCGTTCCACCATTCGGTCGATTTGCATGTTAGCCTTTTATTATATAGGATATTCTTGGAACAACTGGTAAAATTCGAATACTGACTGCATATTAGATAACTAGAGGCCCAGTGCACAAAATTTGTGCACTCGGGGGGGGAGGGAGTCCCTCAGCCTGACCTGCACCCTCTCGCAGTCCCTGAGTCCTCAGGGGATGTCTGACTGCCACAGAGGCAGGAGAGGTTTCCGCCACTACTGCTGCACTTGCCAGAGGTAAGCTCGGCTTCTGACTGATCGGTGCTCCCCCTATGTGAGTGCACTGACCACCAGAGGGCAGCTCCTGCGTTAAGTGTCTGCCCCCTGGTGGTCAGTGTGCATCATAGCAACTGGTCATTCCACTGTTTGGTCAATTTGCATATTAGCCTTTTATTATATAGGATAGTATTATGTCAATGTTAAACTTTTAGAATTTATGTGGAATTTGCATTATGGTTATGTAAGAGGATAAATACCCTTTTCTTAGAAAACACATGCTAATGTGTTTAAGATGTTGATTCTCTTTTTTTAATTGAATTTAACGGGATGATATTGGCTAATAAAATTATATAGGTTTCAGGTATACAATTCTACTATATCATCTGTATACAATATGCATCACCTATATAATTGTATTGTGTGTTTACCACCCTAAGTCATATCTCCTTCCATCACCATTTATATCCCCCCTTTACCCTCTTCTACCTCCACCCACCCACCCCTTCTCTCTGGCAATCACCATACAAAATGTCTAAAGTCAAGTGATTTAGCAAAAAAATGTTTCAACTTTCAGTTATAAAATAAGTCCTGGAGATATAATGTACAGCATGGTGACTATACTTAATAATACTGTACTGTATATTTTAAAGTTGCTAAGAGAGTAGATCCTTAAAGATATAATCACAAGAAAAATTTTTTGTAACTATGCATGATGATGGATGTTAACTAGAGTTACTGTGGTGATTACTTTGCTATATATGCAAGTATTGGATCATTATGTTGTACACATAAAACTCATATACTGTAATATGTGTATTATACTCAATAAAAAAATAAAATATTTTAAATGTCATAAATAATTATATACATACAGTTAAAGCAAATATAAACAATTGGTGAATCTAGGTGAAGGATACTGGGTACAATCATGATACTATTTTTGCAATTTCTAAAGGTTTGAGATTTTTCATACTAAAAAGTTGATTTTTAAAAACTGTTCTGCTTGGCTAGTTTGGCTCAGTGGTTGAGCATCAACCTATGAACCAGAAGGTCATGGTTAGATTCCCAGTCAGGGCACATACTCAGGTTACAGGCTCAATCCCCAGCTAGAGGCAGCCAATCAATGTTGATGTTTCTCTCTCATCGATGTGTGTCTCTCTCTCTTTCCCTACCCCTTCCTCTCTCTCTAAAATCAATAAAAACATTTTTTTAAAAAACTGTTCTGTGCCATAGGACTATGTTGGGTATGGATTTCAATGATCATAAAATTTCATGGAAAATATTAAATAATACTGAAAGAGTATACCTAGAAAGCTTAAGCTTTGTTAGCTGTACATCCATTCTATCAATTACTGGAGGGTTTAAGAAGTCTTCACCAGACACCAGACTAAACTGATTTTGAACTCTCATTAACCCAAGATCTACCACTACTGCATTGGTGGAAATGGAAGATTGTGGGATGACAATAACTGGTGCTTTCAAATCAATATTGATAGAAACACGAAAACTCCTCTGGGCAAGATCTTTCACACTTGTGGCAGCCTTTTCTGCAGCCTGGGCAGTGGCAGCACTCAGAGCCTCTTTGGCTGTCTGGAAATTGTTCAGGAAGTTCTGTTGACACAAAATATAAAAGGATAAATTCAAACAGAAGACATGCACATCATTAATAATACCACCTTCATTTTATTTATGAGCTAATATTTTTACAATAGATAACTTTTAGTTGAGGGCTATTTTTCAAGATTTAGAAAGGAATAATTGATTATCCACCCATATTTATTAGTTACCTGAGAAGGGCTAATTGTAACTATAATTATATGGCTGAGGAACAGAGAAAAAACTATTTTCTTTTTCCTTTTGACAAAAATATTTTCAATAGTCTTTATACTTAAGAATTTGGTTTCATTATGTTCTAGCCAAAATAATTCCACTTTGAGATGAAAATCATTAAATGATTCATATATCACCTGTTAAAGAGAGAGTCTGACCTCAACATTAATACATAAGGAACATCTAAAATCAAAACAATGCATTCCCTATAATCCGGAGTTTGAAATATTTGCAATAATTATTATCAGACTTAATTATTTCTAAGTTGAATAGTCAATCTATAAATAATGATTTTACCAGGAATGACATGAGGAATTTATGAAGATAGACAATCTGAATGCAGCCAACATTCAGTGATACCACACCATCCACTTTGGACATGTCAGTATAGAAATCTCCCTCAGTAGCATCTGGATACAAATCCAAATTAAAACGAAAAACTTCATTTCCCATTATTGACACCACCTGGAAAGCAGAGATTTGAATGTACTCATCCAAGAGGATAACAACAAAATAAAAGCCCATTATAGAAACAATTTTCTACTAAATTATATTTCATTAAAATTTTAAAAAATAAAATATACTTAAAAATAACATCTCATTTTCAGTCATCAAAAAATATTAACTATTACTATCACCTACTTTTTTATGAACTGTCTTGGGTTCAACATCTGTGACAATAATATTTTCCAGTCTTGCAAATAGAGACTGTTTTCTTGACTGAAGAAGAAGAGAGGAATCGAGTCCTGAAAAAAAAATTTTATTATTATAATTTCTGTAGATCTAATAAAGTAAGATCTTAAGATGTTTCTTACCATTGCATAATTTTATTTTGGGTGTTATATATTTATAAATTTAGCATGGTTTGCCCTAACCAGTTTGGCTCAGCAGATAGAGCGTCGGCCTGAGGACTGAAGGGTCCCAGGTTCAATTCCGGTCAAGGGCATGTACCTTGGTTGTGGGCACATCCCCAGTAGGGGGTGTGCAGGAGGCAGCTGATCGATGTTTCTAACTCTCTCTCTCCCTTCTTCTCTGTAAAAAAATCAATAAAATATATTTTTTTAAAAATTTAGCATGGTTTGAACTCCCAATTGATAAACAAGTTGAGATATTAGATCTTTTTAATTTTATTAACAACGGAACCTGTTAACTCATCATAAAATAATTACTGAATTTTCAACCTTCTAAAAAAAATCTAGTACAAATAGATTATCTTGGGATTTTAGTTAATCCTTAACACCTTATATCCAGTCATTTACATGGACACTATAAAAGTTTCATGAATTAAATTCAGACTAGTAGATGCACTTCCAGTTCAGAAAGAACAAAGACAACAACTCTAGTTTTCTAGTTTTTAAATTCTTCAAGAATTTCATTAAACATATTCTTGACCTTTAGCAGACCACACTGAGCTAATATAGATAGAGTCATAGAAAGAAGCTAAATTATTCTTAGCAGCTTTTGCCTAAAAGAATAAAATATGCAGGTTTTATTTTTCATGATAAGGCTGCTCTGCATTTTGTACCAAGATAAAGCATTTTCACAGACCTTTACCTGAATTCTGGATCAACACTTATCTCAGATCATTAGTAGCATCTCTACATTGACATTAGTAATCCTCACCTCCCAGACAACTCTCAGAAAGGTGCAAAATACCAAAAAGTGTGGTTCAATTTAATGGTCAGAGTCTGATCAACATCTATATCCTAAAGAGTAGGTAGCATGCTGTCCAATTATGTTCTTAATAAAAGTACCCAGTTTTCACAGCTCAGAGCCCTCCATTTGTATGTTAGGATTAAAAAAAAAAAACACCTTATCTTTTGAACAAATTGTAATACTATGAGAACTTTACCTTGAATCTTGATTTCAGCAATATTGTTCTTCTCTTCACAAACATTGATACAGAAAGCATTCAACTTGGCAAACAGCCTGAAGTCAATAATGTCACTATCCTTAGAGGATACAATCACTACAAAGGAAACAAAGCATTCTGTCACAGTGAAATCCTAGTAAACTAAACTCTATTAAGGTTTCTTCCCTATATTAAGTGAATCACAATTCTGTTTTTAAAAAGCGAAATAAGTCAGACAGAAAAAGTTAAGAACTATATGATTTCACTCATATGTGGTATATAAAACTGAAAACAACAAATGAACAAACAAGAAAAACAAAAACTCATAGACACAGACAACAGTACTGTGGTTACCAGAGGGAAGGTGAGGAGGGATAAGAAAGGGTAAAGAAGGTCAAATATATAGTGACAGAAAAAGATCTGACTTTGGATGGTAGACAAAATGCAATATACAGATGAGGTAGCATAGAACTGTACACTTGAAACCTATATACTCTTATTAACCTATGTCACCCAAAAAAATTTAGCAAAAAAAAAAATTAGAAAATTCTTAAAAATTTAAAATACTTCTTTTGCTTTATATATTCTGTAGAATTTTCATTTCTAATAATGCGATGTGCTACTTTTATCATTTAAAAGCAAGGAAAAAATTTAAATAAGATAAGGACATTGAAACTCAGAGAAGTTCAGTAAAAGTTTAAGTAGCAGTCAGGATCTGAACTGAATTCTCTCTGATCCAAAATTTAGGCTCCTAACTAATTACCTGCTACCCCTATATCCCTGACCTCATGTCTCTGGATCTTAATTTCCTTATTTGTAAAATGGAAGGGAAAGCTAACCCTCTATGGAGCCCCTTCAGGAGCCACTAACAGGGTATGAAAAGCTCAGTGTAAATATGTCGTTTTCCTTTATAACCCACCAAAAATCATCCACCACCACCACCAAAATAAGAACAAAAACAGACATTTTTTAAAAACAAAAATATTAATTATATTTGGTTTACATATAAGGTACCCAAGAAAGATTTAGTTTGAAGAAAAGAACAAAAATGAAGAAAATGGCCTGTAAATGACTGCACTAGAAGGTCCCTTAAAATTCCCCATTTAGCTCTAGAATTCTAAAACCCTTACTGACAAAAAACAAACAAGCTGTTTTCATACCTTTCTGCAGAGATGAATTTTTTTGTTGCTTTTCAGTTGAAATTTGTACTTCCTTGGCATCTCCCATCTTTTGGCCATCTGATGGAATAACGGTCGTCAGGTAATTAATAGAAGAGAGAAGAGCTTGTGTTTGCAGCAACAGGTTTAAAGATGAAAAAGCCACCTAGAGATGTTTAAAAGAGGAAAATTAGTTTCCCAGGCCAATTATACCAGTGGTCTCCAAGATGAAACCAAAAGGCTCCTAGCTGGGCTTGCATTGTGCCTTTCACAACTTGGAAGGAAGATTCATAACACACTCCTGAAATAGGAATATAATGAGAGTAAATTACACTTAACTTACCTCGGTGGTTCATTTGAGTATCAAAGTAACCTAATCTACTTTAGTAGCATAATTATCACAGAGTATATAATCTGCTTGTCATGGCCATCCCAATATTCAACATATATATGGGTTCTGGGATCTGCAATTGACTATTTATTATATAAACAGGTAAGTTAGAATATGAAACTCTAAAAGTCAAGAAATTACTTCAAATGTGACATTCATGAGATTTAAATGTAAAAAGTACAATTACAGCCTGGCCTACATGGTTCAGTGGTTGAGTGCCGACCTATAAAGCAGGAGGTCATGGGTAGATTCCCAGTCAGGGCACATGACTGGTTGTGGGCTAGATCTCTAGCAGGGATGGCATGCAGGAGGTAGCCGATCAATGATTCTCTCTCATCATTGATGTTTCAATCTCTCTCCGCTTCTCCCATCCTCTCTGAAATCAATTTTTAAAAAATGTTTTTTAAAAGTAAAATTTTAACTGAGCTCTCGGTCACTAAATGATCTTCTGAAACCAAAATGATGGTCCTATCGTTTAAAACGAAACAAAGAATATATAACATAAAGAAGAAAAATGGATGTGAGGGCGATCGGGCTGCGACATCTGTCACCCCATTGATCGCCAGGGTTGATTCGGCTGATCTGGCTGGCTAGGCGGGTGTCCCCCTCCTCCCTCACAGATCCATGTGCCTCCCTCCCGAAGCTGCAAGCTTGGTGGAAGAGAGCGCCTTCCCCCCGAGGAGAGGACCGGTCTTCCGTCAAGGGTATACAAGTAGCTGCGCTCCCCTGCTAGAACCTCCAAACAAGCTCTCAAGAAGAAAAATATTAGATTTTTTTGAAACAATGACCCCAGAAAGCTAAGAGGGCAATGCAAATTGCTTTCAAGAATATGTGGTTTTCTAATAGAAATTTTAAAAACTTTTTTAAATTTTTATTTATATAAAGAATTTCTTTGCACTGCTTCAAAAAAAATGCGTATAAAAATAAAGTTTAGCTGTAACCGGTTTGTCTCAGTGGATAGAGCGTCGGCCTGTGGACTGAAAGGTCCCAGGTTCGATTCCAGTCAAGGACATATACCTTGGTTTCGGGAACATCCCCAGTAGGGGGTGTGCAGGAGGCAGCTGATCGGTATTTCTCTCTCATCAATGTTTCTTACTCTCTATCCCTCTCCTTTCCTCTCTGTAAAAAATCAATAAAATATATTTTTTTAAAAATAATAAAGTTTAACAATAATCAACAGATATCATATCTCTCAAAAGTGTAATCTAAAACACATTTCTTTCATTTTCTTTATAATGTAACCCACAACTACATTTTGCCTGTTCTTAATTACATTAGTAATCCGCACCTCCAAGACAACTCTCAGAAAGGTGCAAAATACCAAAATACTATTTATTATATAAACAGGTAAGTTGTATAAATCTCTATTTATACAACTATCTTAGTATGGCTCCAAGAAGTACTCAGCATCTCTCCTTGTAATTCACATAACTTTCTCAACCCTGTATTAAACAACAGTTATTTGATATATTTAAAACTGTTCTTTATAAATCAAAGTTTCCCATCTATAGCTCTCCCTTCTTTATAAATAACTAGAAGCCTGGTGCACGAAATTAGTGCACGGGTAGGGTCCTTAGGCCTGGCCGGCGATCAGGGCCAATCGGAGCCTTCCAGCTGGCTGGCTGGATCCTTCCTTCCCTGGCTACCGGCTGCTGGCCGGGACCTTCCTTCATTCTGTGGTGGTCAGCACACATGATAGCAAGCAATCAAACTCCCAGTCTCCAGGTCGAACTCCCAAGGGGACAATTTGTATATTAGGCTTTTATATATATAGATTAGGATGTGATATAATAAGTCCAAACAATAGCTTTATTGCTCATGAACACAGAGCATGGTATCTATGAGTTTGGTTTATAATTTTTATTGGCTCTTGATTATTTCATCAAATTACCCAGTCAATATTCCTTCAAGGATACCAGGAGACTTCCAGAGTAGATTATTTTCAGATAGGCTATATTCTTTTAATAGAATTTCTTACCTTAACTGTTTGTTCAGTTTTTTCAAAAGTAGTTTGAAAACTAGGTCCATTCTTATCAGCCTAAAAAAAACAAACAAACAAGAGTTCTAAAGAAATTAAGACCAAAGTAAGTAAATCACTTATTTATGAGCTCTAGTTTATTTATAGTTACAATTGTATTTTATTACACTATATATTTAATATTCTTGTCATTTTAAAGTTACATCAAAATAATTTATTATAATCATGCAAATTTGTCCTCTTCAAACATACAACATTCACTTGTGGAAAATGCAGCTAGGAATCAGAATTATAAACTCTGGACGTTGGAAGGTTTAAAGGTCATCTAGCCCATCTATCACCTAATGCTTGAATTCCTGTATAAAGTCTTTGCCAAGTCTATTTTATGATACCTCCAGTGAGAAAACCTCATTTTCTTACAAATTCAATCTTTAGAAAACTTTGATTTCGTGAGGTCTTTACACTGAATAGAAATATATCTCATTGGTTCAACCTCTACTCCTTGGAAATATACATAGTAAATTCAAAGTTTTACCTTATGTGAGAAGGTTTACCTTATGTGAGGCAGTTTCCCTGCCTGCCTGTTCCCATAATGCTTTGTGCTCTTCTTTATTAGAGAATCACCACATTATGTTTTCATTGTTTTTTATCTATCTCCCTAATAGTCTTCATCTCTGTAACCCAAGTACCTAACAGGACCTAACACATAAAGACATTCAATAGTGTTGAATGATTAAACAAATCAACTAATCTATAATAATAAAAGCATAGTATGCTTATTAGACCAGATGTCCTTCTGGACAACCTTCAGATGAAGCCGGGGCTGGGAGGGAACCTGGGTCCTGGGTGCCAGAGGGAAGCTGGTGCCAGCAGCCAGGGGAAGGAAGGCCTACTCTTGCACGAATTTCGTGCATCGAGCCTTTAGTCTTAAGTAAAGCTAAATACCATTAGTTCCTTCAGCATTCCTCATATAGTAAATTTTTGAGTCCTTAATTCTGGCAGTTCTCTACTGAACCCAATTCAATTTGACTTTATACCTCTTGATGTAGAATATTCAGACAAATGTAACCTATATATGCAATGAATATAGGTAGGTGAACATACCCTAGAAATTAGGAGTAGGACCTACTTCAACCCAGGTTTCCATCTTTGGGGACAAGATGTTTGATGGCTTTGTAAAAATCCTAGTCTAGTCCTGTACTTAAGTGAAAAAGAATGAAGGTGTAGGAATGAAAAGAGAAACAGTAGATATCCTTATGATTAAAACCTATGATACACATGCAGAGCCTGTATTAACCTATTGTCATATTTTTCCTTTCAGGGATAGTTTGAAGTATACAATAAATATATAAACATGATATGGCCCGTACCTTAATATACTCCACTTTTAAAAGATCTAATCCAGGTTTGTCAGAAGAGCTAATCAAGTGAAGTGGCTTTTTTTTGGATCCTAGATTAAAGAAAAAGAAAAAGTGTTTCAAATAAATTGCTCTTTTAAGTTTAGAATTTTCTAGATGTCTTATTCTTTTTTTAAAAAAAATTAAGTCTTGCCCTAGTCGGCTTGGCTCAGTGGACAGAGCGTCAGCCTGCGGATTGAAGGGTCCCAGGTTCGATTCCGGCCAAGGGCACATGCCTGGGTTGCGGCTCAATCCCCAGTGGGGGGTGTGCAGGAGGCAGCCAATCAATGATTCTCTCTCATCATTAATGTTTCTATCTCTCTCTCCTTCACTCTTCCTCTCTGAAATCAATAAAGAAATATATTTTTAAAAATTCAGTTTTAAAAGACTATCTGCCCATATTTACATGGTTACTAAATGCTAAAGTTATCAATGGTGAAGAAATAAATTAATCCAAATCCTTACCCTACCTTTCTCATCCAACTAAGATAAAAAAAACATGCATATTTATTTTCTTTGATTTTATACCTGTGTTAAAAAAAAATTTCTCTCGATATTTTGAGGCCATATATGCATTTGTAAGGCAGTAGAAACACTATAGTTGTAAGAATCAGAAAATGTGAATTCTAGTTCATCTCCTTTATCAAAAGCTATTTAACTTCAGTTTTCTCAACTATATAACAAGGAGGTTGCACTAGAAATATATGTAATATGCTGTTGAACTCTAAAATTCTTTGAACAAATATTTCATTCTTATTAAATGATGTAAATAGTTTTTCTTTGTTTAGACCAAGAGAAGGCTTACATAGAAAAATATTTCTTTTATTGGAATGGAAATGTTAAATTTCTTGGAATTTTAAAACAACAGGTACTACCAGATGTCTTCTATATCCTTAAGTAGATGTACCAAAGAACTGCCTCAAGAAGCTGTGGAGGGAGAAGTCATTTATCCATTACTGAATCCATCTTTTTTTTATTATTTATAGTTCTATAACTCCTGTTTCTGAGACATTTCAGAATTTTCCCTTGAAATAACTTTCCTTAAAGGAAAAAATAGCCTAGCAAATTTATTATTTGTATTTGTTTCCCTTAAAATAGTAATATAAATTCCATCTTAACAGTGCTTACAGAAACTTACTAATATATAACCCTTTTTCCCGTAAATTGAGATTTTAGTTTCAACCATTTTTGAAAAAAAAATAAAAAGTAGGTATTTTATTTGACTAAAATATTAGGTAATTTTAATTAAAGTGGATTCACCCATTCTTTCATTCCTTATATATCTCATGAGCACACAAGATGTACACTTAAATAAACTATAAGCACTTCTGAAAGAATTTTATATTCCACCATTTTTATTTTTATAATGTGATGCTGCTTCCCTAATTCAATAGAAAGAACAAGGACTTCAATATTATAAACCCAGAAATATATTTTAGGTTTGGCCATTCAAAACATACATGAACTTGAGTAAGTCAACTATTTAACCTTTCTTTGTTTGTAAAATGGAAATAATACTCCCATATACAGGAGATTTATATGAACTCTACGAGGTAGTAGATCATAGTAGTTAAGAATCCAGACCCAATGGCAAGATTTCAAGGGTTCAGCCAATAACTAGGATGAATGACCTTGGATGAATTACATAAACAACATTTGCTTTAGTTTCCTCATATGCAACCTGGAGACTGTAACACTGCCTTTCTCATAGCATTCTTGTAAGAATTAAAAGGGTTATTATTTGAAAAATGTTTAGAACAGTGCTATTTTTTATTATAAACATTGTTATATAAATGAAAGTATTTCAGACACAGAAAAGTGGTTTTATATTTATTATTAGCTATTGTTTCCATTTTTATGTCTATTACCTTGAATTTCATGGTAATCCAAGCTGATTTTCTTTAGGTAAGATACTGCAGTTAAATCAAATGTTCTCACTGTAGCCTCTGTTCCTAACTGAGTAACATTAAATACTAGAATTGTATCTTCTTCTTTCTGTTGTTTGGTAAATTCCAAAATCACCTAAAAGAATCAATGAAAGGTTAAGTAGTCTGAATCATACTAAAAAAAAAATTAAAAAAACAAAAGCCTTCTTTGCACATATCATCATGAGAAGCATAAAAATTTTGCTCACACTTGTCTACTACCATTACTTATTTACTATGATTGGAAATTATCATCTAAATTGTATTGAGAATTATAACTATATCTATATGAAATTATGATGAAATTTTATATACATTATTGATTTATATTTTTAAATTTAGTAAAAATGGAATGTATGGATTCTTCCGTAATATGATTTTCTTAAACCTGTATCTCAAAAAAGAAATCATGTTTAGTGATATAAGAAACATTCTCACTAATATAAAAAGGAGCAAAAGGATGTTCACTATTATACTACTATTCAAATTTATTCTGGAAATTCACTGTTATACTATTATTCAAGTTATTTACCAGATGAAAAATAAAATATATATGTGGCAATTTTTAAAACATTCAAGTTCTTTGACACTCCACAAGAGATGGAGAGTCTTTGTCCCTTTACATTTGGGCAGGCTTGTTATTTGCCTTCATCATAGAGTACAGAGGAAGTAATACTATAATGACTTCCAATGTCAAAAAAGGCTATAAAACTTCCTCTGTGAATGTTCATCCTGAGGGAAGCTAGTTGCCATGCAATAAGTTCAACTACTCTTGCCATGTGCAGGAGTCAATGAGTAGGTAGGTATTTCAGTCAGCAGACCTAGGTGAGCTCCTAGCCAGCAGCCAGTATCAATGGCCAGCCTATCAGTGAGCCACCTCTGAGCCCCTCTGACACGTCAGGTCACTATAACATCAGTCAAATCTTACTATAAGCGTGTGAAAGACTATACACAAAAATTACTAAGCTGTACCCTTCCAGAATTCCTAAACCACAAAACTATAAGCAAAATAAAATAGCTGTTTTGAGCTACTACATTTTGGGATAACCTATGAGGCAGCAATAATAACTGAAACACTATAAATGCTGAAAGAAAGCAAAAATCAATATTATTAGCAGTGTTAAACATAAGAAAAACCAGGAAGAATGTCACCTGAAAAACAGAATCTATAGTAAAAATATTCAATACAGAACTGACATACAAAAATAAATTTGAGATGTATCGATGATTTAAATGACAGCATTGATGTCATAAAATATAAAATCATGGGTATTTTTTGCAATGGAGAATAATTTTCTATACATACACTATAACTAGGATATAAACACAAAATTCAATAAATTGCACTACAGAAACATTTAAAACTTCAAAATGGCACACAAAAAAGTCAAATTGGGAAAAATATTTCAAACAGTACTACTATTTTTTCCTTAAAGGATTCTGATTATTTATCACTTTAGTTCATTCATTCAATAGTTAATAAAATATTTATTGGCCATCATCTACCATGTATGAAGTTGTGCCAGCCACTAAAAACATTGAAGTGACCTGGACAGACAAGGTTCTTGTCTTCATGAAGCTTACATTCTAGGGAGAGTGGAGGAAAATGAAGCTTGCTATCTTGTATTGGGGGGGTCAGACCTTTCCAATATGATGGCATTTGAGTAAATATGTTATGCAGGAAGAGTATTCCAGGCAAAGGAAACAGTAAGCACAAAGAATGTGTTTTGGTGTAAGTAAGGGAGACTAAAAGACAAGTGTAAGCAATCTGAGACAAGAACCTTGCTCACTACTTTAGCTCCAGTACCTAAAACAATGCCTGGTACATGATGGCACTGGATAAATACTTACTGCAGGAATGAATGAAATATAGCTGGAGTAGAGTGAAAAGAATTCCATGAAAGCCCTTGTAGGTCGTAGGAAGGACTAAGCCCTTTGCTCTGAGTGACATGGGAAGCCAGTAGGTGAGCAGTGACATAATCTGACTTCCAGTTTAAAAGGATTACTCTGGCCCTGGTTCAGCTGGGGCGAGCAGAGAAGGCAACCGATCCATGTTTCTCTCGGACATCAATGTTTCTCTCTCTCTCTCCTCCCCCAACCCTCGCCGTTTCCTCCCTCTCAAATCAATAAAAAACATATCCTCAGGTGAGAATTAAAGGGGAAAAAATTTAAATAAACGTCACAGAAATTTTCTAAAGAAAAGAAATCCTAATTAAGAGTATTGAGCTTTTTCAGAATACATCAGATATACTCTTATATCAGATTTTACAACAAAAATTCATTTTTTTGGAACTGTATGTGTGTGGGGGGGCCACTGGGAAAAATAGAGTACCCCATTTTATATATACTTAATGTTTGGGTCTAGTATTGGACAGTTTACAAGAATAGTGATAATAAGAATGTATTTGTTTATAGACAAAATAAATATGCATACCTCTTTAATTTCAAACTTTAGTAGAAGATTAATGAGCTCCTCATTTGGAGCCTCTGCAACTTTTTTTCGTTCTGATCCTTTCATACTTTTACCAGTCTGTATGTCTCCATCTTCAGCATCAAAATACTCATCATCGGACTCTAAGGAAGAAGACATTCATTTGACTTAAGAGAATGTCCAATGAGGGCTGCATAAAACACTCAAATTTAAATCTCTCAAAAATTCATTTATTAGATATATTCTTCATATTCAGAGTAAGAATACAGTGTCAATGTTTTTCTAGATCTCACAAAGTGACTCAACCTAGCAAGTAATAAGTATAAACAAAATCAAACTGCCTATGTTTTTCACTTTGGTCTACTCATTCAACATTCAATAAAATATGTACTGGGTATCATCTATCATGCATCATCAGTCTGTACCAGTCACTAAGGACACCAGAGTGACAAGGACAGGCATGATCCTTGTCCTCTTGAAGCTTATATTTTAGTTCAAAATTAAAAGAGATAAATTAGGCTAGAGCTAAACAAAAGAATCGAGTAGTGATTGTGGGGGGGGGAAAGGAGCTTATTTAAAATCTTAAGCATTTTCATTCACAAAAATCCTTTCAATCAAATGAAGAAACTTGGGCTTTAAAAAAGGGACTCAAAACACACTGTTGGTTAGTAACACAACTAGAACTAAAACCAGCAAATTACTATAATACTTTCAAAATTCTTTATTTCCTGAAAATGTTCTCTCTATATACTTGGTTTACTAAAGAACATATTACTTTCCTTACCTGATTCCACTCCATCTAGCAACAGTGATGTACCAAGTAGGTCTTTTGTCCTATCTGAAATAACAGGAATTGAGGATACCTAGCAAATAATATAAAAAGTTTTCTTAATATACTAATCTAGCAGGATTAAATATACAAAAATGAAATACTGAAAAAGTAATAGTACCAATTATTAAGACTACTACCTGCAATTATAAGGGCAGAACAATGTACAACTCTAGTAGATGAGTCTATTTATCATTATGTGTCATTAGTTGCTATATATCACAATACTAGAGGCCTGATACACAAAATTTGTGCAAGGGGCTTGGCCCTCACAGCGCCGGCTTCATCTGGAAGGTCGTCCAAAAGGTCATTTGGCTGTCCAGTCTAATTAGCATATTATGCTTTTACTATTATAGATATTTCATAAATTTGAAAGATGTTTTTTCTTCTACTTATGTATTTTTGCTCCCTTCATTCTCTAAAACTGATTTTCTACCACCACTCTAAAACAGTAGTGAAACTAGGCTACAATTGTTATTTATTCAATGTCATATGCAGTTCGGTATAGATTCAACAATATTAAACCTCAACTGCACCAAATAAATGAAACTGACCCTAAAAAATATTTGAAAATAAAACTGCTCACAGAATGCTAAAAAAGAACTCATCATAAATACAAATGTAAAGAGATCTAGCATTTTATTATATCCATTTACCTGTCTCTCAGGAGACTGTACAGATGATTTCTGTGGCAAGGGTATACTGTTAATCAAACATAGCACATTTTTCATCTTCTGGTCAGAAATTCTCACATGCATCAAAGGAAGCCCTCCTGATACTTTAAATCTAAAAATGCAAGTCAACAACACGGTTTTAAAGTCCAGTTTCTCTATAATAGGGAGGGGGAAAGGATTGGAGAAGAAACTACACTGTAGGGTCAAAGTTACAAATAAGACATAAAATGTCATAACAAAATTTTAGCAAACCAAATTTAACAATATTTTAAAGGAATAATCATAACCAAATGAGGTTTATCCAATAATGCAAGGCTGGTTTAACATCCATCTGATAATGAACTATTGATACACACAACATGAATGAATCTCTAATTAATTATGCTAAATGAAAGAAGCCAAGCAAAAAAGTTGAAACTGCATGGCCCTATCTATACAAAATTCCTAGACAACTTTGACAAATCTATAGTGTCAGGAAACAGATCAGTGTTGTCCAGGGAAGTTAGAAAAGGAGGAAGGAGGAAATACAAAGGGGCACAAGGACTCCGGGGGATGATGGATGTGCTCATTATTTTGACTGTGGTGATGGTTTCATAGCTTTACATGTCAAAACATACTGAACTGTACACTTTAAATAGATACAGTTTACTGAATGTCAATAATAATACTGTTTTTAAGAAGACAGCATATATATTTCATAATTATCTAAATTCTAAATTTAGTTCTTATTTTTCATCTCCTTAGATTTTTCTCAAGATTTTTTATAGTTTCATAATCAAAAGAACCTTTACTTTTTTAAGATTATATTTCATCAATATTGGACCTTGGATTCGATCCATTCAAATACAGGGATAACCAACTTATATAAAAAGTAAAGAGAGGTGACATATAAATCAAACAAGTATTTTCTTAAAAATATATTTCTGCTATAAAATAATCATTTTTTCTCTTCTTCAGAAATCTAGCTTTTCTTAGTTAAAAATCCAGACACTGATAGATATATTTCATCTTGTTGATTTTATAATCTATATCATAAAAGGGTAATATACTAATTAGACCAGATGTCATTCCGGATGTCCTTACTGACAAAGCCAGGGGCTGGAGGGAAGCCAGCCCGGGTCCCGGGTGCCTGTGGGTGGCCAGAGGAGGGAAGCCCGGGTCCAGGTGCCAGAGGGAAGTCGGTGCCGGCAGCCCGGGGAAGGAAGGCCTACTCTTACATGAATTTTAGTGCATCAGGCCTCCAGGATAAAAGAAACTCATACATTACCTGGCCATTCTAATGTCTTTTTCCACCATTGCCTTGGCCAACTCAACATGAATATCCATGGGTTGCAAAACATGCATAGTTGATGGATGCTGAAATCGACACTTTTTCCAGTTTTCCTCTTAAAAAAATTTTTATTAATGACTTTTTAAATTCATTAAATATTTTTAAACTTATATATACATATATTTTTAATTGATTTCAGAAAGGAAGGGCGAGGGAGAGAGAGATAGAAACATTAATGATGAGAGAGAATCATTGATTGGCTGCCTGCTACACGCCTCCTACTGAGGATCGAACCCACAACCCGGGCATGTGCCCTTGACCAGAATCAAACCTGGGACCCTTCAGTCCACAGGCCGATGCTCTATACACTGAGCCAAACCGGCCAGGGCTAAATATTTTAGATCACCAGATATTCTGTAGAAAATTATCTAACTTATTAAAAATAGTTAATAAACACATTCAATGGATGTCAACTTTTACTGCTTTTAGAATATAAGTTAAATAACCTATTTTTTTTAAAATAGAGATTGATAAGACTGTGATATAAAAATAATTCAAAATATTTCTTTGGAGAATGTTTAAAAAACAGCTGTCATTTTAAAGCCAATAGGAATAGCTCAGAAATGTATTGCCTTAATTACAAAATTAGAGATCAGATGGGTTATTGCAGTTAAGGAAAAAAATGGTAAAATAAAGGACAAAAAAAGAGGCTTCTGTGATTCCTAAGTACTATTACACTAGTTTAGCACACAATTCTAAAGTGAAAATGAGTTTTCATGACAAAAAAGTACAATAATTACTTTTCTTGAAACAGAAAGGTCCCAAAACAGACTTTCCAATTACTAACAAAATCCTACACATATTTTAACAGATGGCAATGACTAAACATCTTTTACTACTTAAAATTCAAGCAATCATTATGAAGTACATACAACAGAAATAGGCAAATTAACGGTCTGTATAGGTACTTCCCTTTAAGGAATTAATAGAATCCTAATATATAAAAACTAAGTAGAGCATTATATATTTACATTTTAATAAATCTCATTACTCACGCTAGAAGTATACATTCTACATACAAAAACTATCTTTTCCTTCAATGACCTATTACAATGTGATATACTCTAGAATATTTGGCAAATACTATTGCTTCTAGAAACTAAAGAAGTATAGAGAACCAGCAATCTTTACTTAAGCAGTAGAAAATACAAAAGCTTTTGGAAAATAAATTAATTACTTTTAGGTTTTAAGACTATATCCATACTTCTCAGATATCTACGCAAGTAAAATATGTAATACTACTAAAATAAAAACTAATCTAATATAGTAAAATATTTAAAAATAAAGGCAGCAAGAAAAAATATCATTGAGACATCCCAAAAACACTGGGATGAGCCAATAGCAACTTTTATTTTGTGTGTTGAGCAGGTTCACAATCATATTACAAAAAAAAATAGGCAATAACTATACATAGATTAAAATGGTGCTGAGTACCATACCCTAAGATGAACAGCCAAATTTTTCATCTCTATTTGTAACTGTGAGATGGCTTTCTGTTTGGTTTGTTAAGAAACCAACAGGATATGTGTTCAAAATGTTACCAGAGTTGATTTACATGCACACATACACATATATTTACAAAAGCTACTCAACATAATTTCAAGATCCTAAAAACTGAGCAACTTATTACCTGCTCTTGCAAAGAGTAGTTGTACACTTTTTATTTCAACATCAAACTTGTCATATGCCTTATCCATTATTTCCTCCAGAGATGAATTACCATTCTTCTGCAAACCTTGATCTTTACTGTTAAGCTAAAATGGAGGGGAAAAACTTCAATTTTTTAACAGAAAAGTACATAAATCAATATACTTCAGTTGTGTTTTCTTAAAACTAACTAAAATGAAAACATTGCCCTTATTAAATTCACATTTTGCTTAGTTTTCTGATAATTATTTGCAAATATTTTATTAGAATTGTAATATTTCAGCATATATCTCTAATATGTTTGAGTAATACATTACTCAGCACATCTGCACTAACTAGCAAGTAATTGCATAGCTACCTATCTCAAATAACCTGTCTACACATACAACTCTTCCTGGCTTTCAGGAGTTATTGCCACATTGAAATAACAGGTTTTATTCCTTCTTCTCCTCACTACATATGTAGAATAACTAGTCCATTCGAATTCAGCTCCAATCTCTACTTCCTTTTCCATCTTTTAAAGAAGCAAGCATTAATTCAGGACTATATATATATATTTTTTTAAATATATTTTATTGATTTTTCACAGAGAGGAAGGGAGAGAGATAGAGAGTTAGAAACATCGATGAGAGAGAATCATCGATCAGCTACCTCCTGCACATCTTCCACTGGGGATATGCCCGCAACCCAGGTACATGCCCTTGACCGGAATCAAACCTGGGACCTCTCAGTCCGCAGGCCGATGCTCTATCCACTGAGCCAAACCGGCTTCGGCCAGGACTATATATTTTTAAATCTTCACATTTTCTCAGAGGCTTGGATTTCTACAAGGTTCAATACCCAAACAAAACCTTAATTTCTCTTACTCTATCAAACATATATTCATATGTGTATCGTTTCCTATTGTCAAAATAAAAAAATTAACAAAACTGTGAAATTAAACTCTGGAAATCTAGAAGTGCTTGAAAACTACTAGTGCTTCTCTCCAAGTAGAAAAAGACAACAGTAATCCAGTCCTCAAGGTCAAATCATCTACTGTTACAAACACTTTTAGGTTTTTCTTTGCTTCTTTAATAGCCATAAATATATATAAATATATATATATATATATGTAAATATAAATATATATATAAATATATAAATATATATAAATATATATAAATTTATATAAATATATAAATATTTATATAAATATTTAAATTTAAATATATATAAATATTTATATATATAAATATATTTATATTTATATATATAAATATATATAAATATATATATATATACATAGCCATTACTATATATAAAATAGTAATCTAAGCTGGCTTGACAAAATACTAAGAAGAAATAAGTCTAGGTTTAAGTAAATTTTAAGTGGGGGGAAAGCAAACTATCACATAGCTAGGTACCAAGCTAAGCAAAAATGGGCAGACAGAAATAACTATGTACCTACCTGAAATGTACCAAAATCTAAAATGAGAAGATCTGACTTTTTGTGGTAGAAGCCTGTGTGTGGAACTATGAGATAAGAAGGCTTCAGATTTATCTTTAAATCAAGGACTTTTCGAGTTTCAATAATATGTGTAAGTCCTAAAAAAAGAAAACAATGAAAGGTCAGAGGGTCAAGTTGAAATGTGTAATCATATTATAACAACAAGAATATCAGTTGGAAAGTATTATGAAGGATTTTCAATTCGGCAAGTAAAGTAGAATTGTATATGGTCAATGGGAAACAATCAATCATATCTTCGCACAGTACAGTAAACCCAACATAGCTAGTGCTTTTTTGAGAGAGAGAATAATTCATTATTTCTTTAATTAAGTAAGCAGATAAAGTAGTAAGCTTCAGTTCAGAGATAATGTTGTACAAAAGTATGTATCTTCTGTATCACAGTGTTTTTAAGAACTGATCCAGAGGGATGTCTTCTAGCTCAAGCTCAGGTTCTTAAAGGTAATGGCACACAGAATCTGTGCCCCGTATTATTCTCTTTCTCACCTAGTTTAGCTGTTATATTTGACTCTGGGTAAGCCAGGTACAATGCTACTCCACGGCAGAATATAGCCTAAATTTACGACAAAGAAAAAAAGCAACCTATACTATTTTCAATATAATATTTACATTAGAATACACAAAACTTTGAATGTTTGATGCTTATACAGACAGGCAAATTCTTTACCTGTGGCTGTTCTCTCTTTAATTTCTTCCAGCTTCATCAATGTAGCTGATGTTATTTGCTCAAGATCTAATCCCTTATTTGATTGAAAGAATTCAACCACTGCATTAATGGTTTTCTGTAAAACAATTTAAAATACAAAGAAATTACACACAATACTTTCCACATTATAAATTTTTAAGTTTTGTTTCAATTCTAAATAACTGGGCTTTAAACTGAGGAGGTACCTCCAAAGATAGTTTTCCCTCTAGAGTGAAAGAGAACCTAAAAATAGGAATAGCCCAAGTAAGCTTACTGAAGAGGCAACAAATGTGTGCATATCATTAAAGTAACCTTAAATATGTTTTATAGTGTCTCTAGTTTCAGCCTCCAGTTAGCCAGAATGTAAAACTCCACTTCTTTATATTGAAAATGAATTCACCTACACTTTGAAGAGGAAATGAAATAAGGAAGCTGTTGAGCCCTTACTTACATCCAAAACTTGAATGTAAAAAATCAGACATTTTGCAAAACAGAATGAGTTCTGGAGACTGGATGTACAACAATGTGAATGTACCCACGATGTGAATCTACTTCTAAACTATAAAGTAAAAATAAGTCAGGGATCTAAACAACAGGATGGAGCCAACCTGAAGTGACGCAATGAGTAGTGAACCATACACATCCCGTTGGCTAGCTTGAGATAAGTTATGAGAGTCTAAATAAAAGATGACGATATTAACACAGAACTTGATCCAGCACTTTCGATAGTATCTAAATGTGAATGTTTTTTTTTCCCATGTGAACAACATAGTAAATTCTTTCAATTATTTCTAAAGCTCTTTAAGTTGGTTCCAAACACTGAGGGGAATGAAGAATAAGCAAAGATAAACTGGAGTAGTAAGCATGTAACGACTGGGAGTAGTTGGTGCAATGAACACAGCCTTTATAAATAGTGGATTTAGTTTTTTTTAAATTGATATAAGCATAAATACACCTTACGGTAGAAAAAAATCTATAGCACATAAAAAAATTCAAAATTAACTGAAAAACATGTACTGCTTTTAGAATAAGAAAAGAGTGCTAAGTAAATGTTAAATATGAAAGAGAGAAAATAAGAAAACCATATGTTAAACATGTAAGATAGAACATTCACTTTCTCTTTGTACTTACAGCATCATAGATGACCTCCACAGGCTGAGACTGAAGAACGAGAGTCTGGTCAGCAGTACTATTCTCTGGATTGGTTTCAAATTCAATTTTAAGCAAAGATGATGCAGTATCACCAATTGAAGCCACAAGTGATGGAACAGTATCCTGCTGTTTCAGACCTGTTATATACCAGTGTTCTAATTTTGCTTCCACCCTATAATCCAATGAAGAAAAATTAAGTGATATAAACACAATTATTTGTAATATAATTATTTAAAACACAAATTTCCCTTTAAAACAACTCCACTGAGAGCCATGACCCTGAACCATTACTCAGAGTTGAAATCCAAACTTCTCAACCTAGCATTCAATAACCCTCACAGCCTAAGGTAGGCTTTTTTCTTTCTTTATTTTCCTTGTCATCCACATAAAAAACAAACAAACAAACAAAAAAACCTTTAACCAATTCCAGAACACTGCAGAAGTTCCCATAATTGCAGCATGAATACAAGCTATGCTCAATACTCATGGGACTCATATCCCTACTTCATGCCACCCTGAATACTCTCCTACCTCATCCCTGCTTCTAGTCCTTTCCATTCAACTAGTTTAAGTCCCAGTTCTCCTAGGCCAAGTTTCTCTTCTACAACTGAACTTGTATAGCATTAACAATAAGGTATTAATTTTACAGTACCTTCTCACTTATGAGCTCTCTAATATGCTAAACAGAACTTTTTGAATATCCTCTCTTATCAACTACAGCATAAAGTTCTTGAAAATAAAAACTTATTGTTCCTATAGCCTTCATAATATCAATCTATAAACAGTATCCAATAAATATTTATAAAGGAAAGAGTGGAGCAAATAATGAGCTTGTCATATAACTCCATAACAAAACAAACTCAAATATAAAATGACTATCATGACACAAACACACCCACAAAATAAAATTAGAGAAGGATGACTATTAATCAGTTTTTAATGGTAAATAACACTACATCTTTGGGGCCTAAAGTCAAACAAAATAAAAATAAAATGAAAATTTAAATAATTTTTTTAAAACTTACTTAAGTGCTTGTGCTCCTGGTCGCTGAGATACTTTGGTGCCCAGACCAATTATCTGAATTTTTAGTATTTCTGGAATATTTTTGTTTTCTCTTATTATAATAGACGTGCTTACTAATTTCAGTGTCATTATATGAGCAACATACTAAACAAAAGAATGAATGAAAATTGTTAAAGATTAAATAATTATTACTTTACTTAATAATTTACTCATTTAAATTTGTTGAGTTACAGTGATCTATAAAACATTATGGTAGGTTTCTGTATCAATACACTCACTATAAAAATACATATATATTGGAAAATTCAATACAAATTGCTTGCTCAAATAGGACACTTACAAAACTAATGTCTCTTAAAGGTAATAAAAAACAAACGATAAAACATTTTGTGGCATAAGAATTTAATTCAGCAGCTTACAGTAAAGCAAACTAATTCAGATTAATCCTTGGGCTCAAAAACTAGACAAAACATAAAGAACATTTGTTTGATGCCTTTGGAGAGTTAATCACACACTGAGAGAAAAAAAAATCCTGACCCAAAAATTGATAAGTCAGGATTAGAGGTAGTACAAAGAACCAAGCAGATGATTCTCATCAAACTACACAGGATGATAGCAAGAGAGGAAGCAAAGAACAAAGTATTTACAAAATAGTCAGAAAATAATTAACAAAATGGCAATAGTAAGTCCTTACCTATTAATAATTACTTTTAATGTAAATGGATTAAATTATCTAATCAAAACACACAGAAAGTCAGAATAAATTAAAAAAATAAGATCCAACAATATGTTGCCTATAAGAGACTCATTTTAGCTTTAAGGCCAAACATAGACTAAGAGTGAAAAGATGAAAAACATATTTCAAACAAACAGTAACAAACCAAAAATAGGGGTAGCTATACTCATATCAGAAAAAAATAGACTTAAAGTTAAAAATGGTCCAAAGAGATAAAGTTATTATGTAATGATAAAGGAGTCTACGCATCAAGAAAATGTAACAATTGTAAATACTTATGCATCCATGAGCATCTATATATATACTAACAGAACTAAACCATCCACAAGAATAAACTCAAAATGGATTAAAGGCTTAATGTAAGACTCAAATCCATAAAAATCCTGAATGAAAACATAGAAGCAAGACATTAAAATCTCAGGCATTTCTCATAGTGATATTTTTTCTGATATATCTCCTTGGGTAAGGGAAACAAAAGAAAAATAATGTAAATTCATCAAACTAAAAAGGTTTTGCACAACAAAGGAAACCATCAACAAAATGAAAAGACAACTCACTGAATGGGAGAACATATTCACCAATGATACATCTGAAAGGGGTTAATATCCAAAATTTTTAAAAAACTTATAAAACTCAACACCAATAAAACAAACAGTCCAATTTAAATATGGGCAAAGACCTGAATAGACACTTCTCCAAAGAGGACAAACAAATGGCCAATAGGCATATGAAAAGATGCTCAAAGTCACTAATCATCAAATTAAAACCACAATGAGATACCACCTACCACCAGTCAGAATGACTATCATCTATAAACCAACAAACAAGAAGGGTTGGTGAGGATGTGGAGAAAAGGGAACCCTTGTGCACTATTGGGACTACAGATTGATGTAGCCACTGTGGAAAACAGTATGGAGCTTCCTCAAAAAATTAAAAATGGAATTGTCTTATAATGCAGCAACTCCATTTCTGGGTATATAGCCAAAGAAACCCAAAACACTGATTCAAGAGAATATATGCACCCCTATATTCATTGCAGCATTATTCATAATAGCCAAGATTTAGAAGCAGCCCAAATCAGTAAATGAGTGGATAAAAATGCTGTGGTATATTTACACAATCCTATCTAATAATAGACAAACATGGTAATTGACCGTACCTTCGCTACGCCTCCCATTGCCTAATCAGCACGATATGCAAATTAACTGCCAACAAAGATGGCAGCTAATTTCCATATACTGTCTGGGAGTGAAGACTGAAGACACCATAGAAGCCAAGTAACGGAGCTGAGGTAGCAGAGACGGGCAGGGTAGGAGCAGCAGAGATGGGTGGGAGAGAAGCAGCAGAGAAGGGCGGGGTAGGAACGGCAGAGACGGGAGCGAAGCCCTATTCTTGCAGGAATCCTCCTGCAACGGGCCTCTAGTAGAATATATAAAAAAAGAAGGAAATCTTATCTTTTGCGACAGCATGGATGGACCTAGAGGCTATTATGCTAAGTGAAATAAGCCAGTCAAAAAAGAAAAATACTATAAGATTTCACTTATATGTGAAATCTAATGAACAAAATAAGCTAACAAACAAAATAGAAACAGACTCATATATACAGAGAAGGGCACATACCTTGGTTGCAGGTTCAATCCCCCCCACCACCACCTGGTTGGGGCATGTGTGGAAGACAACCAATCAATGTCTGTCTGTCTCTCTCTCTCTCTCTCTCTCTCCTACTTCCACTCTCTCTAAAAATCAATGGAAAAAATATCCTCAGGGGAGGATTAAAAAAAATTAAGAAGAAAACTCATAGAGAAAAGATAGTATCTTTAATAAATGGTTCTAGAAAAACTGGATATTAAACTGGACCTCATCTTATACCACTCACAAAAATTAATTTGATAATATAAGATAATACAGTAAAATGAAACAAACCACCTCTTAGACTGCCTAAATAATTACCTGTTTGGGTAAAGTTAAGTTGTGGGTGCTCTCACTATAACCAATAGCTGTGAAGAACTTATCTTTTTCCTCAGGAGTCATAAGGTCATCAATAGCTACAAAGAAAAGACAATATTTTAAAATCAATTGCTTCAGTTTTACAGGTACAATAAAAAAAAAATCAAACCAAACTAATAAGTGCCCTAAAATCAATAAAAACAAATGCTAAAGCAAAAGCAGCCAGGTGATTTCCTCTAATATACTAAAATATCATGCCTTTGCTCTTTTAGATCAAGAAAAAGCAGAGAGACCATTAAGGAAATTCAGGTCTCCTATATGGATTTTTAATTCCCTAAGTATTTTAAAAACTAAGAGAAACTTCTAATTAAATATCCATGTAAAAAGTAACAATTAGGAATGTTAAATGTAGTGATTTCTGAATTTCAACTTTTTAAATTTCAAACAAATAAATTTTCTCCAAAAAAAAAAAATCAAAGTTTTGCTTTAATTTGAAACACAGAAATGTGCCAACCTGATGTATCTGCTTATATGTTTGCCACACTGAGCTACTTTTATTTCAAAAGTATGTGTATGTATATGTGTATGTGTATGTGTGTGTGTATATATATATATATATATATATATATATGTATATATATATGTATATATATATGGCTAATATGAAAAATGTCCCCTTGGGAGTTCAACCGGGAGACCAGAAGTTTGATCGCTCGCTATGATGTGCGCTGACCACAGGGGGTGGCGTGGAATGAAGGAAGGCCCCGGCTGGCAGCCAGCAGCCAGCAGTGGGGGAAGGAAAGCCCTGGGCAGCAGCTGGAAGGCCCTGATCAGCCCTGATCACCAGCCAGGCCTAGGGACCCTACCCATGCATGAATTTCATGCATCAGGCGTCTAGTTATGAAATAAAATTCAACCAACTGGCTAAAATATAATTTATATAGTTTGTCTTATCAGCATACAATAAATTACTTGACTTGGAACTTACTTTCAGGAATCAAAGATTCTTCATCTTTTTTCTTACTTTCCTTCTTACCCCAAAACCCACTAAACCAGCCTCCACGTTTCTCGCCTGCATCAGTAGACTTGTTCTTTAATTTCTGCCCGGACCGAATCACCTAAAAAATCAAAATTTAAAAAATTAATTAAAGAGTAAATGTCCTCTTCATTTTCAGGTATAGTTGGGTAAAAACAAAGCTTAACTTTTTAAAACACTACATTAGGTTAACTATATATAGTCAGAAAGACAGTTCCTTCTGAAATGATGTTCAACATGTGATTAATGTAGTCTATTAATTTACTTTCCACACCTACCAATAGCATTTTGCTGCATTTTGTTAGGGATTCCAGTGTAAGTCAAGGATTCCAGTGATATGTCTCTCAAATTTTTAAATTAAGGAGCCACTAGGACAGCATATTTCTGAGCAATATATCTCCCAAATGTTTAAGTTAAGGAGCCACTGGGACTGAAAGGATAATGCTCCCACATTCAAAAGTCTGGCTACAGGATGAGTAAATGCAGTCCATGAAAGCCAGAGTATACAGAGGAAAATCCTAGCGGGAGAAGAGCCAGAGAATGGGATATCTGGGTAGAAGTCTGCACAAACCTCAGTCTAACCCAGCTGTGGGCAAACTACGGCCCGCGGGCCGGATCCGGCCCGTTTGAAATGAATAAAACTAAAAAAAAAAAAAGACCGTACCCTTTTATGTAATGATGTTTACTTTGAATTTATATTAGTTCACACAAACACTCCATCCATGCTTTTGTTCCGGCCCTCCGGTCCAGTTTAAGAACCCATTGTGGCCCTCGAGTCAAAAAGTTTGCCCACCCCTGGTCTAACCTAAGCTTCCCATGTATGAAACTGACCTCAATGAAAGTAGCAAAGGTTCAGAGACCTGAACTGAGATATAAACCATCTGCACAACTCTCAAACTCCTCTACTGTTCATGTGCAAAATAGGCCCAAACCAACATACAAAAGTTGAGACAAATAGATTGAGATTTGAACCACTATCCATAGAAGGCATGTGCTAAGATAAAAATGTCCAATAGTTTCTGGAGGATAACAGGACACAGAGACTACACAATATAATATTCACAATGTCCATAAATATAATCAAAATCACTTGATATATGAAAACAAAACAAACAAAAACCTAGGAAAATATGACCAATTATCAAGGAAAAGGATAATCAACAGATGCCAATAACCAAATAACCTAGAAGTTGAAACTAATGTTACCTTAGATAAAGGAAAATACTCTTAAAGTTACTAAAATGTAAGAATTTTTGACAGAAAAATAAAATCTTTATAGGAATTCAATAGGAATTATAGACCTGAAAATGGAAATGATAAAGGAAAGAGTAAACTTGAAGACACAGCAATAGAAATTTTCCAATCTGAAGAACAGAAAGAAAAAACATTAGTGGGGGAAAAAAATGAACAAAGCCTCAGGAACTTGCAATATATCAAAACATCATAGATATGTATATATGGACCTACATATGTACATATACATACATATTTATTTATGTGTGTTCATAAAATCATTGTAAGAAATAATAGCTGAAACATCTCCTATTTGGGAAACCTAATGGTCAATTTTCAGTCTTCAGGTCAATTGACCAATCAGATGCACCTGTCACAGTTGATCCCTCCCTCTTCCTTGAACTTCTTTCTTCACTTGGTTTTGAGGGTATTATATTCAGAGAATTTTCCACCTATATCTCTGGCAGCTTCTCCATGGTGACCTTTACTGGTTCCCATTTCTCTAACCTATAAACAACAGAATGCTACAGGTCTTTAGAGTCCACCAATTTTCTAGCTACTCTAACTTACTAGTAGGCAATTTCATCCAATGTCTTAGCTTTAAATGCCATCTGTGTGCTGACCCCTGCTAAATTCATGTCTCCAACACAGACTTCTAAACTCTACATTCACGTATCCAATTGACTACTCCATATATCCACATTAATGTCTGAATGATAGCTAAGCTTTATAGGTCCAAAACTGACCTACTCATCTCCTATCTCACCCAAGCTTGTTCCAGCTAGTCTTCCCCATCTCATTTCATGGTAACTCCAACTTCCCAACTGCTCCAAGACAAAATTCTTAGTCATCTCTGATTTCTCTTTCTTAAAATCTGAATTTAGTCCTTTGGGAAATAATGGCTCTCCCTTAAAACATATGCAGAATATTTTTAATTTTTTTTTATTGATTTCAGAGAGGAAGGAAGAGGGAGAGATAGAAACATCAATGTTGAAAGAGGATCATTGATTGGCTGCCTCTTGCATGCCCCCTACTGGGGATCGAGCCTGCAAGCTGGGCATGTGACCTGACTGAGAATCCAACCTCCAATGGGGGGATCTTCTGGTTCATAGGTTGATACTCAACCACTGAGCCCCACCGGCTGGGCAAAACATATCCAGAATTTGACACTGAGGCATCACTCCATCGTAACCATTCTCAGCCACACTACCATTATTTCTCAAATATTTCAAGAGCATCCTAACTAATCTCTGTTTTCAGTTTTGCCCTCCTTTTTACAGTCTGTTTTCAAATTAGCAGCCAGAGGAAATTTTAAAACCTAAGTCAGATTATATTATTCTATTCATGAAATGGCTCCCTAATTCAGAGTAAAAACCAAAATCCATAAAAACTTAAAATAAATTGCTTTTAAGACCCTACAGCAAGCATGTCAAACTCAACAGCTAACACAGGCCAAATAAACAAGGTTTAAGTTTATGTGGACTGCAAAAAAATAAAAGCTTCAATTTTCAAAGAAACATAGGTTTATTTCAATAGAGACATGCTGAATACTAAGGGCTGAAATAAATGAGTAATCGTAAACATAAAATAACAGAACATTTTAATAAAAAATAATATTTTCTTGAACATTAACTTACCAGACACTGAACAACTGCACAAACTAATAAGCATAACAAAAATATACCTATTTTTCTTGTTCTCCAAAAGCTAAGTATTTCCTGTTGCGCACACCAAACAAGTCAGTACAAGACTAATGACATGGCAATAGGCTGCTAAAATATTCACTGCTAGTATTAGTGGAGAGAAAAGGTGCACTGGGCGTAAGGGAAATGAATGCAACACAATTATAGCCATCAGTCATTAGCGAGCGTTGTAGTTTGTTATTAATAATCATGTTTAACAGGATATTGTAAAAATTAAGTTACGAAATTTTATTAAAACAGTTTTTACATACCGTTATATTGACTGGGCCACAAAAATATTCGTTGTGGGCCGACTTTGACATGCTTGCCCTACAGAATCTAGCTTCCTCCATAACTCCCAACAATCACCATTCCAACTCCTCCACTACCTTCCTTCTCTGACTACGTTAACCACCATTTCTCCTGGCTCTCACCACTCTATTCCCCTTAATGAGCTAGTTATGTTCCCACCCCAAAAACCTTTCAACTTGCTATATTCCTTCTGATTGGTACACTTTCCCTCAGGTATCTTTCTGGTTGACTTTGCTCAAGTGTATCCTTCTTAGTGAGACTTTCCCTGACCATCTTATTTAAAACTGCAACCCCATTATGATCTCTGCCTAGCCTTAGCACTCTTTATATTAATTTCTACATTATTTTTATTTACTTTTTTGTTTATTATCAGTCTTCCTATTATAATGTAAGGGATTTTTGTCTGTTTTGTTCACTTCTGAATGCTAATGCAAATGATAATGATGATGATAAAGAAAAAGTCACTTATTTAGTAATTGTTATATGTCAGGCACATAACAGTCTAAGTCAGTGGTTCTCAACCTTCTGGCCCTTTAAATACAGTTCCTCACGTTGTGACCCAACCATAAAATTATTTTCGTTGCTACTATAATAACTGTAATGTTGCTACTGTTATGAATCATAATGTAAATATCTGATATGCAGGTTGGTCTTAGGCGACCCCTGTGAAAGGGTCATTTCACCGCCAAAGGGGTCGCGACCCACAGGTTGAGAGCCGCTGGAAGTGGTCTACATCAATCATCATGCACTACTCACAGTAACTCTCTGATGTAGGTACTATGCATTACTCCAATTACAAATGAGGAAACCGAGACACAGAGAGGTTACATAGCCAGCCCAAGGTTACACAAGTATTAGTTGACAAAGCTGGGATTAAAATCCAAACCATCTGACTCCCAGGTCCACACTCTTTAACCGTATTGCTAGTATAGAGATTTCCAAATGGTCTGATGCAAGAATTTCTAAAACACACAAAACCTGTCTAATGGTCAGGTATACTGACCTCTTTACTCTTAGATTGCAAAAAAAAAAAAAAAAAAAAGGCAAGAGACAACACAAGAATATCCATCCAGTGTGATTAAGTCAAAATTGTCAGATTTGCAAAAAATACATTTTTGATACGCCACAGAATTTTAGTTATTACTTTATGTGTGCCATAAGATAAAAAAAAATTGAAAATCACTATGCTAGCGTGATGGGCACTCAACGAGTATTTATTTGCTAAGTAAATGAATGCACAAGTATATATGCTTCAAACCCATTCAAAAACAGAAGCATGTGTATGAAGTTTTATTAATGTAAAAAACTAAAACAATATACAGAAATGCATTAACAATAGTTATCTTTGGTGTGTGACATAATGGGCGGGTTCTATTTTCTTTTTTTTGTAGATCAATATTTTCTAAGTTTTCTATAATAAGTTATATTGCACGTGTAATTCATTTTTTAAATACCAAAAAAAGTCATGTTACAGAATAATAGAAAAAACACATAACAATGTAGACAAGGTGCCAACTGAAATAAATCAGCATTTATAAAACATTTATGAACAGATTGATTCCAATTTTGGGGGGAAAAAAAGAGAAAAAGAGATAGAGGAAGAGGGAAAGAAGGAGGGAGAAAAGGGAAGAAAAAATGTCAGTGAAGGAAAGGAGGAAGGAATGGAGGGAAGAGAAAACAAAGCAAAGATAAAGTGAAAGAAATGGCTAAGAAGCATAAATAGGTAGGTACGCATGCATAGGGGAAAGACCTAAGAGTCTGTATGTCAAAAATGTTAACAGTTAGCATTCAGTGTTGCTAGAATAATGGATGACTCTTATTTACTTTCTATTGGGGGGGTGGGGGGGAGGGAGTTCAAAATTTTTGTCATAAAATTTTTTTAAATTTCCCCTTAATGTCACCTTCCCCTTCCCCCCAATATTTTAATTTTTTCCTGAGACAAAATTAATCTGTGAAAATTCAATCTTTATTCTCAATTAAGCAAATCTCAACAACATCCTATGAAACTTAGCTTTCTTGATCCTAGGTTTAAAGGAGTAGTTATAACATGTTTAAAACATAAAATCAGCTAATAAAAATAATTACCTCAACTTGTGCTTGTTGCCTTGCTAAAATTATGTTAAAAACATCTAGAGTCTTCTCCAAATCCTGTAAAATAAAGACAAGGAAAATGATCATTAGATAGAATATTTTTTTCTTCAATGATATCCAGGCTTACTTATTAGTCCATGAACAAACAGTATTTGTGATCGAATGAAAGTTTAAGTATAAATTTGAATATGCACTTGGCTTTTACATTTTTAACTTTTGCAATATAAGAAATAAGTTTTCCAAGGAAGTAAATCCTCAATAAGTATAAAAATAAGAATTTTAATGAGACCATTACAATACATAGATAGCCATATATGCAATGGAAACAAGAATATCTAGAAGGGGTATTATCCTATAGTTCTTACTTCTGACTCCCTCTATTCTATATTATTTTACAATCATTGCACTAAAGGCACCATTATAAAACACAAAATTTTTAAATGTAAAATTCTGCAAATCACAAGTAATCTAAAGTAGAAAGTGATTTGGGGAATTTACATAGAAGTATGTAAGAGAAGATCCAGTCATTGTGTTCAGTTGGTTGGAGCATTGTCCTGTTCACCAAAAAGGTTACAGGTTCAGTTCCTGGTCAGGGTATATACCCTTGTGATCTCAGTCAGGGCGCATACAGGAGGCAAGAGATCAACATTTCTCCCTCATATCAATGTTTCTCTCTCTCTCTCTCTCTCTCTCTCTCTCTCTCTCTCTCTCTCTCTCTCTCCTTTCCCTCCTCTCTCTCCTCTCTCTCTTTCTCTTTCTCCCTCCCTCCCTCCCCCTTCCTCTCTCTCTAAAGTCAATAAAAACTTATCCTCAGGTTCATTAGATTCCACATACAAGTGCGATCATACAGTATTTTTCTCTGAGTGGCTCACTCAGCATAATAATTTCCAGGTCCATCCATGCTGTCTTAACAGATAAGAGTTTCATCCTTTTTACAGCCAGGAGTATTTTAAACAAAACCTAGTAATAGAACCAGAGTCCGAGATGTCAGAGGGAAGGTGGGTGGGGTGTACAGGATGAAAGAAGGTGAAGAGAATAGCCAAAGAACATATATGCATAGCCCATGGACATAGACAACAATGTGGTAAGGGCCAGAGAGAAAGGAGGGCACGGTCTGGATGGAGGGAGGCAAAGGAGAGAAAAATGGGGGACTTCTATAATAAAGATAACAATAACAATAAAATATTATTTATTTATTTATTTATAATCCTCACCCAAAAATATTTTCTTAATTGATTTCTAGAGAGTGGAAGGGAGGGAGGAGGGGGAGAGAGAAACACTGACATAAGAGAGACACATTGATTGATTGGCCTCCCGCGCACAGCTATCAGAGCTGGGGAACCTACAACCGAGATATGTGCCCTTAATGGGAATCAAATCTGCAACCCTTTGATCTGCAGGACAACACTCTAACCACTGAGCCAAACTGGTCAGAGCAAAAAATAGAATATACTTTTAAAAATATATCCTCAGGTGAGCATTTTTTTAAAAAGTAATCCTAGTACCTGGGAGAAACTAAGATGGCGGCATAGATAAACACCGGGAAAGCGCCGCCTCCCACAACAATTGAAAAATACTGCAAAGGACAGAGTGGACATCATCCAGAACAACAGGAAGCCTGGCTGAGTGTAAATTCTACAACTAGAAGGAAAGAAAAGCACACTGAAAGCCAGAGGAGCTGCGGAGGTGAAGTGCAGTGGTACGGCGGCTAGTGCGCGCGTGCGGAAAGGGGGTGGCACCTGAGGACGCGGCTGTTTTTTTTTAATCACAAGCTCCCGACTGCTCTGAACTCCGGTTCCGGGAAGTCTCTGGGGACCCAGGACTCATACGGGGAGAAGATGGACTGTCGGGCAGTGGGAGAACTTGAGTGCGGCTTTCCCTCAGAGGTGCTTGCAGCAATTATCGGGCCACTGAGACGCGTGACGCCTTAGGAGAATCAGCCATAGCTGCTTGCATGTGACTGTACCTAACTGCAGCTGAGCCAGGCAGACCCGGAACTTCCAAGAGAAGGCCCAAGGCCCCGCAGCGGCTTGCATTGCTTCACAGCTGAGCCTCTTCATGGCTCCTGCTGTGTGGCCTCAGGCAGAGGCTGAATTAGCACCTCCTTAGATCCAGGAGCCACTGTACCCAGTGGTCAAAGGGGGACCATCCAGATTGCAACTCCTCAGATCCATAAGGGACACACTCAGGGAGCAGACTCAGTGAGCACCAAAGCCCCACTGAAGCAAGTCTTGCCCCAGAAGGGTGTCTTCAGCACAGAAGTTCTCCCACTTCAGACACAGCTGATTCTCACAGCCAATTGGCCTGGAGGTCAATTCCTCCCAGTGATCCTACAACAACCAAGGCACCAAGAGTGCACCAAGAGTGTCCACCTCAGGTAACTGGGGAGGCTGAGCCACTGGGCCCTACAGGACACCTGGCGCGCAGGGCCACTCTATCAACACAGGGAAGCAGCCAAAATGCGGAGACAAAGAAACAGGTCACAAATGGCAGAAATGGAGGAAAGCAAACGACTGGATATAGAGTTCAAGGCCACGTTTATAAGGTTTTTCAAGAATTTTATGGAAACCGCTGATAAATTTAATGAATCCCTCAATAAGTATAGTGAGACCATGGAGGACATGAAAAAGGACCAACTAGAAATTAAGCATACACTGACTGAAATAAAGAATAATTTACAGAGATCCAACAGCAGACAAGAGGATCCCAAGAATCAAGTCAAAGATTTGAAATACAAAGAAACAAAAAATACCCAACCGAAAAAGAAAAAAGAAAAGAGATTCCAAAAATATGAAGATAGTGTAAGGAACCTCTGGGACAACTTCAAGCATACCAACATCAGAATTATAGGGGTACCAGAAGGAGAGAGAGGGCAAGATATTGAAAACCTATTTTAAGAAATAATGACAGAAAACTTCCCCATACCTGGTGAAAGAAATGGACTTACAAGTCCAGGAAGCACAGAGAACCCCAAACAAAAGGAATCCAAAGAGGACCACACCAAGACACATCATAATTAAAATGCCAAGAGCAAAAGACAAAGAGAGAATCTTAAAAGCAGCAAGAGAAAGACAGTCAGTTACCTACAAGGGAGTACCCATACGACTGTCAGCTGATTTCTCAACAGAAACCATGCAGGCCAGAAGAGAGTGGCAAGAAATATTCAAAGTGATGAATAGCAAGAACCTGCAACCAAGATTACTTTATCCAGCAAAGCTATCATTCAGAATAGAAGGTCAGATAAAGAGCTTCACGGATAAGAAAAAGCTAAAGGAGTTCATCACCACCAAACCAGCATTATATGAAATGCTGAAAGGTATTCTTTAAGAAGAGGAAGAAGAAAAAGGAACTCTTACCATTTGCCACAGCATGGATGGAACTGGAGAGCGGATAAATACCACATGATCTCACTCATTTGTGGAATATAATGAACAACATAAACTGATGAACAAGGACTGGTCCAGAGATGGAGAGGCATTGATTGGACTGTCGGGCCTTGGAGGGAAGGTAGGGGAGGGGAGGGGTAAGGGGGAAAGATCAACCAAAGGACTTATATGCAAGCATATAGGCCTAACCAATGGACACGGACAACGGGAGGTGAGGGCATTAGCGGGGGGGGGGGGGGGGGGGGGTAGAGGGTAACGTGGGGACAAGGACACATATGTAATATCTTAATCAATAAAAAATATATTAAAAAAAAAAAGTAATCCTAGTAGCCTGGGTGCCAGGTGCTCTAAGTGTTATTTTATGCACATCTCACAACTCTATAAAACAGACAGTTTCCATTTTGTACAAGAGAACACAGTACCTGAAATGTTTAGAAACTTGATACTTTTTCTAATATATAATACTGGTGATTGTCATATGCTTCATAATAATAGGAATTCAATTCTTTTTTTAATATATTTTTATTGATTTCAGAAAGGAAGGGAGAGGGAGAGAGAGAGAGAAACATCAATGATGAGAGAGAACCATTGATCAGCTGCCTTCTGCATGCCCCACACTGGGGATCGAGCCCGCAACCTGAGCATGTGCCCTGACCGGGAATCGAACGGTAACCTCCTGGTTCATAGGTCGATGCTCAACGACTGAGCCACACTGGCCAGGCAGAATTCAGTTCTTTACATTATGAATTTGTGGCAGAAAGTTATATAATCAAAATCAGATGCTATTAAGCAACTTATATATTCAGTATGGTGTTTTTCTTTGTTTCAAAAGGGGGTAAGTAAGACTCCTCCTATCTTGAGAATAAAGCTGTTTTTTATAAATAATAATTGGAACTATTTTTAAAAAGCCACTAACAAACCTAATAATATACACCTAGCTAATAATAAACAGATCTAACACTGATTTTCTATACATTATTACAAATACCAAACATATTTCTACAAATCGTTTACAGTAACCTCATTTTATCTAATATGAGGGTGTGTGAGAAGGATTTTTCAAAGAAGATAAAAATTGGGGGGAAATACTGTGCATTTTCCCATAAAATTCTCTCAAAAGAGATTAACACTATTCTTTCTAAATCATATTGTAATACAAATTAAATTTAGAAAAATTAACATTAAAGGATGATTTAACAAATAATACCTTTCATCAACATATGCAAGATATACCTGAATTTGTTTCTGTATTTCTTCTGGGACTTTAGTCTGGGTCAGCTTGGTTTTGTAGGCACATTTATAACTCTTGAGCAATTGCCTGTGATTTTTTATGTTACTCCATGACCACATATGTGTACACCTTCTTATATGAACTTCAAGAATAGAATCAATTGCATATTTCCACCTGCGAGTCAAAAATTTTTAATGCACATCTGAATATAGAGGTTTAAGAAAAAGCAGGAAAATAGCTTTGACTTTAGACCTAACCTGTTACACTTTCTGTTATTAACTCTTTTCTTGTAAGAGCTCAATAATAAGAGTTCAATTTCCCAGTATAATTTTCTGACTTAAATAGATTATGAAATGAACAAAGCACTCCAGGAAGAGGGTTTATCAAAGCAAAATCAGAAAGACACAAAATGATTTGCTGTGCAAAATTAATAGCATCCAATATGGTTAAAACATTGAGTCCATGTGGATGACTAAAGTGCAATAAGACCAAAAAATGTTGGAAGTCTTGAATACTAAATTAAGAATTTGGAAATAATCTGGGAGCAGAAGTACAACAGAATGTATTTATGAAAAAAAGTAACAAGGATATAATATAAAAGATAACACTCTATGTCTATATAAAAGAAAAAAGTAGCTTCATTACGTGGCTTTAAACATGTCTTAACTCTGAGAATCCCTAACTATATGACTGTATGTTTCTTATTTTTAAAAAAATAATTCTAACTTACCATTGTCGACCATTGGTATGAAGTGGTACATAAGGTTTATATTTCCTGTAAGGGGCATTTCTAACCATGTAATCCACTGACTCCAAAAGGTCAATCATACTTAAGTACTATTAAGACAAAAACAAACTTATATTGATTAGACTGCACACATGAGTAAACACTAAATAAAATAAAGCTACTTAATCACCCATCTGACCACCAATATAACAATTCTGTGTGTCTGGTAAATAGCTCAAATAGAGGAAAATACACACACACGTAAGGACTGTAGGTAAGATAAAGAAAAGGGCAAGTTAGCTTCTTCCTCTTTATTTTTCATAATACATTTCTACCTAAGGGTTACCGTATGGCTATTCAGCACTTAAAAGGTGGATACTCTGAACGTAAATGTATTCTAAGTGTAAAATATACCTCAGATTTCAAAGGCTTAAGGAAAAAAAGGATGTATAATACCTTAATTTTTAAAATTGAATGTTAAAATGATAATATTTTAGACAGGTTAAATAAAATGTTATAATTTTAATTAATGTCATCTTTTCTTTTTACTTTGCTAATGTAGCTACTAGAAAATTTAAAGTTATATATATAACTTGCATTGTATTTTTATTAGACTACACTGGACTAAAAGCTCAATTAGTTAAATCCCTGCCCTTTTTTCACCTTCATTTCTCCGGGTCTGTTATCCAAACTCCCTGGGCATATAGCCAAACTTGAGAAACAAATTTGTAAAAAGCTGCCAAAATAACTGTTCTAAAAAATAAGTAAATAATGTTGAATATAAGAGTGCCTGCTACTAAAATCTGAGGAAGAAAAACACATTAAAATCTCCATCAACAATTGGGAATTAAATGTAAATAATGTAATTCACTATAATTTGGTAAGACTCTCCACTAATAAGGAAAATAAAACTATTTCTTAAATTTGATCCTTTCCAAAAAATATGTATAATATATCTATTTTTAGGAGTCAAATATTAACATAAGAAACCAAAAGAACCATCAGAACATTGGAGAAAGAATAATCACAAAGGACAAAAGCAGTCGAAATTCAAGGCTCATCAAAGTTAGAAACATCCAACTGAATCATACCTGAGGTTTAGTCAGTTCGATGGCAATATTTTGTACTTCTATGTTCCCATCAAGTTTGGGTGTTTTGAGCTCTGTTTCTGCATAAGGATTCATGTAGAGTTTTGCAGAGGCTGATATTGGCTGGAAAACTGAGAACACATGAGAAGAAGTAAGATAACCTCTATATGCTCTTACATATTAATGACTATAAATTTTAAGAACACTGTTACGCTGAAAGAAAAATTATAAAAAATATGTAGAAGAGAGAACTGCCAAAAAATATTCAGGTATCTATTTATCTGCATAATATCAACAGTCAAACTCAAGGGTTAAAGTGGAATCCCCAAAAAGAAAATTGGGGTCCTATGCTTCTAAATAAGAAATGTGCAAAATACAATCTACTCTTGGGAATTCACACTCTGTGTAAAATTAGGCTTCTGTTCCTTGCCTCAAGACACTTAATGATTTTATTATTCATTTAAAATACTAATACAAGGTAGGAAACAAAAAAAAATTTTTAATCCTCACCAGAGAACATGCTTACAGGGAGGGAGGGAGGGAGGGAGGGAGGGAGGGAGGGAGGGAGGGAGGGAGGATGGGAGGGAAGGATGGAAAGTGGGAGGAAGAGAGGGAGGAAGGGAACTGAGGAAGAGAGGAAAGGACGGAGGGAGAAATATCAATTGGTTGCCTTCCTTGAGTGCCCTGACAGGGGGTCGAACCAGCAACCCAGTTTGTGCCCTGACCAGGAATCAAACTGGCAACCTTTCAGTGCACAGGACGGCACTCAACCAACTGAGCTACTCCGGCTGGACAGTAGGAAACAAAATTTGATTAATTTCTGTCTTATTTAATCACTGCCAGAATTTAGGAACAGAACCATAAGTAAAATTCATGTAACCCAGAAAAAAATTTCTTACTACTTTTCAATTTTCAAAAGAATCACTGCATATAGTCTTAGAATAAACTAAAGAAAGTATTTTTAAAAGTGAGAAGTAGTATGAAAAGGTGTATTAGGAAAGATAAGAGAGCAAAGTAAAGTGATAATTATAACTTATAATACTATTAAAATTATATAAATTGTGATACCTTATAAAGTGTTTACAGTTTGCATGATAATATAAAATTTCAACTAATTTAGAGTTTATTTATAAGTGGAAGATGCCTAAGAATAAAGTTGGAGAATTTTCTGAACTAGTTCTGTCACAAGTAAAAATGCTTTCACAAACTAGCAGCATGTGAAAACCTTGTCATCAGTAAATAGAGAGGCCAATGAACATAAAAGAAAAGTGCCATCTCTTCTATAACAGCAATCAGTCATAAAAGGATATGAAGAAAAGAATAGTGAACAGAGTGATATGAAATACAGAAGAACATGGGCATAAAACTTGAGGATGAGCATAAAGGAATATAGTAAATGTAAACAAATCAATAGCTTCTATAGGCTAATAAAACGGAAATGGAGAAAACGGATGAGATACATAAATAAGCAGGTAGAGTTGTTAGAGCTCTATTTAAAAGGAAATAAAGGCAAGGCTGCCAAGGAAAACTCACATAAAACAATTTCTAATGTGGTTGGTTTGTCTTAGCACTGCAATAGTGACATGCTAGGGGTGAGACTGAATACCAAGATCTCAGAGAGATAGTTATGAAGCAAAGCAAAGAAAACCTAATTCCTAAAACAAAGAAGATGATAGAAAGGTAAGAAGGAAATGTGGAGGTCAAGGGGGGTTAGCTGTTAGGAGTGAACAATAGCCACATTGTCCTTGTCTTCCTTATTCTTCAGCAGTGTGTGTGTTATAATCTATTCCTAAACAATTAGTTATAATCCAAACATGCTATCTCACAAAATTAAGGTATAAAATTAATACTTTCTCTTTGTCACAGTAATTTTATCAGAAGAAGTATACTAAAATAAAGTTTTTAATTCCAGGCTTCCTATAACATAAAATAAGCTTTTACCATTACTTACTATATTGATGGCTTGGTAGAATATCATTACTTGTAAGAATTTCACTTTTCAGATGATCCTTAAAAAAAAATTGAATTATATGAAAATTAAAAATAAAATATTCAGCCACATATACAAAAAAAAATACTTGGTCTTACATCAGTACCTTTATTTCCTCTTTGTAATTAGAAGTTCATTAAAAAAAAACACTAAACTTTATTTACAAGTATATTTCTTTAGAATAAAATATAAAAGTATATAATTTTAATTCTAAATATATGGAAATATTATAACATTGTGTTCCCCACTAGTAATTCGTTTAAAAAAAAACTAACCATTATTTATAGATATATTTCTTTAGAATAAAACATAGAAAATTTTTTTATAATTCTAAATATCTAAAATTATAACATTGTGACTTTAAAATATATTATTATCACAAATGCCTAAAAGATATTTTTGATTTTTTTTTTTTTTTGAGAGAGAGAAACATCAATATGAGAGTGAAACATCAATTGGCTGCCACCTGCATACCCCCTACAGGGGATCAAGAGCCCGAAACCAGGCATGTGCCCTGACTGGGAATCGAACCAGTAACCTTTCAGGGCACAGGACAATGCCCAACCAACTGAGCCCCATTGGCCAGGGCTAAGAATATATTCTTTAGATCTGAACGGTATCATCTTACTTTCTTTCTTTCTTTCCTTTTTTTTTTTTGTAATAGCAATACCACTCTTTTTTTAAATATGTTTGTACTGATTTTAAAGATAGAGAAAGGGAGGAGAAACACCAACACTGATTGGCTGCCTCCTGCACACCCCTGCCAGATATCGAACCCACAACTCAGGCATGTGCCCTGACTGGGAATTGAATTGGTGGATGGGTCGATGCTCAACCACTGAGCCACACCAGCTGGGCAAGGTATCATCTTTCTTGACAATACTCTTCAAGCAATTCTCATGAAACACCACAATGTAACCAAATGCTATCAAAATAGTGTAAAAAATCCTAAGCACAGTTGATTCAATAGTATGGGTTCTCATCTCACTGGTTAATAATGATTTCACAAAGATCTTCAAAAACAAAAGGGCTTTTTAAAAGACAGAGTGGATACCAAAAACTGTGTTTTATACTTCTGATTTAATTATATACAACTTGAACAAAAGACTGATAGCCTGTCTTCATTAAGGATCTCGTATGTAAACAAATATAGTGTAGTTAGCTCTTCCAGATAAAAACAGAAATTACCAAGATCTGTTCCCTTGATCCCTGGTAAGACATGCTGCAGTTTACGTTCCAGTAGGCACTGAGGCTATCAAGTCGGATAAGCTATAAAAGAACAATTGAAAGAGGTCAAGCAACTAACACATTGAAGTTAAGAATCAATATTAAAAGATTAATCTCATGTTCAGTATCCCAAATTATCCAATTGCCATTTTGAGTTTATAAAGGAAAGAAAATAATGCAAAAATGGGGGAAATAATTGCTTCTCAGCCTTTTGGCTAAGATCAAGTGTAAAAATGGGAGGGAGGGGGTTTGTATGTTATTCTCAGACTTTATTATTAATCCAGCATTTGCTAAATTTTGCTTCCAGGAACACTATTTCAAATGGAATTCATTCATACAATTATCAAATATTTATTGTGAATTTAGTATTTAATAGGCCCTGTACATGTTCTGCTAAAAAAAAAAAAAAAAAAGATATGATTCCTCCAGTCTCCAGTGGATACGAATGGGTGTTTTGAGGGAGGCGTGAGGGGAGTGGATTCTATAATCAATAAGGTGGGGAAAGCTACTTACTAAATATCACTCTTGAATGTTCACAATGTTTATTAGTATATTTAAAGTATTCTGAAGTTCTGTAGTTTAAAAAAAAAAATGAAACATGCCTATTTAACTATGTACCAAATGCTTAATACTTTTAGTCAGTAATCTTACTTGACCAGAGAATATTTTTCTACAAATCTAATAATAAGTCAATTACCTAATGCTCCATAAAATACAATCTGGGATATGTTAATTTTATTCATTTTCTTTATATGTTAGGTGAAGAACCTAAACCTCAAAATAGGTAAGTGACTTTAGAAGGTCATACAGTAAGTAGCAGGGCCAAAACTGCTCTATCAAGGTTTCTTTAAGAAAATACATTAAGTGTTTGTACCTAGGAAATTCAAGAAATGTTTAATTCAGTCTAATACCTTGTATATAATTTTATCTGCTTCATTTAACACACATGGAGTCCAGTGTTCATTTGCAGTCTAAAAGAAAAAAAGAACTGTGAAATGAAATACATATATACACATATGTATATCTCAAAATAGTACTCTAACATTTGTAAACTATAACTAAATAACTTAGGAAGAAAACACATAGAGCTAATGTTAGCTACTGTTAGCAATCTGTTTCTTTACATAACTTTATGACAAAATCAAAGGAATAACAGTAAAAACAGAATTGAAGACATTCAAATTTAAATAAGTTAATTCACCCACAAAATAATTATTGAGTACTATGTGTCTGAAGTATGAAAGAAATTGGGTATGAATAAAAGCAGAGAGCTTGCCTATAAGCTATTGAAAAAGATCCACTTCTTTTTTTTTTTAAAGATCAAATAAATAATTATTGCAAAGTAAGAAGAAAACCAGAATATGGAAATCAAAGAATGACCATGTTTCCAGAAAATCAGCATGGTAAGCAATACCAAATGCTGCAATGAAAAAAACTAAATTAAACTTATTTGGCAGCCAGGGCGTTACTGATGAACTTGTTAAGAACAGTTTCAATGGAGTAGCAGAGTCAGAGTACAGTAGGTAGGGAGTCAACAGGAGGTGGGGAAAGAAAGATAGCAAAGGTAGAAAATACTCTTAGAAAGAAAAGAAAGAGAAGGCAGGTAGTTAGATGGGGGCATGGTTGGAGTGGAAGAAGGTTAAAAAACAGGCTTTTTAGATAAGTATCACATGATCTCACTCATTTGTGGAATATAATGAACAACTGATGAACAAAAATACATCCAGAGACGTAGAAGCATCAAACAGACCATCAAACCTCAGAGGGAAGGTGAGGGTGGGGGGTGAGGGGATGGTGGTGAGGTATCAACCAAAGGACTTGTATGCATGCATATAAACATAACCTATGGACAAGGACATTGGGGGGGGGGGGGGGTGGTAGGGCCTGTGCTGGAGGGCAGGGGTGGGCTGGGAGAGGTCAATGGGTGGGGGAGGAGACATGTAATACTTTCAACAATAAAGAACTTTAAATAAGCCGAAACCGGTTTGGCTCAGTGGATAGAGCGTCAGCCTGCGGACTGAGAGGTCCCGGGTTCGATTCCGGTCAAGGGCATGTACCTGGGTTGCGGGCACATCCCCGGTGGGGGATGTGCAAGAGGCAGCAGCTGATCGATGTTTCTCTCTCATCGATGTTTCTAACTCTCTCTATCTCTCTCCCTTCCTCTCTGTGAAAAATCAATAAAATATATTTAAAAAAAAAAAAAAAGAACTTTAAATAAATAAATCGCTAAATAAAAACAGGCTTTTTAATTTTGCTGTAAAGGAGATACTTGCATGTATTTAAATGCTTACAAAAAGAAGTGGAGGGAGGGAGGAAGGAAAGGCAGAGGGAGAGGAGTTGAAGATTTAGGAAAGAGAAAGAAATGGATGGAAAGAAGTAAGGAAGGGAAGAAAAGGAGGGGTAGACGGAAGGCTCCTGAGGGCATGGGAAAGTACAGGATCCAGATCAGAGGTGGGAAGATTACCTTATGGAGTTCAATTATAATTGGAAAGGTAGAAGAAAGGAATGATATGGACACAAAAAGAGGTAAGTTTTCAGTTGTTATCATAGGCAATGTAGTAGTTGAAGCAGGAAATAAATGAGTCAGCCAATGTGCTAAATGCTTTACACAAACAATCTCACTCAAGCAACACTAAAATACAGATACTACATTTTATCAGTACTGTATTTTATTTCCTATTGCATCAGTGAATAAATGGACATTAGACAGCAGGAGACCAACATGGTAACCAGTTACAGGTGCTTTCATCAAAGACTAGTAAAATGACAGGCATAAAATAAGGAATGATAAATTCAAAGTGGAAGGTAAAAAAAGGAATGAGAAAGCAAGGTAATAGCTTACAAAGTATTAAAACCTGAATAGAACTGCTAGGCAGACAAAGGGAAGGGCATAATACGGACAAAGAAAACAGTATAGAGTCTGAGCAAAGATACAGAGGGGCTCAGACAACAGCACACACTAAGACAGTTAGGCATCATTCTCATGCACAAGTATGCCTGTCTGTCGTCAGTCAATACAGGTATTTGTTTCATATGTTTTCTTTTGTCTGCTAAAAGCTCAATGTTAAATACTGTGCTCAGTTATGACTAATGTTAGTCTAAAATTTCTGGAACAAGTAGTTCTCTACCTTCCACAACACAGATTCTGGTCTCTTTAGAGATATTATGAGATATTATTCTTTATCAAAAGCTACTTCAAATTCATTTTGGAAACATGCAGAGGACAGACAGTATATTAAACACTAGCTTCCGGACTCCCTTTCCTGTTTCTCTAGTTCTTTTTCTTCAATGTTTCTGCTCTGGTCTTCAACTCAATGTAGCTCTGCTTCTCTGCATGCATGTATCCTTCTTAAGGCCTCCATGTAAACATGTCCTTTTCTCTTTCTCTGGCAGTCTACTTCTCTTTCAATTTTTTTTTCTCTTCTTTCTGTACTAAGCCCTATCCATATAACTAACCATAAGGCAAACATGTACTCAGTACAATTTACTGTTCACTGTCCTTAACTTTAAAACATTTCCTACCTCTTAGTTGTCCATAAAAGAAAATAAAAAGTCTAACCTGGATATATATACACATGCTATCCTTAAAGACCTTTAAGAGAAAAACCAAACTACATTATAAAATACTTAATCAAAATAAATTACTGATACAGATATGGATAGATGTAGATATAGATGTAGATATAGATTATATATATAGATAGATATAGATATAGATATAGATATATAGATAGATATCAGTATGGTACATACACATGTACATATAAACACATATAAGCTATTTGGAAATTCCATTTACCTAATCAAGAATGAGAACATAACTCTATGGAAATTTATCTTCCCCTACTTTCCCACATGTTTAAGAGACAGCTTATAATTCTTTCAGAATGCTTGATACTGTATTTGGATATTTGTTAAATTCGAAGACAAATCAAAATTAGAGAATGTAATAGCATCACTAAAATTTCTGAACTGTTGGAAAAGCTATAGAAAGATTATACATAAAAATAAAATAGCTTTTAGACAACGCTACCTATGGCTCGGGAATAGTATTTTACAGGTTCCACAAATATTTAAAATAAGTCCAACATTACCAACAAACTAAGTTCTCCCAGTGTGACACCAAATGAAAGGGGCCGCTTTGGATCAGTAACCTATCAAAGAAAAAAAAGTAACATTAAAATATACTGATGGTGAGGGTGAATCCATGCTCCACTCTTTATGATAGGCAACATATGGCAATTAGTTTACAAATAAGTTACACAAACCAAATGGATATGTGGAAAAGAGAGAGAAGGAAGCCAAAACATGACTGGGATTATCCATATTTACAGGCATGACACTCATATCACTTCCCAGTGAATCTCTTTTCTTAGTATATGAAAAGACTCACTAACTACAATTAAACAGATTCTTGTCTAGATAGTTACAAAGAGAGAGTCTCTTTATGTATAACATTAAAGATGTTTTTCACAGATAAATAAAACAAAGCATCACAGGTAAAAACACTGCCACTAAATTATTTTTGAAACAGTTAAGATTTTCACATTTAGAAATATGAACTGTCTCTTTAAGCTTTAATTTCCTTGACACTTCAAACATTTTCTTTGTTAGAAAATGCCCAGCATTTAATTTCCCTAGTCTCTTAACCCCAAATCTGCCAATGTCAAACTTTTGTTCTATTTCTGATCTTCAATACCCAAGTTAAATTTACTCACAAGAAACTGTACCACTATATGAAAATGTCATTGTTTTAGACATCTTAAAGATGTCCAAAAATCACAGTTTTCTGGTTGTAACAGAAACTAGAGGAACTAGAGAGTGAAGAAAAAACATAATGTTCTAAATCATCCAATAGTGACTCCAGAGTTTAGTCATATAAACCCTCCTCAAATAGGAAATATGCATGATCTAGTATAGCTAAAAAACACAGATAGCTTTTTGAGTTTTGTTTTTAATATCAGAGATATTGTGATTGTGGCAATACATTTTCCTTTATTCCCACACTCATCTTTTCATACTTACAGATAACTAGCTCAAAATAACTTGGAGCTAATCAGAAGACCTTCAATGAACCACAACTCCTCAGTTGCTAATGTAATACCCACAAACTACTATCATCCAATGAGCATTTTTGTGATAAATTATCCATTCCCTACCCCACTTCCTATACTATATTTTTCATTATCCTTCTAGATACAATAATTAAGGTTGCCACATGAAAGACAAATGCTACAATAAAGATTCCTTTGCATTTTTAAATTTCTTTCCTTTTAGATTCTTTTAGTATATTTTGTCACTTACATCAATTTAAACATAAACAATGTTATTTATCCCACTCCTGTGCATCTCTGTATTCTTTTCATTAAGGAGAAATAATGTACTTTTCTAATTGCACTTGCTCAATAAAAAAGCTTAATTTAAGTTCAAACTGAGGTTCTCATTCATCAATATGCCATTAGTTTTAAGAATAATTCTCTCACTTCCATGATATGTTGATTGGATTTTAATTTCCTTAGTTTGTTTTAAACAAGGGCACTGATAAGTGGTTAGGTTTTTTAAACATTTATTTGGTAACAAAATTCAGTTTAATTACTACATAAAAGCAAAAGACAAAGTCAGTATAAGTTAGAGATGGTATATATTAAAACATTAAAAAACCTAAAAAATTTAGAAAGAAAACTACAAGTGTTTCTTACATTAAGTTACATAAGAAAACATATTAGAAAGGGAAATAAATAAATACATACATATATATATATATACACACACACACACACACACACACACACACACATATATATATACCAATATTGCTTCAATTCAATCCAAACTTAAAGCAAATTAAAACAAAAAGAAGGATGCAAACTCAATTTTAGAAGAGACAGAATAACATTTCCAATTTCTAAGGTAAATGAAACAAAATTCAAGGTTTCTTACATATGTTTCAAACTTTAAAACAAAGCAATATTTGTTACATTTATAACTAAAATTAATAAAATCAATTAATCAGTTAATAAAATCAATAAAACAGTTCTTAATCAAATAATTTTAAATTTTTGGCCATAAGTGAAGTCTAGTTTTTAAATACATTGTTGCACATGCACATGATAGTTGTGGGTGCTCCATCCAGCTTGATGGGACGTGAAGAGAATGAGACTAGCAGTCAAGTGACCTGGGTTTTAGTGCCCTCTCTGTCAACTACCATTATAATTGCTATCTCATCATCTCTTGGACTAATTTTTTGTCAGTATAAAAAGAAAATTAGTTCCTGAAAGTTATAGTAGTATAAGTCTTAAGTCATTAAACAAAATTCAAAATAAATATAGAAGACAATCTGAAAATCTCTTATACTAGCTTTAGAAAGGGGCATATTGTGGTTTTATGATATACTAGAGGCCCGGTGCATGAAATATGTGCCCGGGGGGCGGGAGCAGGGGTCCCCCAGCCTGGCCTGCACCCTCTCAGAATCCAGGAGCCCTCAGGGGATATCCAACTGCCAGTTTAGGCCCGATCCCACTGTGGGATCGGGCCTAAACCGGCAGTCGGACATTCCACTAGCAATCCGGACCACTGGCTCCTAACCACTCGCCTGCCTGCCTGCCTGATCATCCCTAACCACTCTGCCTGCCTGCTTCATCACCCCTAACCACTCGCCTGCCTGCCTGATCGCCCGTAATCCCTCTGCCTGCCTGATCACCCCTAACTGCCTCTGCCTGCCTGCCTGATCGCCCCTAACTGCTCACCTGCCTGCCTGATCGCCCCAACCACTCTGTCTGCCTGCCTAATGTCCCCTAACTGCCTCTGCCTGCCTGCCTGATCGCCCCTAACCACTCTGCCTGCCTGCCTGATCGCACCTAAACTGCTCGCCTGCCTGCCTGATTGCCCCTAATTGCCTCTGCCTCAGCTCCCGCTGCTGCAGCTTTGTCCGGAAGGACATCTGGAATTATATCTGGAAGGTCATTTGGCTGTCTGGTCTAATTAGCATATGACACTTTTATTATTATAGATTTACACTCATAAACAAAAAAGCCCAACACAGAAAAGGAGAAATGGCAGTGTACTCATTAGAAAAAAAAACAACAATCTTGGATTTAAAACTAGGTACAGATAATCCACATATACACATATCAATCCTATAAAATAAAAGCCTAATAAGCTAAGTATCCAGCCGTCCAGTCATCCGTTCAACCAATCAAAGCGTAGGATGCTAAAGATATGCTAAGTCTGCTCAACCGCTCGCTATAACATGCACTGACCACCAGGGGGAAGATAGTCAACCAGTAGACCAGTCACTATGACATGCATTGACCACCAGGGAGCAAACGCTCAACACAGGAGCTGCCCCCTGGTGGTCAGTGCACTTCCACAGGGGAGCACCACGCAGCCAGAAGCTGGGCTCACGGCTGGCAAGCACAATGGCAGTGGTGGGAGCCTCTCCCACCTCTGCAGCAGTGCCAAGGATGTCTGACTGATGGCTTAGGCCCGCTCCCCATGTGGGCCTAAGCTGTCAGTCAGACATTCCCCAAGGGGTCCCGAACTGCAAGAGGGGCCAGGCCAGGCTGAGGGACACCCCCTCTCCCCTCGCACGAGTGCACAAATTTCATGCACCGGGCCTCTAGTATTAATATAAAATACACATTAAATTACTAACCTAAACTAAGGAACTGAAAATTACTTACATCATCTTCATATTTAATATGAATGTCTGTGATTTTTACTTGTACATTTTTAATTACTTGAGTTGCCAATTTTTCCAAAAATGTATCCTTTTTGGCTTCTTTTGGTTTATCTATAAAAAAGAGAAAAATACAAGCTCAAAAGTTGAAATTCTCACAAACCTCATAATCAATGACCAAAGGATAGCTAAAGCACTACTCAAGGGAAATTATAGGCTTTTCTAGTGTCCTTGTTTTATTTTAGATTTATTTTAGATTTTAATATGCATTTCCAACTTAAAATTTATTTTTGAAGTTACATTATAAACTAACATTAATTTTACCTTTGACGACAGAAACTAAGTGGCAATGTGTATAAATAACACACGGCATAAAAACACTTTTACCTACCTTTTGAGCGATCAAGACCTTTAAAAGGTTTCTTAAAATGTTTTTTGTGCTTTTTACGCTTACGTCCTTCTCAGTGGAAGCATTTTAGTGAGAAAAGGATAAAATTCAAGTTAGCAGACAAGAGGACAGAAGAGAAAACAAGAGCATTCTTCCTGACATCAAATTTTGGTACAATTCACCTTATTTGATTCTAAGCTGTCCTGTTATCACAGTATAAACAGAAACTCACAAACCTTCCTTAGTCCAGGAATAACCTTCTTTAATCTAGAAATAACTTGACAGGTACAATTATTCAAAAATTAAGTAAAATACCCATACACAATGCCCTTTATAATATAACTTTTCACAACACAAAGTTTAAATTTAATGTTACTAAAATATTGGAAATGTAATAATGACAGATAACGTTTTTGTAAACACGTGGTAGGGACAAAGGAACACAAATGTAATGAATGGGTAGGTTACCGACAATGACTTCCTCTGGATGATATACCTCACTGAAAAATGCTTTAATGACTTAAGGATATAAATACAAAAAAGACATAAAATGTACATTGAACTGTACACTGAAATTGGGTTAATAATTTCTTTAAAACCTAACCCTCTTTTATTTGGCACTGCCTCACTTTATTTCATTACCCAACACCTATCTTATCCAAATTACAAACCTTCACATTCAACTAGACATCAACTCTAGTCTGTACTCTTAAGGCAGTCTCTATATACAGTCTCCCCTGCCTCTAGTTCCCACTTCACTCCTAGTAAACATCCTTCTATACTACTACCCGACTGTTACTTCTAAAACACTATTCACAGCTTGCTAATCCCCTGCTCAACTTTTTTTAAAGGCTCTCTGCAGCCTTACTAATAAAATAAAAAGTGTTTGCATGACACAAAGGTCCCGTCATGACCTGACACTAACTCCCTGTCCTGTTCTATCTCCTACCACTCCTCCTTGCACTGGTACTTCAGAAATATTATTTATACTTTCCAAGAAAAACTTTCTAATGCCTAATGCATCTACATGTGTCATTCCCATGCCCTTCCTGAACTTCTTCACGAGGAAAACTCCAGGCGGCTTCCAAATCTCAGGTCCAGCACTGCTGCCTATCTGAAGCCTCCTGTAGCTTTTCCAAGCAGCTCCAGGCCATCTACCCCAGCACCAGACTTCCAAAGTAGTGATTACATTGTACTTGAAGTGTTTGCACAACTGTCTTGCCTTCAGGCTTCATTATGACAGGAATTACCCTTATATCTGGGCACAGAGCATATAACTGTTCAAAAGAATAAAAAATATACATCTGAACATAATATATAAGCCCCCTTAATGTCATATATATTTGAAAAAATATACATGTAATTTTAAATTTGTTCTTCCTCGATATTTTAAAGCAAACTGTGCTTCCATTACAAAAACTAAGAACCAAACCCTGTATTACAAGAATAAAACCCTGACTTTCAAGAAGAAAAGACTTAACAAATACATAACAGAATGTGGACTTCGCTATTACCAGTATTGCTTGTCATAGTGATGGTCCCTAAATATTTTTCATTCATAAATAAAATATTTAGAGAAAGACTGAGTTCTTCACAAAATATCATTTGAAAAGAAACAAAAAGGAAAGCCAGAGTATGCTTGAAAATGGCCAGAAGAGCTCTCAGAGAGAGAGAAGGTCAGCTGACTGGGTTCAGACTCTCCCATAATCTGTTCTTCTCACCTGAGCTCCCTGTTTTATTCCTGATTTCACATTTGTTCTAGCATCATGTTGTACCGCTGATCTCAGTGTTAAAAGCACCATGTTTAAACCTCTCCAAATAATTTCAGAATCTGAGTGCTACACAGTTCTTTAGAAAAAGTTTCTATTTTAATCTGATGAATAATAAATTTATGATTTTCAATCACTCTTTAAAGCAGGTCTCAAATATTTTAATCTCACATAAAATTTGAGAACCTTAAAGATCTTTTTATTGGTGTGGATTACAACAATTGATATTTCCATACTGGAAATCAAAACTGAGAATTTTTTTAAATATTTATTAATTCATTTTTAAAAACCATTATCTGATAACATGGTTAACATATATTTATGAGAACTAACTATATTTGCCAAACGAAAAGTTGTAGTGAGGCAAATGACATGATTTTACATTCTTACAAATCTCTTTAATGTCTGGCTTAGAAGACAGCTTGATTTGCATATATGTTTCTGCCTTAGATCTGGTGAAATATCTTGGTTAGATTGAATTACATGAAGGAAATCTGAACTACAGATATGTAATAGTAAAAGGAATAAACATCTTTTCATGGCCTTTTCATGAAATTATAAATACTGCACCCAAACTCAACAAGTGGTAGTTACTTAAAGATTAGTTTCATCTTAAAATCTGAAACTCTATCAATAAATTTTTCACCCAAATTAAAATCAATTGGTCTAATTCTCAATTTTAATGGATTTTTACACGTCTGATTTTTATCATGCACTGGTAATATGGAAATATTACTTCATTGAACTACGCAAATCTTCCAAATGATGAGTCATTTCATTATTTAGTATCAAAAATCACTAAACTGGGTATAGACAGAACATACCTCAACATAATAATGGCCATAAATAACAAGCTGACAGCTAACATCATACTCGTTGGTGAAAAGCTAAAAGCTTTCCCCTTAAGACCAGGGACATTACAAAGATGCCCACTTTCAGCACTCTTACTCAACATAGTATTTATTGGAAGTCCTAGCCAGAGCAATTAGGCATGACAAAGAAGTAAAAGGCATCCATATTAAAAAGAAAGAATCTATAGAACAAAATAAACTAACAAAATATAAACAGACTCATAGAGAACAGACTAACAGCTGTCAGAGGGGAGGGAGGTTGCAGGGCTGGATGAAAAAGGTGAAGGGACTAAGCAAAAATAAAACAAAACTCACTGACACAGACAACAGCATGGTGATTAGCAGAGGGGAAGGTGAATGGGGGGAGATGGGAGAGGGCACAGCAGGGATAAATTTTGATGGAAGGAGACTTGACTTGGGGTAGTGAACATACAATACTATATACAGTTGATGTATTATAGAACTGTACTTCTAAAACGTATATAATTTTATTAACCAATGTCACCCCAATAAAATAAAATAACATAAAATAATTTTTTTAAAAAAAGAAAAACTCATTAATGGCCGATGACATGCTTTCATAATATAGAAAACACTTAAAGACTCCACCAAAAGAACTGTTAAAACTAACAAACAAATTCAGTAAAGCTGCAGGATACAAAATCAGTATGTTAAAATATGTTGTGTTTGTACACAATAACAATGAATTATTAAAAAGGTAAATGAAGAAAACAATCTCATTTATAATTGCATCAAAAATAATATAATACCTAGGAATAAATTTAACCAAGGAGGTGAAAGACCTGTGCACTAAAAAATATAAGACACTGGTGAAAGAAAATGAATAAGATACAAATAATGAAAAGATATGGAATTGGAAAACTTAATATTATAAAATTGTTCATATTACCCAAAGCAAGCTACAGATTTCATGCAATCCCCATCAAAATTCCAAAAGCATTTTTCACAAAAATAGAACAAATACTAAAATTTTTATGAAAACAAAAAAGAGAAAGAAAAACAAAGCTGGAGGCATCGTACACCCTGATTTTAAGCTGTATTACAAAGCTATAATAATTTTTAAAAATATGGTATTAGCATAAAAACAGACACATAGATCAATGAAACAGAATAGAGAGCCCAGAAGTAAACCCACAAGTATACAGTCAATTAATTTATGACAACAAAGGCAATAATATACAATGGGAGGAAAACAGTCTCTTCAATAAATTTTGCTGAGAAAACTGAACAGCCACATGCAAAAAAAAGGAAACTAGACCCCTATCTTAAACCATATGCAAAAATTATCTCAAAATGGATTAATGACTGAAATGTAAGACAGAAACCATAAAATTCATAAAAGAAAAATATTTTTTTATCTGATTCCAAAGATAATGGCAATAAAAGCAAAAATAAACAAATGGAACATCAAATTTAAAAACTTCTACAGAGCAAAGGAAACCATCAATGAAATAAGAAGGCACCCACTAAATGGGAGAAGGTATTTGCAAATTATAATCTGGTAAGGGGTTAATACCCAAAATATATTAAAAAACTCATACAGCTCAATAACAGAAAAACAAACAAACAATCCAATTAAAAATGGGTAGCAAATCTAAATAGGCATTTTCCCAAAGAAGGCACAGAGAGCCAACATATGCAAAAATGTTCAAATCATTCATCAACAGGAAAATGTGAAATAAATCCACAATGAGGTATCATCTCACACCTGTCAGAATGGCTATTATCAAAAGGATAAGAAATAACCAGTGTTAGTAAAGGTATAGTAAAAAGAAACCCTCCTGTACAGCTGGTGGGCATGTAAATTGGTGCAGCCACTGTTGAAAACAGTATTAAGGTTCCTTGAAAAAGTAAAAACAGAACTACCATAAGACCCAGCAATTCCTCTTCTGGATATTTTTCTGAAAAAAATCAACAACACTAATTTGAGCGATATGTGCACCCCTATGTTCATTGTAGCATTGTAGCCAAGATATGGGAAGAACCTAACTGTCCACGATGAATGGATAGAAAATGTCCTGGATGTACTGGATGAATAGATAGAAAATGTCCTGGATGTACTGGATGAGTGAATGGAAAAGATGT